TCACCCAGGACAGATTGGTGAGAATTTGCCATTTGTGGCCAAATTTCAGTGCAATTAATCATTAGCTAAATTATCTAATACAATTCATCAGCGGGCTTCACAATGTAGGAGAAAAGAGTGTGCTGATTTTCTTGCTAATCCTTGCTACTATATACTTATTTAATGCAATTTAAAGGTCACCCAACTCCAGGTAAATTTGGATGGCTTCCATTAAGAAAAGTAAAACCTTTAAAAAATAATAAGCACGTGGGAACAGCTGCTCTAAGATCCAAGCTTGTTTTCAGAACTGTACCTTATTTTTATTAAATAAGATCCGTTTCTTGAAACAAGATCTGAAGACCCAGCTTAAATAAATGCCCTGCTCTTCATTTGCTCCCCTAGTACCTGAACATACTTTGAAGGAAAACCTTATCCCTTGCTTGAGTCTCTCCGTCCCCAAAACCCAGCTACATGGATGAGGGTCTGTTCTCCTGATCTACACTTAACCAATTTCAGAGTGGATTCTAGACCATGGAGGGAGAGGTAGTGCAAATAGATGTAAACACCGTCCATCTCAAAATGGAGGCGGTTTCTTCTCACTTTTGTAAAGTTTGCGAAGGCTGGAATCCATTAAGAAATCCACGGACCTGTATAACAGCCAAGGAAGAGAGGAGGAATTAAAAACGAGCTTTCTCTTAAGAGGAATTCATCCTTCCAGGAAGGCAAACCTTGCCAATATTTTTTTTTCTTAAATATCCCACACCTCGTTACAAATTCCAGAATCTGGAAATGCAATTTGGCCTACCACAAAGTTCCTTGACCTCGGCAACTTTAAGATGCACTTCAACTCCCAGAATTCCTAGCGCAGCTGGTGAATTCTGGGAGCTAAAGTCTATACCTTTGAAAGTTGCCGAAATTGAGAGACACTGCTGCAGTTTATGTGTGTTACAAGCTCAGGAACTTGAGCATCGCTGCAGTACAGGCAGTCCTCTGAATTACAACGGTTCGTTCAGCGACCGTTCAGAGTTACAACGGCACTGAAAAATGTGATGGGTCAGGTGTGAGTGGCAAAGTGGTTCCTTTTTAATTTGGCCCACTCAGCTCTCCTCCCCTTAAGCAAGAGGCTGGCCCAGACCATACCTGTCAATAGGTTTGATGATGAAAGGGATGGCCGTAAGCCCAATGGCCGTCGTCGTCCATTTCCTAGCAGGGAGGGGCAAGTGGGTCAAGCGGCCCATGAGGTAGAGGGACCCAGCGCAGATGCGGTTGATGGTGAATCCAGGGATGGCCACCGAGGCCAAGGCTTGCCAGATGAACGTGTCCACCACGGCCACGGCCGCCTGCCTGGTTCTCCCTTCCTCCTGAGGCGTTGCCTGGCCATCCCAGACAGAACAAACCCCAAACATGGGAAACCATGAGTGTCACCAACTTAACCATCATCCCGTCAGGTTTTAACAAATTCTTCATCTGAAATCGGAGGTTATCAAAGATATACAAAGCATGTGTTTGGACAAGTGTTTGTATACTTGCCTACTCCCAAGGATTCAGGGCATTGGACTATAATATCAATTAAACTATAAACTAACAAATACATCAGTTCTAATGGACAGATTAGGTAGGTAGACAGGTGAGCAGACAGACCTGGTCCACTCTCCATATCCAGTTTGATTTATTCTACCCCAACTCAGGGAGCTGAAGTCCACACATTTTAAACTTGGCTGGAAAACACTGATCTGCATTATTTTCCTGCCCTAGGGAAAACGTCCAAAGCCAGACGGATGTGAACCCTCCAGCCTTCATACTTACAGCTGCTGCGGCTTTTTTACCCTTGTCAACCGCATCTGCTGTCACGTAGGCAGTTGCCACACCGTAACTGGCCCAGACCACGGAGACGGGCACCAAAGCCCTGAAGGACTCTCCCACCTCGTTCGCGTAGCCTGCAACACACAGCAAAGCCCCCTCAGCCCTTTTGCGCTTCCACATTTTAATCTTCCCAGCCCTGCAAAGCAGGCCGGGCTCAGCAATCATGGCCTGGCTCTTCCTCCTGCTATGCCATCCCTTGCTTAACCTTAAGGCTTAACCTGCTTCTCTCTCCAACTCAGCAATCAGCTCCCCCCCCCCTTTGCACACTTAACAGTAGGAGCAGCTGTCCCATCCAGACTGAATTTCCTGATGTTGTTACACAAAGGGTGGAAAAATGTCATCTCTGCACTCTGCTGTGCCCTTCAAAGTGCAGCCTTCTCCTCCTGCCAGAAAGTCACCTTGAGCCACACGTCCAGCTGTCTTCTTTCACTCCAAAACCCAAATTCTCACACTCTCTGGGTCTTCATTATTATTATTATTATTATTATTATTATTATTATTATTATTATTATTATTATTATCATCATCATCATCATCATCATCATCATCATCACCACCTTCCACTTGTACCCCAACACCTTCGTATCTCCTGCCCCTGCCTGCCTCTTCCTGCCTGGCCAGACAAAGCTTTTTTTTTTCCCCTCCCCTCCAAGGCTTTCTTTCAAAGCAGCAGCCCAGCAAGTGCATTCACACAACCCAGCCCCCCCACTCAAAACCTAGTTCAGGAATCCCCCCACCCAATAGCAGGGAGACATAAAGCCAGCAAAGGGTTCAAGCTACGCACAGTCCCACACAAACGCAAAAAAAGCCCATCAAGGTTAAAACCAAGTTTAAGACGTGCTCCGAGCACAGCAGCTTTCCTTCTAACGGGGCTAGAGAAAGAGGTCGTGGGAACTTGGGATTTCTGCCCGCAGGTTGGAAAGGGCGGCGGTAGGCTTCTGCCGGCAAAAGTGAAAGCTCCTTTGGGTTTGGCCCAACGTCCTTGTGCTCTGGGAGGGCCCACCATACACTCCCCCCCCTTCTTTGCCCGGGATCTACTCGGATTTCAGGATCTCCCCTTCCGCTCGCTCCCCGGGCGCGCTCTTGCCCCGCGGCTGCCTCCGGGGGCGCTCCGGGGCAGCGGCCGGCCACAAGGCGCTCGGGTGGGCGTCGCAGCAGCCCGGGGAGGCTTCAGTCCCCCGATCGCTCCGGTTGGAGAGCGCTGGCTATGCTGCTCCCGCGGAGCTCGGCCGGCCGCTTTTCCTTCTGCGGGGCTGGGAAGGAGCGCAGCTCAGGGCGGGCACCGGGTAAGGCCTGGGGACCCGGGGCGCCCCTTGGCGGAACACTCACCCAAGTAGCGCACCCACGTGTCCCGGTAGAGGTCTGGCGGGGGCTTCGCGGCGCCCGGCCCAGCCATGCCGCCGCTTCCTCGCTGGCCCGCTCGCCCGCCCCCAGCGGCGGCTGCACACCACACCGGCTCTCTACCGTGCGCCCTGGGCGCACAGCGCACCGAGGAGCCGGCTGGAGCTCTGCCCAGCCGCTGCCCCCTGGGCGGGGAGAGGGCGGGGAGAAGCGGAGGAGGGGCCGGCTTTCGGTTCGGTCTCGGTGGCGGAGGAGGAGGAGGCTTCCTGCTTGGCCTCGGGCAGCGAGCGCCTTCCCGCCGGGCTCCCCGACCTGTCGCTGCCCGTCCTTGCGGAAAGCGGGGCCAGCCCGGCTGGGAAGCAGCCGGAAGGTCCCGGGATGAAGCCGCGCACGGGACAGCGCCGGCTTAGAGGCTCGGGCCGGCGGGCGCTGAGAGTTGCCCAGGCCGGGCACCGTCGGTGGCCAGAGATCGTGGGGAGGGTCGGTCTCAGGCTTAGCGCGCGTTCTATGAGCCCGGTCGGCAAGTTTGGGGGAGCAGCTAAGAGACAAGCCGAGAAAGGGGGTGATGATGATGATGATGATGATAACAACAACAATAATAATAATAGTTGGAAGGGACCTTGGAGGTCTTCTAGTACAACCCCCTGCTCAGGCAGGAAACCCTGTACCATTTCATTGCGTCCTTGGTCCTTGGTCTCTTCATTGTGTCCAACTACAAGGCCCTTTTTAGTAGCAGATTGGGAAAAGAGAGGACAGCTAGTCCTCAATTTACAACAGTTTGTTTAATGACCGTTTGGCACTGAAAAAAAAGTGACTTTGACCTTCCTGGAACCAAATTGGGGGGGGCACCTTTTTTGAACCAAATGGGCAGAGAAGCCAGTTCAAACCACCAGATGGCAGTCGGGCAATACCTTCCCATCCTAGTTTGAAGCAAACCCCTTTCGGTGGAGTCTGGGAAGTTGGTGGCTGCAGGGATGCTGGGCAGGACAAAGAAAGGCCGCTAGCTGAAGTTCTGAGCTTCCTCTCTTGTTCTCTGATCCGGTTTTTGGGCAGACAATCTCGGTCCCCAAGTCTGTCCCCTAACTTGGCTTCCTTCCAGGGCCCAAAATCTGAGCAGCTTGCTCCTTTTTGTGGCTTCTGCAGGTGAGCCTGTTTCCCTGCTGAGCTCTGGCTAGAATAAAAATTCCCAAATCCAGATTAGAGTCCAGAATAGAATCCAGAAAAGAAGCCATAACAGCATCTAGTGAGAATCGAGAATAGATTCCAGAATAGATAGCGATAGAATATGGTGTACAAACCAGAAGAGTCCAGAATGGAGCCCAGAATGGAAATATCTGGGATAGGGTCATGAATGTGGAATCCAAAATAGTGTCCTGAATGGAATTTAGAATAGGGTCAGCCCAGAGTACAGGACAGAACACATTTCATGTTTGGATCCAGAATAGAATCCAGAATAGGGTGTGGAATCCAGAATTGGCTCCGGAATATATTTTGAGACAGTTCAGAACATAAACCAAAGTAGAATTTGGAATAGTTCAGAATAGATTCCAGAGTAGGATCTAGAATAGGATCGGGCCTAATAGAATCCAGAATATGATCCAGAGTAAGATCTGTCTGATTTTCTGCTCTTTTTAAAAATTAGTGTTTAATTAGAGAATCAAGTACCCTAATTAATAAATATAATTGTTATAATTTATATAATTATAATTACATAATTACTAATAAGGAGAACCGTGCATAAAATGCGAGGAAACAGTGCAAAAAAAATTAAGAGAACAAGCAGTTCCAAAATTCTCTACCGCGCAAGACAAACTCAGACCACTTCGCCCACTGTTTATTAGCTCCATCGATTTTAAAAAAAATAAATTATCTTTCCCTGTACAGTTGTGAACTTGGGCAGAAATATTGTACAAAAGGTTTGTATTTCTCCTCCAGACCATACATACATTCAGATGTACCCATACACAGTTCACATAGTCCCAAATATATTCGGTTTTTTTTTTAAAAAAAATGTTCTTGGGTTTTTATCTTTTTCTTTTAATTCCTGCTCTGTGAGAATGGTATACTTGGGGGACGGGGGAGGCTAGTCCTTTTATTCACATTGTTAGAGACGTAGCTTCTGGATTTTATTTGAAGCCACCTTCAGGATAAACCACTTTTCAAAGTAGTTTAAAAATAATGACCAGAATAAAATATAATTGAGGCCTGGGTTTGCTTGTTTTTTCTCTTCCTTCCTCTGCTGTTTTCCTTTTTGTGCTGTCGCTTTAGAATTGCAATAGTATTGTTTTTATGTGGTTGGGCATGCAACTGGGGCCAAAGAGCTAAAGAAAACAGCATATAGTAAAGGACTCATCAATCCCTGTGCAAAATTTTCTAATGAACTGAGTTAATCTGTCAAATTCATCTCCATAGGAATTAGAAACATCAGTTTAAAAAAAGGAATGTTCTTAGTGTCTTAATATTACTAGAATGGAGAAAATGTTCTTTTTCTTAATTACATTTGGTAAATTCCTACCTAATTTTTTACAGTTTGCAAATCCCTCTGTTTCATTGTTCTTCTTTTCTCCTTCTGGTTTATTTAAAAATATTCTAAAAATATTTTTTTTTTAAAAAAAAAAAGTATCTGAAGGTTGCAGAGGAAACCCCAAAAATGCACAGTGGCTTCATATTTCATTTTCAGCCAACCCGTTCAGAATATACAGAATGTAGAGACTGGAGCAGGTAAAGGAGACAAATTTCCCCTTCTTAATTCTTCTGCAGTCTCCCCAACTTGTGCGGTGGAAAACATCCTGTTTGTGCATAGGATAAAGTCACCGGGAGCAAAAACAGGTCAGTAAATCTCGAGTGGGATTCGGTAGACGAAGAGTTCTGTTGAGGCTGGTGGCTAACAGTCCTGTTGATGTCACAGAGTCAGCAAGGGAACTGAGGCAGGCTGGTTGACCGTTTAAGGCAATCAGTGAGCAGCCAAGCACGGGGGTGGGGGGTCTCAGACATTCTGGGATCCCTAATTTTCTGGCACAGTTTCCGTTCCACGTGGTAAGAGGGATTCTAGAGACAGTTGCCTTTGGTATCGCCAAAAGAGGCAAATAAGCAAGCAAGACTTTGAGACAGACAGGCTTTGTCAGCCGGAAGCTTGCCCATTTTCATCCCGGGAAAGGGGATGAAACTGTACTGTATCAAAGGACAGATCTTTCCGCGGCTTTCGAAGCAGAACCTCCCCACAAAGGCATAGCGTACCTCAGCCAACGGCAGAGAACTCCACTGTCTTTGGACAGGGCAGATCCCTGACGCAAGCCAAATGCTAAGCTTCCGTGGATTTTGCTGTGACCTGGTGAGGAGGGGGAGGGCGATCCCCTCCACCCCATCGTACCCTGGGGGTCCAAAGCATTCTGCCACCCCAGAGGCCAGCAAGCCCCATTGCCTCGAGTTGCCCTAAACCAGAGAGCAGGCAGCCGATTCCCACACAAGCCTGGCCTCTATGTCTCTCCTGCGTCCTGAACCAAATGGCGGTGGGGCCATGGGGCCCCTTTTTATAAAACTGGGGGGCTCCAGGGACCGATACCCACATCGTTGAAACTCTGGCAGCCCGCTGACTGCCCGAGCATGAATCCCATTGCCAAAGACCTTTGAGGAGGGTGCCCACCTCTGCCACCCCCCCAGGGCGGATAGGAGGGGGGGGGAAGGCTCCCGGGAGATGGCATCTTCCTCAAGCATGGTTGGTCTCCAGCGCCCTGGTCTGTTCCTCCAACTCCTGGAACGTCTGCTCCGATTTCTTATCCGGGAGTAAAACCTCCACCGTGTAGCTGATTTTCTTGGCATAGAGGTAGCTGTAGGTATTGTCAAAACGCAGGACGTCTGCGGGGGCAGAAGAAAGAGACGGTCACCCAAGGCCAGCTGTTGCATTTTAAGATGGGCTATCGCCCAAATCTTTTAAATAAACCTACTGACAAACAGAAATAAACCTCCTGATTTATTAGTATAAGACGCCCCCAATATAAGGGCAAGAAAGAACTTTAAATAATGAAATATGCAAGGGGAGAGAAAGCAAACAGTTTTCGGCAGAGGCTACTCACAGATGCCAGCATCTGGGCAGGTGAGGCTGCCGTCTTCAGGGACCAGGTGTGCGTTGTAGCGCTGGTTGGGATACACCTCAGCCATCTCCCCAGCGTGCTGGCGGGCCCCTATTTTGGTCTTCAGGTAGATGCCAAAGCCTATATCGGCACCATCAGACATAAACTGCCACCTTGAATTCACAGCAGAAAACAAACCCAACAAGCACATTTCAATAGGAGATTCAATTTTTTTTGTCTCTTTGTATTTTCATAACTACCCCATTAACTATGTCATTAATGTAGTAGATAAATGACAGCTTAATAATCTGCAAATAGAATTGGTCGTTTAAAAATGGTTTGGGCCCGTTTCGCAAGAGGTGGGAAACTAATACCGTTGATAATATATTTATCAGTATTCAGTTGGGGAGGGGGGAGGGATAATATGTTATCCCCGCCCCTGATATGTGTTAGTGTTTTTTTAATGCACGTTTTTAAAAGCCTTGCTTGTTTTGCATGTTAAAAAAAAATAATGTGGAGTTTTAACTTTTTTTTAAAAATAAAATAATAATAGGCTGGAAAAAAAAGAGAAGAATCTGGATTCAGAATCTGGCCAGCCCTGGACTGCCCCTGATCTGCCACTTCTCCGCCAACCTACCTGGCAGGTGTAAAAGGTATGAAGCGAAGGTGCAAGGAGGACCAGCGTGTCCATCTCACCGAGCTCTTTGAAGGCTTCTAAAGCTTCTGTCCTATTCCCCCTCCCCCCCCCCCCGCTGCCAAGTTGCCCCTTGACCTACCTCAGGACACAGCCTGGAAAGAGGATCTCGTATTCCAGCTGCTGGGAAGACCCCCGATTCACCATTACGGAATGCTCATACTGTTGCTTCAGCTGATCTTGCATGTAGTATGTTTTGGGCACGTCACCACCAAAGCATATCTAGAACACAGAACGTTATCTGTGAAACGGAGAGCATGAAATCCTATCTCAGTTGTTTTTTTTCAACCTCGGCAATTTTAAGATTTTAAGACCTCAATGCCCAGAATTCCCCCAGCCTGGCATTCTGGGAGTTGAAGCCCATCCATCTTAAAAATGGCCAAGTCTGAAAAACTGACCTTTCCTGTCGTTCTCCTGACGTCCCTCATATGGCCTATTCCAGAACGTTTAGCAACCATGCTTCCCAACTGCCAGGGGCTAATTTTGCAAAGGTTTCTGGTTTTAGGATGGCCGATAAATATTCGGTACCTTGGTTTCACATTTGGGGTTTCCATCAGGGTCCGTGAGGGCCCCCCCATATATCACGGGAATCTCCGCGGGGTCAATATATTTGTGCAAGTCTTCCTTCCAATTTGCTGGAAAAATGTAAAAAAAAAAGATGCTCTTTTTAATAGGTAACTTGCTTTTGGCTGCCGTATAATTCCAAAACATTTTGAATATTTACATAACGAAGAACCAAAACATTAAAAAATGCAAGCAGTAAAGTTTGGAAATGCATAAAGGGACAATTGTAATCTTAGCTGACATAGCAAGATTTTAAATCTCCGTATTTAGAGCATTGTTTTAGACAGAAAGGACCTGCTAGGAACTACATTGTTAATGTAAGTTTTAAAAAGGTCATAAAAGGTCTTTTCCTTTTGTCTGAGTTTTGCTGAATCCACCCCCCCCCCCTTTTTTTTTCTGCTAGCAATCAAAGAATCAATAATGAGGCAACCCACCTCCTAGGATAATTAACTTCTTGCGAGTGTCTTCACTCAGAATGTGCTTCACCATGTTGTAAGCTACGGGGAATAGTTTTGGAGCTGTATTACATGCAGGAAAAACAAAGGAGGATTATGTCAAGAGATAAATGACTTTTTTTTTCTCCAAACCAAATGCATGCTCCAACAAGGGAAGGATTGAAGCTCACCTTTAATGATAAATAAATATTTAAGGCTCTCAGGGAAGTTATCTTCGAACATGCCAAGAAGCTGGAAGTGTGGACAAAGAATTAAATTGCAATGCTTTATAGCATGGTAGATCATGATTTAAACCTAACACATCCTAACAGGGGGATCCAAAACCAAATGGTGACATTCAGGATACAATGAATGTCCCCTTGAAGTGGTGTGGACTTCAACTCCCAGAATTCCTCAGCCAGCATGTTTTAAGATATGTAGACTTCAATTCACCAACCAGACTGTTTTAAGAGTGTTTCTCGACCTTAGTCACTCTAAGCTGGCTGGCTGGGGAATTCTGGGAGTTGAAGTCCACACACAGGTCAAGAAATACTGTTTTAAGATATGTGGACTTCAACTCACAGAATCCCTCAAACAGAAGCTTTACGATATGTGGACTTCAACCCCCAGAATGTGTGGCTAATGTTGAAAAATTATGTTGATAATCAAGAAAAATTCTCCATGCAGGAGACCGAAACGTCTTCGCCCATCTCACCTCTATGTAGACTTCAACAGCTGGCTTCCAGAAGTGCTTCAAACCAAGCCCCTCAAAATCATAAATCATTATGATAGTTTCAATTCTTCTCCCCAGCTTAAGAAAAAGAGGGGAAGGGGGAAGAAAGAGAGATGGGGGGGGGTTGGAATTAAATAGGAACAGCAGCAGTCACATTTTTATCCCTAAAGCTTTGAACAGAATAACAGAGTTGGAAGGGACCTTGGAGGTCTTCTAGTCCAGCCCCCTGCTCAAGCAGGAGAACCTAGACCATTTCAGACAAGTGATTGTCCAATCTCTTCTTAAAAACCTCTAGTGATGGAGCACCCACAACATCTAGAGCAGTGGTTCTCAACCTGTGGGTCGGGACCCCATTTGGGGTCAAACAACCATTTCATGGGGGTCGCCAAACCACACTGTCCGCCATTTTTTTCCCTTTTACCTAGCTGTCCTACTCCCTCTTATTGGTGGCCACACCCACTTGGGGGTCACCACAACATGGGGAACTGTATTATGGGGTCACGGCATTAGAAAGGTTGAGAACCACTGATCTAGAGGCAAGCGATTCCACTGATTAATTCTCACTGTCAAGATATTTCTCCTTAATTCCAGGTTGGTTATCTCCTTGGTTAGTTTTCATCCATTGTTTCTTGTCTTGCTTTCTGGCATTTTGGAAAGTTGGTTGACCCTCTCTTCTTTGTGCAGCCCTTTAGATACTGGAACACTGCTATCATGTCACCCCTATTCCTTTCCTTAACAGACTAGACACATTCAGTTCCTGCAACCCTTCCACGTATGTTTCAGCCTCCAGAGGCCTTTTGATCAGGAACCCTAGAATTTTTATTCAATTTTACTTTACACTGAACATGTTCCATGGCCTGAAAAAAAAAAATTCAGAATGTCTGGATCACAGCCTCTGGTCCTGTCTTACTTTTTGGGTCTGTTCGTTGCAGATCTCCCGCAGAGACTCGCAGTCCTGAAATTTATTTTTGAGCAGATCCTGTTTCGAAGCAGAGTAGAGCAACCCTTTGGGGTCAAGGGTCCCAACGATCTCGTACTGAACCGGGCAGCCCTCCCGATCAAAGCCACATGTCCCTCCAGCCATGTACTTCTGGATAACCTGCGAGCAAGCAGAGAAGGGCCAGTCTCCAAGTGATGGGCCTAGCCAAACAATGCCAAAAAATATCTGACCCAGTTAACAGGACGGCAATCCTTTTGAGGCAACCAAGATGGCACACCATGGAAGCTGAGAGATGGGGGAGAGCGTACCATTGTCAGGAGGAACCGGCATCCCTTAAGATCACCTGAGACTCACCTCTGGGGCTTTCCATTCCTTAATGTGGTCAGAATCGAAATACTTCCGCAGCTGCACATGCTGTTCGCCAAGAAAACGAGAGAGCAAGTCACATAAGTGGGGAGAAAGAGAACTTTGACGTCAGCCTCACTACAGGTATTCCTCGGGTTACCATCCTAATGGAGCCTGCCTCTTATGACTGTTAAGATGCAATGTCGTAAAGCAGGGTATCTTGGTTTGGGGAACAAAACAAACAAACAAATCCAGGCTAGTCTAGAAGCACAGCCTTGTAAAATGGGCAGTTTGCTGGGTGTCCCTTGTCCTACGTGTATAAAAGAATAAAATAAGCCGAGCGAGTCTCCTCTTACCTTCCTGAGCATGGCTTCCGACTTCTGCAGGTCAAAACACCGGGCTGAAAGAAGATCACGATGGTTAGGAATAAAAGGCCACCCTGGACCATGCCAGAGACACCGATGTGGCATTATTGTGAGAGTTCCCGCCCCTTTCAGTAGGAAGAGTTCTTCCACTGATCAAGTCAGGCAGCTAGATTTGAATCCAGGTCCAACAGAGCCATCATTTGCCACTTTTATTTACCTTTTGTTGAGCTTCCCCTTGGCTCACTTTAATCCCCTTAAATGGCAGCCTTGTCCAGAATCACTCTGGCTAGTGAGGCAGGCAGCATATAAATCCCCCAGGCAGCAAACTCAGCCAGATTTGAAGGATACTTTGCCTTTTGAATGATAATATCTCTTGTCTTTTTGTCCAGTTGCATAACCGTGATTTGAAAAACCACAATTACCTGGCTCATGCGCTAATTAAAATGAAACCTAGATTGCAACTGAGGATCGTGTCCAAAAATCTGTTTTTAATTGCACTCTGGGGCAGACATGTGACTCCATTTAATAGCTTTGGCACTGGCCTAAAAGCTTCTCTCCTGTCCCAGGTTTGCCCAGACTGGCAGCATTCTGCAACTGACAGTTCTTATCCGGTCACCATTCAGAAATGCAAGGCCACTTGGCTCCTTGTCCAGAATGGGTTGTCTGAAATGAAACGGGCAGGTCTGGTTTTGTTTAAGACGAGCCTTTTCCAACCCAATTCCTTCACCTCCAGTTTCTCAGTCTCCGTTAGTCAATCCAAGATTGCCATCCCCAAATTGCAGGCTGAAACATTTCCACACTTCTTAAGAACTCAAGGAACATCTTTGACTTCCCAGTTTCTCCCAACTTCCATCCAGGGACGAATCTGACCCTAACCTATTGATTGATTTATTCTTGTAAATTCGTAGGATTCTTTTTTCTCTCCATGTAGGTGTATACATCCGAATTAGACTGTTGTTTCTCTGTGTCATATATGTGTGTGTGTGCATGTGGGTATGTGCATAATATTTTGTCATGCTTGTGTAGTGTATATTGGAGTTGGTTACCCTTTGAGAGCTGAATGGGTTGAGGCATGGGGATGAGGACCCCAGTTCTAAGTGTTTTCCATTAGTGGTCCTGATTTGACATCTGGATCATCTTTGTAGCTTCCCACTACTGCAGCTTCCATGCACAATTGATCCTGTGCCCTTAGAAGTACTCTCTGGCCACAGAAAATACACCCAGTTTGCTACAGACATGATGTAAATTGCTTTCTTACCTCGGAGCCATTTCAACAAGTAGTAATCATCCTGAGCCGGAAGACCTGGTAAGATATCTTGGATATTCCCACGGAACTATAGAACAGGGGAGGGAAATGGAGGAGGTGATTTACATTCAATTGCAATCTTTCATTTCTTGCTCAAGCCTCTTCATGGAAACCAGTCAAAATAAAATAGTGGTTAGATTTACACAGCAGATCAGGCTATCCTGAAGCTATATAATTTGCTTATAACTCACAGTGGAGGTAAAGTCAAAGAAAACTGCCAGCAGCTGGAAGGTTGGGAAGCAAAGGGCATACTTTTCAATGGGAGGAACTTCAACTCCCAGGAGCCCTGGCGGCACAGTGGTTAGAATGCAGTATTGCAGCCTAATTCTGCCCACAGCCTGGAGTTCAATCCCGGCTCAAGGTTGGACTCAGCCTTCCATCCTTCCGAGGTCGGTAAAAGGAGGGCCCAGATTGTTGGGGGCAAGAGGCTGACTCTGTACACCGCTTAGAGAGGGCTGTAAAGTACTGTGAAGTGGTATATAAATCTAAGTGCTATTGCTATCTCCTGGTGATGCCTAAGGTGGGACTAGAACTCACCATCTCCTGGCTTCTAGCCTGGTGTTTTCACTACTAAACCACTGGTCTGCTGGACGCTGTAGTCACGGAGGAATATGAGCATGTATGAACCAATCCTTCATGACATGAAACTGCATGTGTGAATACAGCCCAGGGATTGTGGACTGGGAGTGAACCTGGGTATCAAAATACACTTAATCTGATTTAATCACACCCATAATTGCTATGGAAAACATCCCACGTTAAATGAGGTTATTCTAGTTCAGTACCTCTTGGTTTCATCTTATCACACAAAATCTTTACAAGGTCATAATCTTCTAAATGCAGGCAAACATTGTGATACCTTGATACTATACATTTCTTCTAATGCCACCTATTACAAAAACAGTTAATAAGCCTGTACATTAAAAAGAGAGTGTCTCAGTGCCAGCAGGAACCAACTGATCAATAAAAATCAGGTCAGGAGAAACGATGTGGAAGCACCAATCGCTAAACCAATGGCATAAACCTGATACTTAAACGCCCATCAGAGCGAATCTCACACACCACTTGGGAAAAGAGACAATTTGGAGGCATAACTGCACCCTCAAACAGAAGCCACGTAGATAAGTGAGATCAGTGTTTTGCAACCCTGGCAATGTGTGGATTTCACCTCTAGGCTAGCTGGGCATACAGTAGTTCACACGACTTAGTTGCCAAGCTTTGAGAAACACGGAGTTGAATAATCTCGTAAGCTGAAATGCAACTAATTCTCTTCTGGTTAAAAACAGCTATTGGAAAGAGAGAGAAGCAGGCAGGGAAAAAAAAAAAGGCAACCTCAGCAGAAAGCATTTTGCAAAGGACTCTCCCGAGTACAAAGGTTGGGGCAGCCGAGAACCATCCTTTCCAATCAACCAGGCTGAACGGAGGGGTCAATAACCTGGACTAAATTCTTTTTTTTTTTAATCTTTTTTTTTTAATCATTTTTTTTTATTTTCCATTTATCCAACATAGTTATACAACAAAATTCACTTTACAAAATAAATTCATAATCATAACCATAACCATAGGTGCCGCTTGCTCCTTCCCCCCAAGCTGTATCCACCCTCCCTAATACCATACCTTCCTTCCCTCCTCCTCTTTCTCTCCTCCCCTGACTACTCTCTTCCCCTCCCCTTCTCCTCTTACCATCCTACTTCCTCCCTTCACCTTCCTCCCCTCTCATCCCTCTCCAATACAGCACAGCGTAGAGGAAATGCCCAAGCAGCACCTCTCTCATAAATTACCATATCTATATTATCCTATTCTACCTATTTACCCACTCGCTCATTGACACCCACACACACAAAGAATTTAATCCAGATTTCTGGCTTCCCCACAAAGTCAGGTAGACTAGAAACATGCACGGATATCCATGTTCCTTCTAGAAGCCAGGCACAAAATAGGGAAAATAAAAGAATGCTTTTTTTAAAAATATACTTTTTATTTTGATGTGAAAAGATGTGTTTCTTTTTTAAAAAATAAAATAAAGCATATCATTACAGATGCTGCTGGCTGGGGAATTCTGGGAGATGAAGTCCACATCTCGTAAAGTGGCTAAGGTTGTAACGGATAAATTGATTCCCCCAGCCTCTTTTGCCTTTTCAACCCCTCTTTGGCTCAACAGCATCCAATGGATCAGAGAATGCTCTTGAGTAGAAATCAACCCCCCCCCCCGTTCAGAAAACGGAGACGTCGAACAGAAAACGAGCTCACAAGCTTTCTCCATGAGCAGCTAGTTGTCTACATGCAAGGCATTGAATGGCAGGAGAACAGACCTCAGCAGTGCACCCCAATATGCACGTCAGCATAGGATGAACAGACAGCTAATGCCAGTCTCACTAGGTGGAGCAGATCTGAAAACCAACCCTACCGGAAGACTAAAACTACTTGGATTCAGAGGGGCTATAACAACAGAATCTTGCAAATCTCATTGTGCTTTTCTCTCCCCCCTCCATTAAACTCCCTTGAATGAGGGAGGGCGGTCTGTCTGATCCACTATCTGGATGTTTCGGACTTTGCCCCTTTTTGGTTCCTCTGTATCTCGGTCAAGATCACCTTCTTTATCCTCATACAACGTTGTTAACCTCATGCAACTTTGTCACAATGCCAACAGGAAGCTGAAAGAGCCACGCTGTCCCTATCCGTTCATGGCAATGGGGATTGCTAAGTGGACAAAACAGCCACGACTACGTCGTCGTCATTGTGAAACGGGCCTTGCGCTTGCCTTGCTTGCTGTCAAATCCACCAAGGGAGAAAATGGCTAGCAAATCCATCGGTCTCCTTCGTTTCGTTCTTAAGAGGCACCACAACAGCCAGACTGAGCCATGAAGTGTGTAGACGCAGTTGCTCCTGGTTGCCAAGTCCCAGGATAGCTCACTTTTCTCTGCCCAGTTGCCCAGGCAACCCCATTCCCTGGGCAGAGATGCCAATTCCTGCATGGCAGGTATCCGAGGGGAAAAGGAGGGTGATATACCTGTACAGGGAGTTCTCACAACTACAATTGTGGCCAAAAATCTCCATTGTTAAGCAAGACAGTTGTTAAGGGAGTTTCCCCCTATTTTACTACCTTCCTTGCCCCAGTGGTTAAGTTACTCCCTGCACATGTTAAGTTAATTACACGGTTGTTAAGTGACTCTGGCTTCCCCATTGACTTTGGTAGTCAAAAGGTGGCAAAGGAGATCAGGTGACTCCAGGACATTGCAACTGTTATAAGTACAAGCCAGTTGCCAAATGTCCAAATTCTGACCAAAAATGGCTTGTTTAAAGGTGGCATGTTATGTTAACAAACCATTGTGGCGTGTGTCCTCTGTCCTTAGCACTTAGCAAGTAAGCTGAATCCACTTCTGGGCTTTAGTGCAAATCTCACTGTAATCCCTTCAAATATGAAAGCTGAGAGGCAGGTGCCTCAAGACGGATGGATTAGCTGCCTGGAGAACCTTAAGTAGGTAGGCAAAACCTTCAGTTTTTAATCCAAAACTTTAAAAATACACCCGTCAGGGTCGATTTCCTAGAATTCATATCACAGCCGTGCTCACACAACAGACCGAAAGAGCTGTGTGTTATCTAACGAATTAAGCCCAGTTATCTGGATTCAGCATGAACCCAAGCTGATTTTTTTTTTTTAAAACCACACAAGGTTAAACTGTGGTTGCCCGTTTTTTTGGATCACAGAGTTGTGCAGATTCTCTCGATGTTGTGTCACAATAGAAACAAGAAAAGCTGCACTATCAAAGAAAGAAAGAGAGAGAGAGAGAGAGATTGACACTGCAGAATAGGACAGAACAGAGTCTTAGAGGAAGATAGTGACTGTATGCAGCTAACCAGGATTAAGGTGAAACATGTGTGAATCCAATGGCAATCTGCTTCCACCCTGGAAAAAAAACCAGGATGCTTAAAGGGCAAAACACCCTGGCACTGGAGGGTGCAATCTCATGTCCTCATTTACAGGAGCAAAGGAAGCTGAGTGCCAGCAAATTACTCTCTACTGGGGCAGCCACTGACTTTAGAAACACCACCCCAAAATGAGGGAGTTAGTTTCAACACCTTAGGGAGATTACCTTGGTATGCAGACATGAATCTGTTTATCCATTTTTAAAATCCCCAAATGGGCCTTTGGGAACGTACAGGTAGATATATACTTTCTTTGGAGAGCAGATAACAGAATTTCATTTCTAATGCGGGCCAGTGTGCTCACAGTAAAAAACGACAATAAAGGTTATCTTATCTAAGAGTAATCAGTTTGCACCCTGCCTTAGAGGATTAAGTGAAGCACGCACAAAGATAAAGGATGAGCATGTTTCTGCAAGGGAAGGGCAATCTTTTGCAGGCAGACAGGGGTCTTTCCCAATTCCCTTCCTTTCTTTTTTAAAAAAAAGGCTGTTGGGAAAGAGTTGGGAGATTTGCATCAAAGCTTCTCATGATAAAGAATCTCAAGACCCACAGGCACCTTTGATAGCAACAGCCCTTTGATTTGTATACCGCTTCATAATGCTTTACAGCAATCTCAAAGTGGGGCTGCTTCATTGGGCAAATCACTTTTGTCCACCCTTTGAAGGTGTGGAAAAATGGTGCTTTCTAGAACCATGCCTACAATTACGTAGGAATCACTCTTGGAAACCAAAGACCTTTAACCCCTATCTTGCCCACTGTGCAGGCCTGATGTGAGCTGCCTGCTCGGTGAATGACCTGTGAGGTGCCAGATGCTCACTGCCAGAGAGGTGTCTAACTACAACTACCACGTCGACTGAGAGTAATGGGGCTTTACCACCCTCCTGAGACAGAGCCCCGGACAGCTGGAGAGCGCTTCTCTCTTGCCTACCGCATCCATCTTCACTCCTGCCCCTCCCCTGCGCTTCAAAGCAAGAACCCTGCGAGGGAGACCCATAAGAGTTTCTGCACTGCAGGATCCAATCTGAGTCGGTCGTCGGACTCTCCAGAATGTGGGCGCTGCAAATGGGATCCAGCAACAAGCCCCCAAACTTGGAAGAATAAAACTCTCGGTCCCGGTGACCAACTCAGATAGGATCCTGCAACATTATTAACCCGGGGACACGTATTCACCTCCCTTCGTGAGTTACTAGGCAACCCTTTGTCTGAAATGGGACAGGCTTTTCTGCCTGAGCAGGGGGTAGGACTAGAAGACCTCCAAGGTCCCTTCCAACTCTGCTATCCTATCCTATCCTATCCTATCCTATCCTATCCTATCCTATCCTATCCTATCCTATCCTACTGTACTATCCACGGTCCCGATCCCCGGAGAGGCGAGTGGAAACTTGCACGGGAAGGATCAAGCAGCGCAGCGCTGCCCGGAGGCGCGGAGAGCGCTGTGGGCGAGGGCGCTGGCGAGGGTCCCCGGCATGAAGCCGGCTTGGTGACTTAGCAGATCGAGAGAAGCCCAGATGCAGCCCCGCCAGCCGCTCCTAAGGCTACCCTTGGCTGGGGCTGAGCGGCTCTGGAGTCCCGGAGGCTTTGCATAAAGAGCCTTTGCGCGCCTGGCTCGGGCAAGGCAAGGGGCTCCCGGTGCGCGGACCCCGAGCGGGCAAACGAATGGGGAGGGCGCGATTGGGGGTGGGGGGGCTTCTTCTCTCACCTGGGCCAGCGCCGCCTCCTGCTTGGCGCTTAGGTCGCCGACGTGCCCACTCATGGTCGCTGCACCAGCTGGCTTCGGGCTCCCGGGCCCCGTCGGCTTTCAGTGGCATCCAGTGGGTGGGTCACGCCCCCTCCCCTCCCCGGGGAAACGCCCCGCGCCCTCGGGAGCAGGAGGAGGAGGAGGAGGAGGAGGAAGAGGAGGAGGAGCTTCAGGGGCTGGGGAACTCCCACGAGGCATCCTTGGTGCGCTCTGAGCTGGCTTGTTTTCTAGCAGACGTTTCATGACCCAAACTAGGTAACATCATCATTGCTAGAAGAGAATGGGGAGGAGGAGAGAGAGGAGGAGGACTATGGGATCCTGGATGCTCTCTGATCTTGCTTGTTTTCTTGCAGACGTTTCATGACCGATCTGGGTAACGTCGTCAATTCTAGCGCAATGCAGTACTAGCTCTGATGATGTCACCTAGTTGGGTCATGAATCGTCTGCAAGAAAACAAGCAAGCTCGGAGAGCACCAAGGACCCCACAATCCTCCTCCTCCTCCTCTGTAACTCTTCTAGCACTGATGATATTCCCTAGCTGGATCATGAAACGTCTGCAAGAAACCGAGCAAGCGCAGAGAGCACCAAGGACCCCTCATGTCAACCCTGAGCTACCAATATTCTCCTTTTTTAGGACTACTATTCCCAGCAGCCCTGCCACCAGTGCCAATGGGGGAAGAATTTTGGGAGTCGTAGTTAAAGTAACCGGCTCCTGGACTGAGAGAGACAGGCTCACAAGCAGGGAGGAATGGGATGGGGGCTGCAAGAATCTATAAATGACTCAGCTCGGAGAAGCCGAGGCTGTCCCACCCTGATGCCCGTCTCCAGCTGTCCTGCACAGATGGATGGATGATGTGTCTTCCTGTTGTAATCAGCTCCTAGCAACCCCATAGACAGGTATTCCCCAGAAGGAGCTGTCCCTAGCCTGGTCCTTCAGATCTTCCAACGGTGCCCCCCTCACCCCGACACTGAGTCCTTCCACCTTGTCCCTGGTCATCCTCTTCTCCTTTTTTTCCCTCCTTCCACTTTTCCTAGCACCAGAGCTTTCCCAGAGAGCTAAGTCATTGCCTAAGGTTTGAAACAGGTACTGCTGCTCCCATAATCCCCAGCAAGGATTCAGGGAAATTGTAGCCCATCCGGGAGCGTCCAAATTAGATAATGGGGCCGATAGGAAGAAATGCTTTTTGCCAGCTTTCAAGGAACTTTGTTGATCTGCTTGGATGTCATCTTGAGGCGAAAAGCTGGCAAGGTTATGCCCAGGGCTGGGTAGGCAGGAGGTGAGGCAGAAACTTTGTGACTGGAAGACACCGGAGGCAAAAAAAGGAGAACAGAATAGAAGTTCTGGCTGGGCAACTCTGCAGGCTGGATCAAGTTGGATTCCATCCAGCTCTTCTTACATAACCTGACCCCCCGAGTGTTGACATAACATTTAGAGCGGAGTTTCTCAAGCTTGGCAAGTTAAACATGGGTGGATTTCAACTCCCAGAATTCCCCAGCCAGCCAGGTCCCACAAGAACAGAATAGGAAACTATTTTCAGTGTTGTTGCTAAGAGAATCTCCACAGATATTACTGGAATATTGGCTAGGAATCCCCCAGGAGCTGAACTGAACAAAAAGGCTGCCCTGTCTTAAAGCACCTGACAACATATGGACTGATTTTTCAGCTTTTTTTGTTTGTTTGTTTTGTCTTGATTCCTTGCACCCATGTACTTTCACACACACACCCTTAAAAACTCCCAGCCTCCTAAATTCTTCTTCTTGGTCCTTAAATCCTTTAACCTTCCCTTTTTTTTTTTCCTTTTGCCAAATTGCAAAAAAGAAAAAAAAAACCTCTTTCACAACATCCTGATAGGCCACAGTTCTGAATGGGAAGCCGGAGTTGACATCCTACAGATCAAGAGAATTTCCATCTGGGTTTCTGGTCATACCAGTTCTGCTGAAATCTGAGAAAACGTCAACTTGAAAAAGACTTTTTCTTCTTTTTTTAAAAAAAAGTGTGTGGGGGGCAGCCTGTTATGCAACTGCAGGGTGTTAATCCGTTTAAGCGCCTTCAGTTAAGTGTCAGGCCAGTGATTAACAATGGGCAGTTGTTCCTCCGTAGGATTCAACTGGCCTTGCAGGCATGGTGTGATGTTTGGATGGTAACAATAAAAGCAAAGACAGGCTGGGTAAGGAGATGTGACTACAGATCATCTCACTGGCAGGTACAGCAAAATCACAAATGGGAACACATATAAGAGCGTGTGGCAAAAAACCGATATAATGGCATTTATGCAAAATATACAGATTTAATGCTTGTCATTACTGTTGAAAATGCCCTATTGAACCACGTGAAAATGTTGTTTTCCATAAAACATAACCTCACATCACCTTGTTGAAAGAAATTTTTCACTTATACAGGTAAAACTGTCCACTTACAACTGTTCGCTTAGTGATCATTCAAAGTTACAACGGCATGAACAAAGGGACTGATGACCATTTTTCACAGCTACAGCTTTTGTAGCATCCCCATGACTGTGTGATCAAAATTCAGAGTCCAGCTCCCAGTTCAAGCAGAAGACCCTATACTATTTCAGACCAATGGCCATCCAGTCTCTCCTTAAAAACCTCTAGTGATGAAGCACCCACCACTTTTGGTGGCAAGTTGTTCCACTGGTTAATTGTCCTCACTGTTGGGAAGTTTTTCCTCAAGTCCAGGTTGCTTCTCTCCTTGATTAGTTTCCATCCATTGCTTCTTGTCTTTCTTTCTGGGGAGATCTGGTTAGGGAAAATCTGGAAGTTGAAGTCCACCCAGACTGACAAACACAGGTCAGGATCCTTGCAACAACTGGGGAAGGCAGAGGAATTTAGCAAACAAATCCTCCCCCTCTCGTCTTTTTGAGATCTGATAGCAAAGCATTCCAGAGTCATAATGGAAGGAGAGAAAGATAAACAAAGCAAAAAAAGCCCAGTAGGAAAGTGAAACAACAAAAAAAGCCTTTTTGTTCTGCTGCTCTTAGAATCTGTGTGTCAATTGTTGCAGATAATGGAGGAATTCTTTTACCCTGCTTTCAACTTTGCATCTCTCTGCAGAGAAATCAGTACTGAATATTTCCACTCAAGCATCTATGGAAACTTTCACTGACGTTCAGTGGTTATCTGACCATCGCCCATGATGCTAAATTAAAGGAGAAGATATTTGCAAAGAACTTGGGTGACTCTCATCTGGAGGAATAGCTGGAGGATTACAAGGCGCTCAAGTGAAGAGACCCGGTATCACCTTTTGAAAGTGAGTTTCAAAATCACGTTAAGCAGATCAGGAGTTATTAGAGCCAGCGAAGCCTTGGCGTTTCCCACACACTTGTTAATAATACAAGTATCACGCTAATTAGTTTTATAATCTTCCTAATCCTGGTCTTGTTGTTCCTGGCAGCAGCCTTAACCATTATGACCATATTCTCTCACATTATATAGAAAGGGAACTCCTAGATCTGCAGGCCTCTGGAGTGGGTGAGCTATGTAAACAAGATGTTGGGCAATCAGATTCATGCTCCGGGCAGACTCCACCCTAATGAGTTCGATTACAGGAGCTCCAATTCCCAGTTTCAGTGTATCAAATGATCTGGACTGTTTCGCCAGCTTTATGGCTCAAGAGCTGTATCAAACTTCATGGCGAGCACGAGATTCCTTGCCTTGCTCGGGAATGTTTGCTCGGGAATGTTTGCTGGGCACAACCGATTCAGGTTTTTTTAAAAAACAACCACCGTCCTTTCCTTTCTCACCCTTCTTAAAATTCGGGCACAAGGGATTATTACCCTGCTAGGATTTCTGCTTTTGCAGCTTGAAGAGGCAAAAGGGAGCTGCAAAGCAGGTTAGGACACACACACGTACCCCGTCCGTTCAGGCTGCTAACACAACACACACAGGTAGTCCTCAACTTAAATGAATTTGGCTTCCCTATTGACTTTCCAAGCAACCATCCTAAGTATACGCCAGTTGCTGAGCCTCGTGGGATCATGGGGATGCTGCACGAGTTGTGTGAAAAGCAGTCATTAAGTCACTTTTTTCAGTGCCGTTGTAACTTCAGCCACTAAACAAACTGCATTTGTCTCCTGTTTGTTTGAAAGAGGGACAAGGCATGGTTGAGCTGAGCAGCTGTCTTCAGCCACAAAACTGTCCCCTCCCAGCCACCATAGAACATGCGGAGCTTCCTTCTGCAACCCCAGGCAAGACCTCTAGAGGGCATCTCAGCCCACCAGCTCTTCCCTGGCTGGAGCCTTCTGGGAGTTGAAGTCCATACATTTTAAAGTTGCTAAGACCTAGAATGATGCTCCTTCTAGAAGTGACACCAGGTGTAAAAGGGACACATCTGGAGGGCAACAACTGGATTTGCCTCCTGAGTTTTGCAAGATTTATCTTTGTTTGCAACACTATAAATAGTCCCCAACTTATAACCATTCCTTTAGTGGCTGTTTGAAGTTACAACTGCGCTGAAAAAAGTAACTCATGACCAGTCCTTGCACTTACGACCACGGCAGTGTCCCCAAAGTTGCACGATCAAAATTTGGGCCCTTGGCATGGATATATGAGGGTTGCAACATACAAAGGTCCTGCGATCAGCGTTTGAGATTTTCGCTGCCAGCTTCCCAAGGAGCGACTATGCGGTGGGAACCCAACCGTTGCTATTGCCCCCAGTTAAACCAGCCCAAAGTAGCACGTTATGTGCCTGGCGCAAATGTGGCACTCCCAACAAACCCCGGCTAAGAGGCAGCTTTGTGGAGCAGAGCCAGCATGCATTAAACCATGGTCGAGACCCTCTTGTGCGTGCACCCCTGCAACAAACCCTGGCTAAGAGGCGGTTTAATGAGAGCAGAATCGCTTGGGCTTAGCCCCTCTTCTGTGCACGCAGCAGGTGCAGCTCTGCAACAAACCCTGGCTTCGTGGGAACTCAGCCACCCCGCATCCGCCCCCCAAAGCAAGCCACGGCTTGGCCTGCGCGTGCAGCGGGCGCAGCTCCCCAGCGAAGCCGGCCAAGAGGCGGCTCGGCGGGAGCGCGGCCAGCCGGGGCTCCGCCGGCAGCAGATGCGGCGGCGGCGGCGGGGCTGCCGGCGGGCGGGAGGCAGGGCTGCTGGAGGGTGGAGGGGCGGCCCGAGGGAGGCGGTTGGGCGAAGGCGCGCGGCGGCGAGGGCGATGGCGGGCCGGGCGGTGCCGGGGCTGCTGCCGTGGCTCCTGGGTGCGCTGGGCGGGCTGGTGGCGGCGGCCGAGGTTCCCTCGCCGGGCTCCCCGGCGGCGCAGGTGGAGGTGACGCTGCGCGGAGGGGCCGAGCCGGTCCGCGGCTGCACCCTGCAGGGCGCGCTGCTGGGCCGGGCCGGCTTGGAGCTCCAGCCGGCAGCGGCGGCGGCGGTGCGGGGCAGCCTGGTGCTGGTGAGCCTGCGGGACTCTGCGCGGGGTTGGCTGGGTGGGTGGGTGGGGAGCGTGGCCCTCCCGGACTCCCGTGGACCGCCCTTCCCGTGGCCTCTCGGTGAATCAGCCCCTCTCCCAAGCAGTCCCCAGACAGCCCCCTTCCCCCCCAAGCAGCCCCTTCCCCAGGCAGCCCGCGCCCCAGACAGCCCCCTTCCCCAAGTAGCCCCCTCCCCAGGCAGCCCCCTTCCCAGGGTTTCACCTGAGTAAATGGCACTGTCTTCCCTTCTTTCCCAGGTGAATGACACTGACCCCAGACTGGAGGATGACGACCCCTGGATTGGCGTGGTTCCCGTGGAGGGGGAACAAGCAGAGGTCCCAAAGCACCACAAAGAGGAGTCTTTTGCCAGAGCTGTGGTCAACAAGGTACCCCTTTCCCCTTGACCTGACTTCCGCCTGCTCGTTTCTCTCTTGAGAGTCCCAAAGGCGCTTTTTTTAAAGAGGCAACTGGACTTCCTTCTTTTTCTTTGAAGACGTTTCGCTTCTCATCCCAGAAGCTTCTTCCGCTCCGACTGGAGGGTGGGGAAGGGAAGGATTTGGGAAGAGGTTCTGAAAACCTGTTCCTTAATGCAGCTGCTTGGGACAAATGGAGAAAATTGGAACTATATAATTGGAAAAGATGCCCATGTCTTTCCCATGCTGGCCTGGTTAATTCTGGGACTTGAAGTCCACAAGTCTTCAAGTTGCCAAGGTTGCACAGCCCTGAATCTAGACCAGTATTTCTCAACCTTGCCAACCTGAAGATGGGTGGACCTCAGCTCAGCTCGCAAAGGATTGGGGACTTCTGGGAACTGAAGTCCAGACATCTGATCTTAGAACCAAGGTCACCGTCCTCTTCCTGGTTCTTAATTTGGTGGGTTTTCTTCCCTCAGATGAAGCGGGCCCTTGTTTTGGGGGCTTCAGCCCTGCTCATCCTTGCCCTGAACCAGAACACAATCCGAGAGGTAGGTGTGGATGCTCTTGCAGGTTCTGGAGACATGATTGAGCCCCTGTGCCCACATCCCCAGTGATGGGCTTTCTTTGCCTTCTCCCTGCTGCAGCTGGATGTCTCCCAGGTCCTTTCAAAGCCCGTGGTGATTGTCCAGACTTCAGAAAATGTGACCAAACTCCTCGGGGCACTGCTGCGGTGAGCTGGCTGGGAACTGGGGAAAGAACTGGAGGCTGTGGGCGAACTCTTAATTTTCTCTTAGGCTTCTGAAAGTCCGTTTGCATTAAAAAATAAATCACAGATCACGTTTCTTCAGAGCATCCCCAAACACCTGACTGTATACAGCCGAGATCTCCAAATGGGGCCCCTTTGAGACTTGTGGACTTCAACTCCCAGGATTCCCTAGCCAGCATGGCTGACTGCGGAATTCTGGGAGTTGAAGTCCACAAGCCTTAAAAGTTTGGAAAGTCTTGATATACAAGGAAGTCCTGTATTTGGATCAGGTGGGAACACCGCCATAGTTGCGAGTGTGAGGACCACTGGGAAATTCTGGCTGGGGAATTCTGGGAGCTGAAGTCCATCTATCTTAAAAGTTGCCACGGCTTGAGGAAGCCTGTAATGGAGCCAGGGATTCCTCACTCCCAGTGCAGCCTGCTCCCCACCTCACACCCACGGATTGCCCTTGCCTAACCCCATATTGAGAAAAGCCAACCTTATCCAGAAGGAAATCAACTGCATGGAGAAAGTGAACTCCTAATTATTACCACGTTCTCTTTGATCCTCTGCACTTACTCCATCAGAGGTGTCTGGATGGGGAGAGGGGTTGAACCTGGGAATTTTTTTAAGCTATTTCCCAAAGCACCAAAAGGCAGAACAAGAAACAATGGGTGGGAACTAACCAGGGAGAGAAGCAATCTGGAATTGAGAAACTTCCTAACAGTGAGAATAATTAACCAGTGGAACAGCTTGCCTCCAGAAGTTGTGGGTGCTTCATCACTGGAGGTTTTTTTTTTAAAGAGACTGGACAGCCATTTGTCTGACATAGTATCGGGTCTCTTGCTTGAGCAGAATAAAAAGAACAACAAAAAAAATGTTGAGATTTTGGGGAAAAGTGCAGAGAAGAGCAACTAGGATGATTAAAGGCCTGGAAACTAAGACATATGAAGAAGGATTGCAGGAACTGGGTATGTCTAGTCTTTTGAAAAGAAGGACTAGGGGATGACATGATAGCAGTCTTCCAATGTCTCAGGGGCTGCCCCAGAGAAGAGGGAGTCAAGCTATCCTCCAAAGCACCTGAAGGCAGGACAAGAAGCAACGGATGGAAACTAATCAAGGAGAGAAGCAACCTAGAATTAAGGAGAAATTTCCTGACAGTGAGGACAATGAACCAGTGGAACAAATTATCTTTAGAAGTACTGGGTGCTCCATCACTGGAGGCCTTTAAGAAGAGAGTGGACAGTCACTTGTCTGAAATGATATAGGCTCTCCTGCTTGAGCAGAGGGTTGGGCTAGACGACCTCCAAGGTTCCTTTCAACTCTGTTATTTATTCTTCTCTCTCCCTCTATTTTGCAGAGGTCTTCAGGCCACCGCGAAGATCACATACCAAGCAGGGCTGCTGGAGAACATGGTATGTGGCTGGCAAGGGAAGAGGGATCTGGTAACAATCCTGGGCAGGGAAGCTGGGCCACGTGATCCATTCATTGAAAACTGTTGTGTGGCAGTTTCATGACCACCTACCCTCCAACAGTTTGCTGCGTCTCCTGCTTGAGCGGAGGGGGGTGGACTAGATGACCTACAAGGTCCCTTCCAGCTCTGTGATTCTGTAAACCACTGCACCGGTTTTGTTGTCAATATTGCCGGTTTTAGCCAGCTCTCCCTTTTCTCTTTCAAGGGGCTGACGCTGACCCTGTGGTCAACATGCGGCCTCTCGCGGGGTGGCGTGTACGCCGAGTGGCAGGGCGTTATCTGCACGGGAGAAAACAGCTCAAAGGTCCAGGTTGGTGAAGGAGCCAGATGTTCTGTTGAAATATATTGATTGGCAGGTCACTGTGGGTCATGAGAAGAAAGTTCTGAAGGCTACAAGTGATAATAGTAAAAATACAGGCAAAACCTTGACTTAATGACCAGTTGGGACCCAGAATTTCCATCGCTAACTCGGCAGTTCTGTGAGTTGCGTCCAATTCACAACTTTATTGCCACCGTTGCTAAGCAAAACAACTGGTCGTTAAGCAAACCCAGCCGGCCTCGTTCACTTTGCTTGTTGGAAACCGGCTGGGAAAATCACAAATGACAATCACGTGATGTCGGGATGCTGCAACCATTGTAAATAACGTGTTTGTTGCGGCTGCTAGATTTTGACTAGACCCGGGTAAGTACGTTGTGTGAATGCAGCTGAGAGTGACGAGTGTTACTTTTGGGCTGGGGCTCTGTTTGCAGAAATACCTCCAGCAGCTGTGGAACGCCATCCTGCTCATCGCCTTGATCCTGTGCACAGGTGTGATTGTGCAGGCACAACGACACTCCCGGCACAGTCAGCTGGACCAGGAATCAGAGGTGGGCCCGCTCCCCTCCTCCGGCTCCTCTTGGCCCAGCCCTTGCAGAGTGCGGATCCTTATCGCTCGGCCTAATGCTCATCTTCGCTCTTGCAGCTGGATCTCAAACAACACATTGCACAGAAGCTGCTGGCATTGAAAACCAGGCGTTACCACCCTGGCAGGTCACCCCACAGCTGGGCGCATGAGATTGACAGCTGTGCCATCTGCCTGGACCAGTTTCAGAAGAATCAAGTAAGAATCAGGAAAAAAAAAAAACCCTGCCTGCAGCCAGTTCCTCAAATACACATCCACCTTTGCTTCTAAGGCAATTTCCATAGCGATGCCTGTTTCTATGTGTGGTCGAGCTTATCGACAAAACATGTTTTAGACCAGCCTTTCTCAACTTCAGCCAACTTTTAAGATGGGTAGACCTCAAATTCCCAGAATTCCCTGTGCTGGCTAGGGGATTCTGGGAGTTGAAGTCCACCCATCTTAAAACTTGCTGAGGTTGGGAAATGCCGCTTGCTTTGACACAGGGCAGCTTTGATATGTTGGAACGCAGAACCAGGAGTTTGGCCAAATTGGATCTGTGGTGGTTGGTCCCTCCATCATAAACCCCCTGGTCTTTCCTCATGGAGGTGCTGAGTTCGAGTTGGGATGTCTTAGCCAGAGTTCTCTGAACCAAGCAGGTGTCCTCTTGATCTTGTGGGCCAGGAGAAGCTAGCAACTTTTCTCAAGAGTGGAGGGGGACAGCTGGCTTCCTCCTGCAACCCCTGAGTAGGTGTTGACTTGCCCCACAGTGTCTCCGGGTGTTACCCTGCCTGCACGAATTCCACCAGGACTGCGTAGATCCCTGGCTTCTCCTGCAGCAGACCTGCCCGCTCTGTAAACACAACATTCTCGGTAAGAGCTTGGTGGGGGTGGACTCGGCTGCCCCCCCGCAGGCTTCCTGATCCTTGCTTTCGAACATTCAGGGGCAGAGTAATCAATTAGTACATTTACTAGTAAGCGATAAAATAGGACGTGAGAAACTTTTGCTTGAGTGTTTTCTTAACCCGGCTTAACTTTGAAGAGGCGTGGACTTCAACTCCCAGAATCCCCCCAGCCTGCAGGCCTCCCAGTTCCGGGAGTTGAAGCCCAGAATTAAGAACTGCCAGGAAAAGGTGGTCAAATCAGGTGGTGATGACCAGCTTGACAGCCACTCTGACTTAACAACCGTCATTGGCAAGTTCTATTATGATCATAAGTTGAGAATTACTTGTATTTATTTTATTATTTTTTTAGTAGAAAGCCTGCTGCTTCCCTGTGTTTTTAGAAGCAGATTGCTGGTTGTTTTTTTTTTTAAAGACAGCCAACATGCTTTCCGCTTAGGAAGAAAAGAATTCTGGGGTCCTTCTGGATGGATGACGGTGAAGTCCAGAGGCTGCTGGTTCATCGCTTTGCTGGCTGCTGTCACTCAAGAGGCTGGCCCTGGGCTTCCTGCCTTTCTAACAAATCCTTCCTCTTCTTTCCTCTCCCCCCGTCTTCTTCTTTTTAGGGAACTGTTGCTGAGACAGGTAGCAAGACCTGTCCTTCCTGCACCCCGAGGGAAGAGAGCGCCTTTCCAAGAAGCCATGACTTACAGCAATGTCTCTCAAAATGTGTGGACTTCAGCTCCCAGAATTCCCCAGCCATCTCTTCCTAGAATTCTGGGAGTTGGAAGTCCACACATCTTAAAGCTGTCAAGCTCGAGGAAAGCTGCCCTCCAGTTATGGACCGTCCCTGGGCTTGCCTTGGGCCACACCAGGACAGGAACCACGGTAGTTATTGGTAAACAATGCGTTCATCTCTCCTTTGGCCTGTTTGTGCATCCTCTCCGGCCATCCCTGGACTGAAAGCCACGCCCTCTTTGGTGTGTGCGTGTGTGTGTTCTCCGAACATTTTGTGCAGCTTGGATCTGAGCTGGGATGAACTTGCCCTTCTGGGGAACTCACCTGAGGCCTTCATCTTGTGAAGGAACGAAGACGAGGGCTGACAAGCGAGGCTTCCAACTAACCCCCTTTTTGGACAATTTGCAAGGGACACACAAGAGTCAGCTGGTGGGGTGAGATGAGAGGGAGGTTTGAAATGTTTCCTTATTTATACTAACTTATTTGAGCAAGGGCTGTTGGAGGTCCTGGGATGACACCTCAGAAAGAGCTGAGATATCCCAGGCTTTATTGAGATGTATAGAAGCCCCTTGTCCTAATTAAAATAATTCTAGCAAACTGAAAACGGGGGCCACTGGTCCTTTTCTTGTCCTAGTCTTTCCTCATCCAGACATCCCCTCCTTTACAGAGTTGGAAGGGACCTTGGAGATCTTCTAGCCCAACCCCCGGCTCAATACCATTGCAGACAAATGGTTGTCCAATCTCTTCTTGAAAACCTCCAGTGATGGAGCACCCACAGCTTCTGGAGACAAGCCGTTCCACTGGTTGATTGTTCTCACTATCAGGAAATCCCTCTTTAGTTCTAGGTGGTTCAACCTGATGGGAAGCACTTGAAAGCTTGGAGCTGCACAGAAAGCCAGGAGAGGCTCGTGCCGGACTGCCAAGGCCCCGATCCAGACCTCCGCTGTCCCCGACTTGCCCTACAATCTAGTAAAGAGCCAAGGCCAGCCAGAGAAGTTCCCATCACAAAGTTTATAACTAAGGACCAGGAGGGCAGGTTTCTAAGGCTGCTTCTGCCCTGGGATCACCCAGCGTTGGTTTCCCCCCTCCTACACAGCCCCTTGCCCGGCACCTCCCAAGACCCCCAATGACACTCCCAGAGTCCTTCTGAGCGCGCTTCTCTTTATTTCTGATGGTTGCGGGTACAATAGCCTGGCGGGGGCGGACAACGGCCTCTCCCTTTGGCTGGGCCGTAAGGGCTGCTGACTGCCTCCTTGTAGAAAAGATTGAACGGAGCAGGGCCCAAGGGGGTCTTGGGCGGCTGGGGGCCAGAAGTCCATTGGGGGGCAGGAGCACAGACGAGAGAATTGTTCGGAGGCCTATTTCGCGAGGCATTTCCCGTGCTGCCGCTATTAGTCGGAGGCCTGGAGACCTGTCCCTGGAAGCCAGTCCCTGCGGGGTACCTGCAAAAGGAGCAATCAGAGAAGCCAATGGAAGACAGCCCGTCCCCCATTTCTAAACCAATCCCCCCCCCCCAAATGGATCCCTTTGGGCCAGCCCACTCACCCCACAGGAGGTGGCATCGCGCTGTCCTGAGGACCGGGTTTTTCGGCAGACCGAATCCACAGCTGGGTTGGAAGCACAAACTACGGAGAGAGGAATTCCCGGTTAGGCGGTCAGTATCCTAAGAGAGGGAAGGAAGGCACGTCTGTTGACACTCTGCAAGGAGGGCAGACGGATCTTCCTGGGTCACGACAGAACAGCTGGGGACAAGTGAATTCCTTTGGAATTCCTCACCTCTGGCTGAGCGTTTGGGAAGGAGAGGCTCCATGCCAGCTCTAAAAAAAGAGGATTTCTCCTAAGTGGTCAACAGGAACCCTGCTACCCAAAAGCACGCAGGGAAGACATCCTTCTGAAGCCCTCCGTGGGGTTTTAACGGAAATGGGAGGCAGATTGCAGGAGAAATTGCCTGATAACAATTAACCAGTGGAACTCCTTACCTCCAGTGGTTGCGGACGCTTTTAAGAAGAGACTGGACAGCCCCTTGTCTCAAGTGGTACAGAGTTGGGACCAATGGCCGCTGGCCGAGTGGCTGATAGTCTGGTGCCTTTTAATTGCCCCCCCGCCCCATCCTGGGTGCCCTGGGCACCCCCATCTACCTTCTGCATCTCCTGCTGGGCCGGCTCTTTCATTTTGCCTATCGCATTTCGGAGGCGCGCGTTCTCTTCCTCCAGAATGCTGATGCGGATGTTGTTGGCCTGCAGCTGTTTCCCCATGTCTTCCATGACGTTCCCGGAGGCTGCAAAGAGGCAAACCGGGCGTTTGAGGACTTGGCCTGATCTAGGATAGTCACCTTTCCCCCCCCCCCCCAGTTGAAACGAGGGTTAAATCTGTCTGTCTGTCGTTGCGATTAAAGAAGGCGCCTTGTTAACCCAAAATAGCCTCCGGTGGGGAGAACCTTGGATGGGGATCCAGATGGTGGGGCTTATACTGGCAAGTCGCTTCAGCCCCGGGCCTTACTTTCAAACTGGGTCTCGACGGGGAGGTGAAGGTCTGGGAAGAAGACCAGAAGTTTTTCCTTCTCCTTCATCTCGTGGATCAGCTCTCCCAGCTCAGAGATGGTCCTCTGCAGTTCGGAGGACGACTGCTCCAAGCTCTGCTTCTCCTGCTTCAGCTTCTCGGTAAGCTTCTGGGTGGAGAGAGCGGTGCAGGTGATCTTGCAAGCTTTCTGAATTCTACAGCAGAAGTCCTACGGGGAGAGGGAAACTAAGCCTAGCCTCAGAACGAGCGAGCGAGCGGCGGGGTTAAGGTGTAGCTACAGCACTTTGCGCTTACTTCTGTGCAGCGCTTCCCACCCTCTCTAAGCAGCTTTACAGAGCCAGCCTCTTGCCCTCAACAATCTAGGTCCTCATTTTACCCATCTTGGAAGGATGGAAGGCTGAGTCAACCTTGAGCCGGTCAGGATCGGACCACTGGCAGTGGGCAGAACTAGCTGAATTAGAGCAAATCTTTTATGCTTTTTGGCTGGCAGGCCAAGAACCGGGCAAATTGTTTTCTGCATGTTGAGAGTGATTCAGGGCCCTGTTGCTGGCTCTCTTTCATCCTGTGCTTCGTTGGAAGGGCACAATCTAAGCTAGGCCAAGGGGCACCTGCTCTGCTCTGGCTGAAGTTCCTACCCCACTGCCTTTCCCCAGACCTTCTGGGCCTCCAGCCGGCCTTGGATCTCCCACTTTTCCTCCTGGACCTCCTTCAGCCGCTCCCTCATCATCTGCCGGTCATCTTCCCCGTCCGCCATGCTGGTCTTCAGCTGCTCGCATTCTTGGTCCAGACTGTCCAGCTGCTGCATTAGAGTCTGTTGTTTGGCCTGGAGGGACTGCAGGGAGAGTTGGAAAGCTCATTATGGGGCTGAAATGCCAGGAAAAGTGGCCACCTTCACTTTGCCAGCTAAGGGCTCCTGGCTCCTGACTTTTGCCAGCTTCAAGAGCTTTTCACAGGAAGTCAAGTCTCTCCCAGGTTGACCTCATGGACACCTCACAAAGACAGAAGGGGCTTCTCATTCCTCCTTCCATTTCCCAATCTAACTTACAGTTTCCTTGGGGAAAGGAAGGACACACCTCCTCCTTGGTCAGCCTCTCCGCCCCACCGCTGTCCCCTCTCACCTCCTGGTGCTGGAGCATGCTATCCCCTCTGGCTCTCTCTTTATTGAGTTCCAGGGTGGTCCAGTTCAGCTGCTGCTCCACTCTCTCCAGCTGGCTGCTGAGGGCCTTCAGTTGCTCCTCCCGTTTGTCTACCTCATCCTTGTCCACCATCTTGGACTCCATCTCCTGCTGCAGATCCTTTCTGGCCTGTTCTGTGAAAGGCACAGCAGTTTAGGTGACTGGGGCGGAAACAGCTGAGGGGTTTATTTTTAGATCCCTGGGTGACTCTTCCTGAGGCCTTTTCTTATGTATGTTTTTGCCTTAGAATAACAGAGTTGGAAGGGACTTTAGAGGTCATCTAGTCCAACCCCGAGTGCAGTTCTTACCCAGTTCCTGGATGGTGCTTTCCTGTGCCTGAAGCTTTTCTTTCAAGGTGGAGAGATTCATCTCCAAAGAAACAGCTCCTGAAAGAAAGCCACATGGAAGACTCTTTAGGAGAGCACACTGACACCAAGTGGAGAAGCTGTTTCGAAAAGAGGGGAAGATTTCTGAATCGGGGCCTGAAGAATGGAGAAATGCTGTCCTTTTATTTAATGATTTAAATCCATTATGCCTCCCGCCTCACTCTGAAAGATGATTTTGGAGGCTCACAATTAAAGGAAGCCCTGCTGAGCATCATCAGCTGTTATTAGATGCTCCAATATCACCTCGGTTTCTGGGAAATTTAAAACTGGATGTCGGGCGCTTGGAAACAAGCCGCAGCTTTTGCACTCGGGTCTGGATCCTCCAATGGGCCCTGTTAAACGGCATTCCCAAGTGATTTCTCATCCCTCAAAGAAGGGACAGCTCGTTCTGTGAGAACCAGAACTGAGGAACAGCTGACCTTCCAGGCTACATGCCTCAGCTGGCATCAGCAGCAAAAGTGGGCTTAAAGAAAGAGACTAGAGAGATATTCACGGTTTCCAAGGTCCTCCTTCGCCTTCTGCAGCTTGGCCATCAGCTGCTGGCTTTCCCTCTCCTTTTTTTGTAAAAGCTGCTCAGTCTCCACCCTCTGTTGCTTCTTGGCCTCTTTTTCCTTTTGCAGACAACCGTCCAGGTTCTCCAGCTGCTGCTTCAGCTCATTTTTCTGCTTCTCGAACTCTTCCAATTCTCCCTTCAAAGGGTTGATGAGTCCCATCAGCATCTGGATATGCTTGCTGATCCGAGAAAGGTCCTTGCTCTGCTCGGTAGCCCAGTAGCTGACGTCCATGGCAGTGAGGAGCTTGCCCCCCAGTCTTTCCTCCACCATCTTGAGGAACTTGCCCAGAGAAGAGGAGATGTTCAGAGTGCTGCAGATGTCGATAATGGCTTTTCCCACTTCCTGCAGGCTGACCTGGGTGCTTTCGCACGCATCGCAGGGCACCAGACAGCTCTCAATTGTCTGGGAGTGGACACTCCGCCCAGGCAGATTAACGGAAGGATCCGAGCGGGCACTGAGGGCATTGTCCAGCAGCCTGCTGCCAGCGGAAGAGGTTAAAAGGGAAGACTGAAAGCCGGGCAAAGTCACATCCGACTCAGGAGACACACTTTTCAAATGCTCGTTCTCAGCTTTCATGGCCCGGAAGGAACTTTTTAGATTAGAAGCATCTTTGGTATATTTTTTCTAGGCACAAAAGAAAAAATAAAAGGCAGTCATTGGCCTCTTAGTAGAAACTTTTATTTTGTGTGCGGTGCATTAACGGATATGAATAATAAATTTGTGACACCAATGTTGACAATTTACCTTGCACGAAGTCACTCAGAGTGAAATCGAAGAGAGGGTAGGGGAAAAGAACAAAGGAAAATAGTCTGGGAGCTGATCTCATGGATAAAGCAACTTCAGAATATTTGATCAGATTATTAGGGCAAAAAAATCCTGCTGCTCTGTCAGCACTCAAAACTGACAAACGGCATGCAACACCAATCGAACCTCACAACTAAATTTGCACGTTGTACTTAACCCATCAGATGTTTTTTGTTTTGGCTTAGGCTTTGCACAAACCCACTAATTGGCTTTTACCACAATAAACCAGGATTATATTATGGCTCAGCAAATGTGTGAACAGGTCACAGTGGTAGCAACGCTTGTAAGCAACCACAGCAATGAGGATTGATGGATCATGTTGTTTTTTTTCTCGGCTTCATCCCTGGGTGTGGCCTGTGGAAATTCAGAGGAGAAACTCCAGGGGGGGGGGGAATACCACACCTCTGGCTAAACTGGAGCAGATGGACCTTTGCCTACCTCGGCCACCATCTGTTGATAAAGAGCACCCAGTTTCAGCATGCTGTTCCAGTACTTCCTTACAGTCAGCCCAATAGACATGGAGGGTCCTACCGCCCGGGATGGGGGCACTGCTTCCTCGCTCATGAGGCTCTCAGTGTATCCCGTGAAGCTCTGGAGCAGCAACAGGAGCCTTTGGGGGATCAAAAGGAAATCTTCTTTTCATTTCATGGCAAATCCATGCACCACTGCTCCTTCCTTAAGGAAGCCCAACTCATTGCAGGACAAACAATATTAAAAAAAAAAAACCATAGAAAATTAAATGTAATCAGCATTGTAGGGGGAATAACAGCTCAAGTAATCATCCCTGTACTATTCACAAAAATTAGGGGCTGTGGTATTGCAGGTTAATTCTGCTGACTGCCTACTGTTGGCAGTTCAAGTCTCGGCAGCTCAAGGTTGACTCAGCCTTCCATCCTGAGGTCAGTAAAACGAGGACCCAGATTGTTGGGGGCAAGACACTGACTCTGCAAACCTCTTAGAGAGGGCTGTAAAGCACTGTGAAGCGATATGTAAGTCTAAGGGCTATTGTTACTGTTTACTTATTCAATTTCATATTGCCTGACTCCAAATTACTCTAGGTGGCTCAAAATAAGCCAGACAATATAAAAACAAAACAGTAGGAAACAAGAAACCAGCCCTCCAGCTGTCCTTCTCGAAAGAAACTGAGATTCCTAAAGAATCTCTCCAAATGAATCCCACACGTATTTACCCAAAAGCAAGTCTCCAATGCATTCACTGAGGCTTAGCCCCAAAGAAGAAAAAGCTAAAGTTGCAGGAACAGATATAAACTTACCTGTCAATCACTAGTTCCAGAAGAACCACATGAGAATGCTGTGTAAATTCAGGGTCATTCTCGACGAAGTCATATTGTCCCATCAAAGCCACCAAGTCTAAGTCGCAGGACACTTTATCTGGAAATTTCCAGGAAGGAAAGCGCACGGCTCCAGCGTGGGAAAATACGCTAATGACCGTCCCTTGGAGATCCGTGATGTCCTTCCGCAAGCTTTCCATGCAGTTTCTGTTAACCAACAAACTCACCATGTTGCCCCCCGCCCCGATGTCATTTGAACCATAAGAAAAGCGCTGGAGTCTTCTTCAGACAGATGTTCCTGGAGGGAAGCAATTCATGTAAGAAAACTGGCATGAAAATGGCTAACTAGTTACTAGAGCACAGGAACGGAGGTGGGTGGGACTTGCAAAGCTCAGCTCCCAAGTGTTCAGCCAGAGGGGATTTGGGTGCCATGGCCTCTCATTTAGCACCCCCCCTCCCCAAATTTCTCAGATTGTCAGATGCACGCGTGAAACACGCCTTTCATGCATGCATTTGAAAATCTGACAAAAACATGCCATAGATCAGTGTTTCTCAACCTTGACAATTTTAAGGCATGTGGACTTCAACTCCCAGAATTCCACAGCCAGCATTGCTGGCTGTGGAATTCTGGGAGTTGAAGTCCACATGCCTTAAAAGTGTCAAGGTTGAGAAACACTGCCATAGACGCTTAAAGGATTATATGGGAAGGATGAGAAATGGGCAGCTGATGCAATGACGCCTGATACCTCCTCCCAGCTTGGATCTCAACATCCATCATCCTCAGCTAGCATGGGAGTTGTGATTCACTAGGTTAGGAAAACACCAGCCTGGGCTGGGCTGCTCTCACCTCCTGCAATTAAGGAAATATATTGGAAAACGGGGATAGAGAGCCAAGCTTCCTGGTGCCCTCCTGGGTTTTGATTGCAGTCAGCAATTAGCTTGTCCTGAATGTGATTTCTCAGATTTTTATCTATCTTTATAAGTAACCCAAGGTGGAGAGCAACATATAGATAGAAGACCCACCTGCCGAATAGCAGCCGCCCCCGGCTCTCGCCAGGCGTCGCGCAGGCCTCCGCTGCCATGGCAACTCCTGTAAGCCTCCCCGGCGCACGCGCAGCTCAAGGCCCGCCCTTTCGAATGCTGGCTAAGGTCTTTCTCGCGCCGACCACAAAAAAAGGAGCCGCTCTACCCATATCTCCATGGTGCTCGATGTGTCCAAAAGAGTGTGCGCAGGCGCTGCCGCTTCTTCCTAGGCTCCACCTTTTTCCAGAGGCGGAGCGGGCTCCTTTTGTGTGCGCGCGCACTCTGGCTACGGCCGCCATTTTATCCCCGAGGTTCGGTTTGTCTGTTTTCGCTCGGAGCCTCCTCGGTCCCGCCGCAGAAAAGGCTCGCCATGCCGGCCGGACCGGTGCAGGCCATGGCGCCCGCCCAGCCGGCCCCTCCGGAAGCCAAGCAGGTGATTTTGTAGCTTTCGCCTTCGTCGGGGATGAGGAGCCCCCCCCTTTCCCTCCTTCCTCAGCTTCTCGGCCTTCGCCCCTCAGAGGAGGGGGGCGCGCGAGGCTTTCTCCCGGAGTGCTTAGCGAGAGGAGCGGGGTATGCCGGGACTTGTGGTGGTGTTGCGAATCGCTTTTCCTGCAGCTCTGCCCTCCCCTAGGGCTGCAGATCCCATCGTCCCCAGCCAGCTTGGATAGGAAATTCAGGCAAGGGAGGAGGGTTGTAGGGGCAGAGAAACTGAAGAGTGCAGGAAGTCAGTGACACACAACCACAATTAAACCCAAATCCCCGTTGCTAAATAAGACAGTTGTTAAGTAAGCTTTGCCCCATTTTATGACTTTATTGCCACAGTTAAGTAAAAACGGGGTTGTTAAGTGAACCAGGCAGTTAAGTAAATCCGGCCTCCCCAGTGATTGCTGATTGAAAGCTGGCTGAGAAGATTACAGATGGTGATCACATGACCCTGGGACAGTGAGACTGTCATAAATACAGGCCAGTTGCTGAATTTTGACCATGGGGATGCTGCAATGCTCATAAGTCACTTTTTTCCATGCTGCTATAACTTTACTGATGAAACAAATAGTTGTAAGTTGAGGACTAATTGTGTTTTGCTTTTGGCAGCCTAGGAATTTGATGACGGAAGGAAGGGCTTTTTAAATGGTTCATTCTCCAAGCTGCTCTATTATGCTCCCTGTCCCACAACACCATTTCAGCTCTTGGAGACAGCCCCATTTGTTCCCCTGAGCTAATTCTGAAAGCCCTAATTATGTTTTCTCGTGTCTCCTTACAGCCGGAAGATGAACCAAAGGAAGAGACCACACCTGCCAAACCGATTGTGGGAATTATATATCCACCACCGGAGGTTAGAAATATTGTGGACAAGACAGCCAGTTTTGTGGCCAGGTGAGAAAGCCTAGATGAAACTCCTGAGATAAAATCTGTTTGCAGCACACAGCAAAGAGACTTTGGGCCACCTCTGGTAGATTGAACTGGGCTTATTATTATTATTTATTAGATTTGCATGTTGCCCAACTCCAACAATTCTGGGTAGCTCAGAGTAAAAACAAAGGAAAAATACAATAAGTAAAAAGATGGCAAGGATGACAAGAGTCAGATAAAAGCGTTCGCTTTCTGATCAGAGTCTGAAATGTTTCAGAACTGATTTTAAACTCAGACTGCCCTGCCTTGGGGTAAGAATGGCTGATGAGACACATAAAACACTCTGATGCTGTTCCGGACTATTCTGGAAGTGTCTGGAAACAGTCTTCCATCTTGGATGCAAAATAAGTTGTAAATATGGTTTTTTTTCCAGGGTCAGAATAGTTTGGTGATTTTTGTGCTTGAAATGTTTTGAGTTTGATATGTGTGGCACTCCTTGCTTCGAGATGATGGGATCTCCTGGCTTCAGTGGCTTCTGAGCAACAGTTTGGTTTGGTTTTGACTTTTCCAGAAACGGCCCTGAATTTGAAGCTCGGATCCGCCAGAATGAAATCAACAACCCCAAGTTTAATTTCCTGAACCCCAATGATCCTTATCATGCCTACTACCGCCACAAGGTCAACGAGTTCAAGGAAGGAAAGGCGCAGGAACCCTCGGCCGCCATTCCGAAGGTTATGCAGGCCCAGCAGACTGCCCAGCAGCAACTTCCCCAAAAGGTAAAACGGGATTCATCTCTTGGTGCAGCTTCTTCCTTTCTTTTGCGATTCGACACCTAGCAAAGATAAAAGTTTATAGCTTCTCTTGACTTTTCTCATCTCCTGGGAAGATACTGCCAAAAATAAGGGTTTCTAAGAAATTCCAACTGGTGGGGTCTTTGCTGTTCCACCCACCCTTTATCCTCCAACAGTGTGTAAAAAGCCTGGTTCTGCCCATTAGCATCGGGGCCTAAGAGTGGGATGCAACTTTAGGGATGGCTGATGGCTTGAAGGGGTTTCTGCCTTGTTGACTTTTTTAGCCTTTTGAATTTTTAACTTTGAATTCCACTTTTGATTTGCAAGTTTTAACCTTGTTGCTAACCCCATTATAATCTGTTTTGAATGTTTTATTATGTGATTGAAAACCACCCCATCACTTTGGTTGAGACGGACCGTGTAGAAATGCAATCAGTAATTAAATAAAATTTGTGGAGTGAAGAGAGAACTGGAGTTCTGTGTCTCTGTCTTCTGCAGGTACAAGCCCAGGTGATTCAGGAAACCGTGGTTCCAAAGGAGCCCCCACCAGAATTTGAGTTCATTGCAGATCCTCCCTCGATCTCGGCTTTTGACCTGGATGTGGTGAAACTGACTGCCCAGTTTGTGGCCCGCAATGGCAGGCAGTTCCTGACCCAGCTGATGCAGAAGGAACAGAGGAACTATCAGTTCGACTTCCTGCGTCCCCAGCACAGCCTCTTCAATTACTTCACCAAACTGGTGGAGCAATACACCAAGGTGATGCTCTTTGGAGGCAAGGGGGCGTTCGCTTTATCGAACTGGGGAAGGGGGGGGTCTTGATTGTCTGGGGGGAAACAGAGTGAACTCAATTTGATGAATATTAAATATTAAATGAATCTGTTTTTACAGATCTTGATCCCACCAAAGGGCCTCATTATAAAATTGAAAAAGGAAGCCGAAAATCCAAAAGAAGTCTTAGACCAGGTAACTAAGGATTATTATTATTATTATTTGTATAATTTGATTCTAACATTCAGGTCCTTAAAAATGGCAGGGTCAAGATTTTGTTTCATTTTCTGATAATTTTTTGGGAACAGAAGCCTGGAGTTTCTTTTCACCAAAGGCTTATGCCTATTTAAAATTTACCCTGCTGTTTCCATTATTTCTTGCCTCAATATATCAGCCAATTGAAATACTCTTTTTATTTTTGTTGTTTGGATCCAGAAAGGCTTTGGAATGGCAAAAACACTCAGGCTTCCTCATGCTGACTTAGAAGTATAATTTGATCTCTTCCAAAGACTTCCTGAATTTTAATAAAAAAGGGGGAACTTTCCCAAAACCTGTAAAAGGAAGATAGTTTTTTCTGTGGCCTCCGCTCACAAGCACTCTCTTTTCCTTGGCTGGTGTCCCCTGAAGGCATGCTACCGAGTGGAGTGGGCCAAGTTTCAGGAGCGTGAGCGGAAGAAGGAAGAGGAGGAGAAAGAGCGCGAGCGTGTGGCTTACGCCCAAATCGACTGGCATGATTTCGTGGTGGTGGAAACGGTGGATTTCCAGCCCTCGGAGCAAGGTTCGTTCCCCCCACTCATTTCAAAAACTTTGTTTTTTTCAGAGCCAGCCAGGAACCCCTGCTGATAAGCAGGGAAGAGAAAACAGGCATTAGACCAGCATGCTTTCTGCCTTCGGTCCCCACCGGCTTTTGAATGGGGAGGGGCGTTGTGGAATAAATTGAGTTACCAAGATCAGAGTTGACTCACAACAGCCAGCCCCTCCAAACTGGAGTTAATTAGCTTGCAAAGAAGATTTGTTTTTAAATCCTGATTTGAATTATGATTCAAAAATAGGCTGTACATCTTCCTGTGATCCTCTTCACCTTTGGCTCAGAGCAGCCCTATGGCCAATCCTATATGGCATTTATTTATTTGCTCAATTTATATAGCTGCCACCTTACTTTTACATCAATCTTAACAATAAATCTTAACAGTAAAACAAAAACAGAATGCATAATAGAAAACCAAAATAATCTTACCCAATGCTTCCCAAACGTTTTTGCTTTCTTACTAAAAACCACTTAGAAAGTCCTTTTTTGACTGATGTTTTTTGAGGATTTGATTTGACATTACAATTAACAAGAATTTGTCGTCCCCCCTTTTCCGTTGAAGGAAATTTTCCTCCTCCCACCACTCCCGAGGAACTAGGCGCTCGGATCCTGATCCAGGAGCGCTACGAGAAGTTCGGGGAGAGCGAAGAAGTGGAGATGGAGGTGGAATCGGACGACGAAGATGACAAGCAACAGAAGGCGGAAGAGCCTCCCTCCCAGCTGGACCAGGACACCCAAGTCCAGGATATGGACGAAGTGAGTGAGGAAAACAGACCCCCCCCCAATTGGGGGTGCAGTTTGAGGGGTTCCTCCAGATCTCTCTCTGAAGATCAGATGGAGTGACCTTTAGAGCTTGGAAGTGGACCTGGGCAATAGGAGATTTATTACTGCTGTTTCACCCTCCTCCTTTTTTTCTTTTTTCTTTTCTTTTTTACACTTGAAGGGTTCCGATGAAGAAGATGACAGCCAGAAGGTGCCACCACCCCCAGAAACCCCAATGCCCCCACCGCTGCCCCCGACTCCAGATCAAGTCATTGTCAGAAAAGATTACGATCCAAAAGGTAAGATTAAAATCCAGAGCCTACATCAGTGTTTCTTAACCTTGGCCACTGTAAGATAACAGAATAACAAAGTTGGAAGGGACCTTGGAGATCTTCTAGTCCAACCTCCTGCTCAAGCAGGAGACCTTATACCATTTCAGATAAACATCCAATCTCTTCTTAAAAATCTCCAGTGTTGGAGGATTCACAACTTCTGAAGGCAAGCCGTTCCACTGGTTAAATGTACTCATTGTCAGGAAATTCCCCCTTAGTTCCAGGTTGCTTCTCTCCTTGATTAGTTTCCATCCGTTGCTTCTTGTTCTGCCTTCAGGTGAGTGGACTTCAACTCCCAGAATTCCCCAGTCAACACTAACCTACCTGGAGGTTTATTTTGCACACACTGATCTCCACAGCCGGAGAAAACATTCCTAACCTACGTCTTTTCTCCTCCCTCCAGCTTCCAAGCCTCTTCCCCCAACCCCAGCTCCAGATGAGTATCTTGTCTCCCCCATTACTGGGGAGAAAATTCCTGCCAGCAAAATGCAGGAACATATGCGTATCGGCCTTCTGGATCCCCGCTGGTTAGAACAAAGAGATCGTTCTCTCCGGGAGAAGCAGACGGATGACGAAGTGTACGCCCCAGGTGAGTCCAGCCAGCATCTCCTTGCTAGCTGTCATTGTGCTTATTTAAATAGTTTGCATTTGATTAACCTGCAATATGGATCTTGTAAAGGACTCCTTAAAAGTTTGGAGCATTTGTATATTTATCTCTAGCAAACTTAGTACCTGGGATATTTTGAACTTTAAAAATGAGGAACCTTCTACAGGTAATCTTCTACTTACATTTGCTTAGTAGCCGTTCAGTTACAATGATGCTGGGGAAAAAAGGAGTGACAACCGGTCCTTATAGCAATAGCACTTGGACTTATATACCGCTTCACACTGCTTAACAGCCCTCTCTAAGCAGTTTTACAGAGCCAGCATATTTGCCCCCCAACAATCTGGGTCCTCATTTTACCGACCTCAGAAAGAGGGAAGGCTGAGTCAACCTTCAGCCGGTCAGGATTGAACTGCTGGCGGTGGGCAGAGTTTGCCTGCAATATTGCCTTCTAACCACTGAAGCCGTTTTTCTTCTTTGTGTCCATTTAGGCCTGGATATTGAAAGCAGCTTGAAGCAGCTGGCTGAGCGCCGTACCGATATTTTTGGGGTGGAAGAAACGGCTATCGGCAAGAAAATTGGCGAAGAGGAGATCCAGAAGCCTGAAGAAAAGGTCTGCCCCTGGCAGGGTAGCCGAGAGGAGAGGGTCTTCCCTTCCCCACGTGGCCTGCCCTTGGTTTGCAATCAGAAGGGCCATGCTTGACCCCTGACCCACGGTGTCTTTCAGGTGACTTGGGACGGCCACTCGGGAAGCATGGCCCGGACGCAACAAGCAGCCCAGGCCAACATCACCCTCCAGGAGCAGATTGAGGCGATCCACAAGGCCAAGGGGCTGGTGCCAGAAGACGACACAAAGGAGAAAATCGGTCCAAGCAAACCCAACGAGATGCCCATGCCTCCCCCTCTGTCCTCGGCCCCCAACCTCCCCTCCAGCGCTCCATCCATTGCCTCCATGCCCCGCCCTCCCGCGGTAAGCTGTCCGTTTGCGCAGTTAGGTTTATATCCTGCCCTCATTGTGTACAACTCAAGGCAGAGTCCCAAGTGTTCCCTCTTCCTATTTTCCCCACAACCCCTCGGGCTTGCCCAAGGCAATCCAACCTCTGTTCCAAAGTGAAATTAGGAACGTCCTGGTTTCTCGTCCCTTTCCAACTGTTACACCTTGACTTTGGTTTGCCTTCAAAGAGTTCGGAGCCTTGTTAGAAACCTCACACGCCCACTTCGCGGTCTGAAGTTTCCGTTGCTCCCCTCTGGGAGGAGGTTTCGATGTATTTACAGCAGAACGAGTCAATTCTGCAACAGCTTTGTTCCTTACACTATCTGTCTCGTAAATTCGCAGGATTCTTTTTTTTCTGCCATGTATACGTATACATTTGAACTATACTGTGATGTTTCTATGTGCTGATCAGTGTACATTTAAAGTGACAAAGTTTTCATTCTATTCTACTGTAGATGCCCCCTCCAATTCGCACCACCGTTGTAAGTGCGGTTCCAGTCATGCCTCGTCCCCCGATGACTTCAGTGGTCCGTTTACCACCAGGATCCGTCATCGCAGCACCAATGCCCCCCATCATCCATGCCCCCCGGATTAATGTTGTCCAGATGCCGCCTTCAGGTCCACCTATTATGGCCCCACGGCCTCCTCCCATGATTGTGCCAACAGGTCAGTGCTGAGTGGACTCCTCTTCATAGCCATAATAGTAGGAAAATGAAAGTCCTTCGAATCCGGGGTCTCTTCAGACTTCCTGGAGGTAACATCCTTCCCAACATTCAGAGCTCCTGCAGTGCCCTCAGCAACAGCATTGAACATCACAAGGTGTCATTTAAAAAAAAAAAAAAAAAGCATGCTTCCATTCCCAAAAGGCTCCTCAGTTTTGTTAGAAAATTCCATGTAAGATTTTTTTACTGCTGCAAAAAACATTACGAGCCGAAAGTAAATGTTCTTAATGGTGAGGAGGCCAACATTGGCCTACTGGCTACTTTCGTGCAAAATATTAAGAGCATTGTGGTTTTAAATTGTACAGATTTATATGAACCACGCCAGTTGTGACCTAGTTGGCAAAAAGTAATTAAAAACCGAATGACTTTAGTATTTATATTCAGATATTGCTTTTTGTTTTGCAAAAATTAACACACCTTGTTATTCTCATCCAGTCCATTCTATTTTTGTTTCTTTTTTTTTTTTTTTTTTTTTTTGGCACTGGGAGTTTTCTACTGGTATGGAAGAAAGCACATTACCCATCTTAAATTATTAGAATTTGGTACATACACGCTTATATGACAGTATATAAATGTTTATAAAGAGTATATAAATGCTTATATGGAGTTTGGCAGCATCCTTGTGCAGGGTAAATGAATAGAGTGGGATTTGCATTTCAGGTTGAAACATGAAAAACTAAACTAGCTCTCTCTGATGATCATAGAGTTGCAGTTGAGCTAAGCCGTTGACTAATGATATTTAATTGTTACAATATAGGCTACAGACAGGGACCAGTCAGCAGTCCAGGTAAACTTCTTAAGTGTCACTGTGATCTCAGCTAATCGCTAACCTTCAAGTTCAGCTCTGATCTGCATGCATTCACTTCTGTCTGTCCAGGGTGGGACCCTGGCAAGTCCTCACTGTGATGTCTGTCTGTCTGTCAGTACTTCTGATCCTGTAGAGTTCTTGGCCTGATTTGTTGCTGCTCTTTTAAGGTGTCATGGTTTGCATGCTAACTTAGATGTTGGAGCTCCACTTTTGGGAGGGAGCCCGAGGCCGGAGCACAGAGGGATCCGTCCTAGGGGCCTTGCAAAAAGACCTGCTCTGAGCTGCATTGCATTGCTATAATCGTTGTGCAGCTGTTAACAATTGGCTTATTAAGGTAACAAGCAGGAGTGTCTGCGGTTTGGTTTGGTTAAAAAGAAAAAAATGGAGATTGCAGCCACAGTGATGTGCCCAAAACCCACCTGAGACGTATGTGCAAGGAAGATAAAATGGAGACGCATATAAAAGCAGACGGATCTTTGATCACACCATTGGGGGTTGCTGCCTGGACCCCTACAGACTTGTGCCAGCCAATTAGGATTTTTTTTCCCCCACTTGGGTGGTACCAAGAGTCAGTCAAGATGTCCGACCCTCGATTGTCGCATGGATGAGATTTGTTGAACGTTTTTGAAATCCTTCCTCTTTAAATAGGAAAAAAAAACCAGTTATTCCAGGCCAATCAACTGATTGACGGCAGAGTTGAGCATTTGCAAGCATAAAGGTGGGGGGTGGGGGTGGCGAAAGAGTATACATGCTTTAGTGAAACCACAGGACAGATCTTGCGTGCATTGCCTTATCCCAATGAACGTAACATAAAGCAAGTAGAAGTATACTAAAGGTACATGCAACAGTGAGCCTGGGATTGAAAGGGCCAGAGACAAGCTGCCATGAAATGGCCTTTAATATGAATCCTAAAGAAAAAGGGCTCCATTTCGCTAAACATTAATAATGATGCTTAGAGGCATTCACTCTTATTTAACCGTCATGTTTCTCCTGTGAAACCCAAGTTTTTAGAGGGACTGAGGTTTAGGCTCTTGGTCAATGGGGTATCTGGCTTGTGTGGTGTTTGGGTAAGAAAGGGGTGCCAGCCCCCCTAAGGATTCAGCTCAACTGACCTGCTTTTTAACAACAGCTTCTTTGCTTTGGAGTTACGACTGGTTACTTTCCTTTTCTCTTTTTCTTGCGTCTTCTCCTCCTCCTCCTCCGAAGCAAGGGGCGTCAAATGGGTCTCGTATTTGAAGAGCTGTAGTCCTTCCTGCAGATGCAGGGTGTGCCTTTTGGCCCCTGCATTGTTGCCTGGGGGAGCAGTAGCAGTAGCAGACATTTACAAAACTCAGTAGCCTTTCCAAAGGAAAGGGCCACTTAACATGGCCTCTTACGACTGCTTCTTGCAAGAGGCCATTTACGCAGGCCAAGGAAGAGCCCGTCTGTTAATTCTGAAGCAGATGTGGAAATAACCTTTTTAAGACCCTATTTGCCCCCCCCCTCTGCTTCAGGACGTTGTGCAGCCCTGTTCCTCCCTCCCTCCCCTGCCACCCCTCCCTCCCCGCTGCCTTCCAAATATTGCTTGCCGTTCTCTTTATCGAGCAAGTGTTTCCGTTGCTACAGCCTTTGTTCCAGCTCCACCAGTCGCTCCTGTCTCTGGTCCGTCCTCCGTGCCTCCAGTTCACCCCCCACCTCCCATGGACGATGAGCCGGCCTCTAAGAAACTGAAGTCCGAAGAAAATCTGATGCCAGAGGACGAGTTTCTACGCAGACACAAGGTGCAGAGTTGGGCCCTTAACGCAGGGCAGGCAGTCCTCGGCTTACGACCGAAAACGACCTCCACGTGTCCATTGCTAAGCAAGGCAGTGAAGGGAGCTTTGCCCCCATGTTACAACCTTGCTTGTCCCAGCTGTTAAGCGAGGAACACGGTGGCTGAGCAAATCGGGCTTCCCCATCTACCTTAAGGTCGCAAAAGGGGATCACAGGACCCCAGGAACGGCAACCGTCACAAGTAGGAGTCGGTTGCCAAGTATTTGAATTTTGATTGCGCAACCCCGGGGATGCTGTAGTAGTCCCAAGTATGAGAAATATCATGTCATTTTTTCCAGTGGCGTCTTAACTTTGAATGGTCACTAAATGGAAGGGTTGTAAGTCGAGGCCGCTTTAGCGAGTTTCGCACCCTTTAGGACAGGGTTTCTGAAAAGCTCGGCCTGTTGAAGAAGTCTGAACTTCAACTCCCAGAATTCCCCAGCCAAGCTTTTCAGAAACACTGCTTTAGAAGTTCCGTTTGGATAGTCCTCGGCTTATGACTGTAACCGAGCCCACAGTGTTGGTCATAAGTTGTGCGAAATGCTTCCATAGGGAGGCAGTTGGAACGAGCCCTTTCTAAAACAGCCCAGAAAATGGCTCTCTTTCCATTTCAACTCAAGTGTAGTGATTGTTCTTGGGCCTTGTGCTCTCGTCTCTGCTCCCCCCAGGGTCCGGTCACTGTCAAAGTCCAAGTCCCCAACATGCAGGACAAAACGGAATGGAAGTTGAATGGCCAAGTGCTGGTCTTCACCCTCCCCCTCTCTGACCAGGTACGTATATTGGCCAACGTTGTGATTGAGGGATTCTGGGAGTTGTAATCCATACACGAGCAAATAGCTTTAAAAAACTACTATGACCTAGAGACAGTGATGGGTTTCTTAATAAACCCAACTATTTGTGACCCCAGCTAGCTGGGTTGATCTGAGACCTGGAGAAAACCAAAACCGTTGCAACTTCAAATCGTCGCTAAATGAACGATTGCAAGTCAAGGAGTTCCTGTCTCTAAAATGCAGTCGAGTCTGTGTGTGGCATAACGGTATTTTTCCATTATGGCAAAATACCGGGGACCTTTGTGCCTCTCAACCAATCAATCAGAATAGAGCTGGAAGGGATCTTAGAGGTCTTCTAGTCCAACCCCATGCTCAACCAGGAGACCTATAACATTTCAGAGAAGTAGCTGTCCAGTCTCCTCTTAAAAAACTCTAGTGATGGAGCAGCCACAGCTTCTGGTGGCAAGCCGTTCCACTGGTTGATTGTCCTCACTGTTAGGAAACCTCTTTCTGATGTTGTACCATGTTCTGCTAAAGGGGTCCATTTTCTTCGGCCTGCAGGTTTCCGTTATCAAGGTGAAGATTCACGAGGCCACCGGCATGCCTGCCGGGAAACAGAAGCTCCAGTATGAGGTGAGTCAACAGGCCTTGGAAATGGACCCGCTCTACTTCCTCAGATGCCGCAGTTTACAAAGTGGATCCTGCTTTCCTTCTTTAATCCAGCCCTGCACGTTGCCGGTGCCTCCTTGACACAGAATCACCGGCTTAAATTAACGTATCCTCTCACTTCTCAGTTTGAACTCCTTTCTACTGCCGGCTGTCAAAGCCGACCAGATTTTCTTATTGGAGCAGAGCAAGTCTGCGTGTGTTAAATGTGTGTGTGCGTGGATCTACACACATCCAAGAAAAATAAGTCTTGTTTGATATTGACCAAAAGCCAAAATGGATTTTTTTTTTCCTCCCCCAGTATATTTCTCAGAGTCCCTTTAGCTAGATTTATTGAGAGAGAGATGGGGCTGCAGGAACTCTCAGCTCCAAATCTGCTCGGGGGGGAGGGGGGGCTTCTGCAGCCATTGTTGACTGCCTTATTGTGAACCAGAAAAGCAACTTGTCTCCCCCCCCCTCCGGATTCTTGCAATTGTTTATGTAACCCGTTTTATTCCTCAGTCGAAGGATTTTACCAATAGTTCTGCTTTTTATTTTGTGACTCTGGGTTTTGATACCATTTTAATCGGGATCTTAATCAGAATACAGCTGGAAGGGATGCTGGAGGTCTTCTAGTCCAAGCAGGAGACCCTATACCATTTTGGACAGGTGGCTATCCAGTCTCTTTTTTAAAAAAACCTTCAGTGATGAAGCACCCACAACTTCTGGTGGCAAGCTGTTCCATGGATTAATTGTTCTCCCTGTTAGGAAGTTTCTCCTTAATTCCAGGTTGCTTCTATCCTTGATCAGTTTTCATCCATTGTTTCTTGTCCTGCCTTCAGGTGCTTTGGAAAATAATTTGATCTCCATCCTCTTTGTGGCAGCCCCTCAAATACTGGAAAACTGCTCTCATGCCACTCCTAATCCTTGGTCTTGAAACCGGTCTTGTGTCTTTCAGGGCATCTTCATCAAAGATTCCAACTCCTTGGCTTACTACAACATGACCAGCGGGTCAGTGATTCACTTGGCCCTCAAAGAGAGAGGGGGCAGGAAGAAGTGAGCGTCCACCTCCAGTGTGATGGGACAGCCCGCTGTTTGACTTCCTCACCTGAGTAGCAGCCAGGCTGTTACGTCTTTCTCGGGCTGTTTTCTTGGCCCTGGGCATCTGTTTAGTACCCCAGAGGCTAGAGGAAATTGACCTTACCCATGCCGTCATTGTGAACGTTTGTGCTAATTCTGTGCTGTTTTTAGCAGCTTGCGATGTATTTGTAACGAGTTTGTGTTCCACTAGCACTTGGTTTAATTTCTCATAGCAATCTTTTCCCCTGGTAGTGGCTAAAACTGTCACAATTTAACCTCGTGTCTAAGGAGTTGGATGGATCTGCTTTGGTACAGAGTCTTTGACCTGTTGTGTGCAGCAATCGGTTTAATTGTCTAGTGACGAGCAGGTTTTGCTAGGCTCATTAAAAACCTCTTTGATTCCCCACCTGAACTTTGTGCGATCTCCTCGACTGACAGTACACGGCGGTTCTTTGTCTCCCTGAGTGTTTGAGAGAAAGCACAGTGTGCAAATGCACCCACACTTATTTGTGCTTCCCTGTGCTCAGAATATTTTCCAGAAGAAAAGTGTCAGACCTGCCCCAGGTCGGGCCCTGGAAAAGAAAGACTCTCGACTCCATTAGGTTGAAGGGATAGGCTCTTTCACTAAGGAATAGTGGTTGCAGCAAAAGCAAGGGTAGATCTAAAGTTCCCATGCAAAATTGCAAGATTTTCCCCTGTTGTTGTTCTCACCCGACTGGATTATCAGTGTCCAATAGCATCTCAGTTTGATGTTGAATCCAGAGACCCCTTCTAAATTAGTTCCTAGTACTGTTCCTTTCCTTCAGCTCTGCAAAAGCCTTCCGTATCCTTATATCCTTCATGATCTGCCCCCCCCTTTAAAAAAAAGCTCTCCCTTCCCGCCACCATAATTAGGGGACCTGCTTACGGGATCGTAAGTCCAAAGAACCACCAATAACCTCCCGAGACCACATTGTAGAACATAAACCTGGTTACACTACATGAGACCAACTCTCCAGCAGCATATAAGACACATAACTGTCGTGTTCAATATAACATGTAGGAAAGACCACATATATCCCTCAAGCAAGAAGCTGCTGCTCTGGGCCCTGGCCCACTCACGGTTGCCCTGGGGGGCTGGTGCTGTCCCACACACTGGGCTGGTTCTGACCTACCAGACGGGGAGCAGGCTGGCCGAGTGGCTGCTTGGACAGTCTATCGGCCAAGGCTTTGGACTGCTACAGGGGGGTCCAGGGGTGAGGGGCTTCTGGGCAGGGGCTTGCTGGACTGGCTTGCAGAGCAATAGCTGGGGGGGCAGCTGGCAGGGGGGGCTTGATCTTTTTCATTAAAGTCTTCATTTGGAAAGCCAGCAGAACCCTTTAACTGCTACGACGGGTATAACTCAGCCCTAAAGGTCTCTCTTTAACTGAGACAGAAGATGGGGCAACGCGGGTGGCTGGGTGGGAGGGGCTGGCGTCCGCCCCTCCCCTTTCCTCCTGTTGCTCTAACGTGGGGGCTTGCGCGCCGCCGCCGCCGCCTCCGGGTTCCGCGCTCGTCAGCACGCGTCCCTCCTGCGGGTGAAACCTGGATTCAGCCCGAGTAGCTCGGGACACGGCGAGTGGATCCCCTCTTCTTCCTCGTTCTCCTCCTCCTCCTCCTTCCTCTTCCTTCCCCCTCCCCAGGGGGCGCCTCTGCTTCTCGTCCCGGAAGCCGCGTTCTTGGACCAGCCGCGGGGGGATCGCGCGAAGCCCGCGGGCGGCAGCGGCGACGGGCAGGCATGGAGGCGGCCGGCCGAGGCTCCCCCTGCCCGGATCTGCGCGCTCCTCTTTGGCCGCGGCTCTGCTGCCTGCTGCTCCTGCTCCCGCGGCCGGGCAGCGGCACCTGGACCCGCGCGGGGCTGCAATTCGCCTCCCGCAGGTAAGGGACCAGCTTTTGTCCCCCCCCTCCCCCTGACCTGACGGCCCTGGAAGCGAGGAAGCCCGCCGGGCGGTGCAGGAACCACAGGTAGGTGCTCCTGAAGGGGGAACACCGTACCTGTGTTGGGGGACGGCCAGGGCCGCTGCCCTGATTTCTTTGCCGCTGGCTTCCTGGCGGAACCGGGGGAGCGAGGCTGCCTTTCCAGAGCCCGTTCGCACGACCCGTTGGACTTCAAGCGAGCCGACTGCGTGCCGGGACAGCGTGTTGCGGGAATGCAGCCTGAGCGGCGCAAAAAAGAAACGGATGTTGTAGATCGGGATTCAGTTAACCGTGGACGAGTGTTTTGTGTGTGTGCGTGTGTGGGAACGCAGCCCTGTTTAGGGGAACCGGAGCTCGGATTGCCCGGGATCTTGCATCTCAGTTTATGGAAGAAGCCACCAGCCTTTTGTGGGGGTGGCTGTGTGGGCTGGAAAGTCTACATTACAACCAAAACAGGTCAAGAAACTGTCATTATGGCATGTCAGGCTGCCTGAATCCAGTTGTGGAACTCAAGGAATCTGCAGCCGTATTTTTAAAGCGAGATCTAGTGGCAGTGAGTTCCATGGGCTCAGGATGCTTTGTATGGCCTGGGTGTTTGCTAGTTCTGACTTTGGGTGGGGGTCGGAAGCCTGGCTCCACGGCAGCCCCCTTGACTTTCCCAAACCAGCCAACCACTGCCTTCTGCTCCATCAAGAAGCTGCTTGGCTGGTGGAATTCTGCATTTTTTTTCTTTATTGCTCCATCAGAGTAAAGCAGGCTCCGTCCAAGGGCACTGCTGACAACATGAGTTGCGACAGCAGGCCAGACACGGCCTTGGTATCCGGGCTCGGGATCCTTCCCCCTCAAGGCTCCCTTGAAAATGGAGAAAGAATCAGAATCTGGATAATGACAGGGAGAGAAGGGAAGTTGCTGTGCTTCCTCCAAAGGAAGGAAGGAAGGAAGGAGGGTGCGTTTAATTATAGACCCAAGGCTGAGGAGTCATGGAGACGCCAGGCTGGACTTCCAGGCTCCCTCTGGACGATCAGCAACCTTGACCACAGGGGCCAGGCGGAAACCAGATACCCCCAACTTCTGTGGGCAAGCTTGGGTCATCAGCTCCAAGTGTGGCACCCAAATTGCCTGTTGAGTGGGTGGGTGAGTTCCTGGTGCCTCCCACCCTCACGGTGGTCTTGCAGTGCGGGGGAGGGAGGGCAGATGAGGGAGCAGGGAATTCTGCTTTGCACTTCTCCCAGCTGCTGGCACTGGTCCATCCAGCTGTGGGCAGGCCTCCCTCTTCCCAGATGCTGAGCCCAGCATCCCAGCAGCAATTGTGGCTACTTCCACAGCAGAGACCTTTTAACCTCCTGTTCCCAGCCAGGTCCTCTGGCCAGGGGATCGGCCAGCCGGCCGGCCACCCACACACAGGCCTTCAGAAGAGGCGGAATTACAGGGAAAGGCGACACATAAAGAGCCTTTTGTGATATGGGGGGCTTAGCAGGGAGTGCCAGGCGGCCTGTTCCTCCAGGACTGGCAGAGGGGGCTGCAGGCTGGCAGGACGCTGCAAGCCACCATGGGGAGATTCCCAACAGCTTGGGAAGAGTAGAGCCTTCCCAGGTGAAGTTAAGCTATTACAGTACACGGTTTATTCATTTGATAACCAACAGCAAATTTTCTTAGCTTATTGTGTGAAGGCAGGAGGGAATCCAGAGGCTCCTGAGCGTTGCCTGTTTAGAGTTGGCACCCCTATGATCCCATTTGGTGAGGATTCCCAGGCTGTTTCACTGCTTTTTGTTTTCATTAACGATAGATCTACTGTAATTAAACTGCGTAAGAGAATTGAAATCGTCTCGCCGGGAAGAGGCGCCTGGTGCTGACTTGAGTCCTGTGGTGATGCCCAAAGCGTTTTTTATTCACATCTTGTGGGAATCACATCTTGTGGGAATAATATCCATAGGCGGACTCTTGTGTTTTGCTGAAAAGGTGCTTTTAAAACGGTTCCAAGTCTCTCTAGGATGAAGACAACTTTTTATATCATTCATCTCTACTTCAAAGTGGGAGCCTCCCCCCCCCTCTTAATTCCATTTATTTTCAACCACTATAGTTCAACGGTGTGGCTGGGGATGACTCCGGGGACATGGGGGATGTTAAGGACTGCTTGGGGTTCTCAGCCAGGGATTCCCCTCCTTGTTCTTTGCTTCCTGCCAACAATCATCATTCCTGGAAGTGCAAAGTTTGCTCCCTGGCAAGAGGATGGGCGAAATTCTTCTGGCACCTTCTCAGCATCCGTTTCGGTGCCAGGCCATTGAACGAGCGGCGTGTTCCTCCGAAGGCTTATTGGAGGACGTCTGTCAGCCCTGCAGGAGCTTAATGCCTAAAGTTAACGGGATTCGGCAGCCCCTTTTTGACCTGGCTGAATGCTTACACACACACACACACACACACACACACACACACACACACACACACACACACCAGGTCTGAATCAATGGCTCCCAAAAGAAGATGAACTCCAAATAAGGGAATGATTAACAGGATGTGCTCTTCTCCTGACTTGCTGGGAGTTTCCTTGATTAAATAGGAACCCTAATAAAGGAGAGTCTTTATAGCTCAGGGTTGACATGAGGGTCCTTGGTGCTCTCCGAGCTTGCTTGCTTTCTTGCAGACGCTTCATGACCCAAACTAGGTAACATGGTCATCAGTGCTAGAAGGGAGAGGAGGAGGTAGAGGAGGAGGAGGAGGAGGAAGAGGAAAAGGAAAAGGAAAAGGAGAAGGAGGATTGCAGACTAGGTAATCAATGCTCTGAGGACATTATCTAGTTTGGTCATGAGACGTCTGCAGGAACCCATCAAGCTCAGGGGGCACCAAGGACCCCTCAAACAGGAACCCTTTGGAGAGAGATGGCCAACCGTGTCAAAGCGTTGTAACTTCGAATTGGGGGGGGGCTAAGCATATTATCCTTACCCTCTGGGGCACGATCCCATCACAATTTCGACAACAATACAAGAAATACAAAATGTGGACTCTAAAATCTAAAAGAGCTGCTGAACCAATGTTGCAGGACAAGGACTGCCGACTTGTGCACGTTGGAAGGGCTGGGGAGGTGGAGAGAGGGGCAGCACAGGGTCATGCACACCCCCTACGTAGAATGGAAGGGGGGGGTTTCCTTCCTCCAGCCTCCCATTCAGTGATTGATGACTCTGGCGTGGAAAATTACAAACTCTCCAGATGAGAACTTGGCAGTGAAGGGCGGAGGGAATTTCCCTTCCTTTGCTTCTTCAGAGCAGTCCTGCAGCTGGGATCTTTTGCACCCTTTCCAAGTTCCTGCTCTCCCATCCTCTGCATGGCGGGCACCCCCTGCACGTCTCCTCATTGCCCGAATGGCGAAGAGCCCATGCAGTTGCACGCCAACAATGAACGCCTTCAGCAGCTCACGAGTAGTCTTCCTCGGCCAGTTAGGGCGAGCGGCTGCGGCTGCATTGGGAAAAAAACCGCTTTGTTTGGGTTAAGCAACAGCCATGCAATCCTAGGTCTGGATGGTCTGTCTTTCCCAGGCAGAAACCAAGGTCCTGCCTTGGATTTTCTTTCTTGGAAAGCGAAGGAATCGACAAAAGCCAGGGCCGAATTGGACCAGGTACAGGAACCTGGAAAGTTGGGTTTGAAAATGAAAAATGTCCATGAAAAGAATGCTAAATGAAACTTAGATTTTTAACCCCGTGAGCCAAACAGTTGGTCTCTGTCTGCTGGCCTTGGAGATGCCTGGACAAGTTGAGTGGGTTTCCACATTGCAGCAATGCCTGGTTTGTTTAATTCTGATTGGTTGAGTAAGGCAGCATTGTTTAATAAATGGAATCGGGTCAATTTAGGAAATCCTAGCTGAATTAGCCATAGCCTGGTTTTTACAGCCTTCCATGTTTTAATTTACAAGCTCTAGGGCAAGTTGGCTCAAGACCAGAGCATAAATATGTTCAGTAAACAAACCAAAGCTTATCTAACCAGCATCCTCTTTCCCACACAGCTGTTAATCACTGGCACATCTCTATCAGGGGTGAGAAGTTACAGGTCAGCACACTGGGGATGGCCGGAGATATAAAAATGACACAGATCAGGCTCAGAGACACATTCCATTTGAGTTAATTAAACCAAAATGAGTTAAACGGGGCTGGTAATTCCCTGTGCTTTAATTCTTGGTCCTTTCTGTTGCATTAAAATCACACTTTGGGGGGCAGTTTTCAGAAGGATTATGGGGACTTTGAGGAGAGAGATGGCATTTCAAAGCTCCAGGTGGTGCATCTGTTTCTAACACGGGCAAAAATGATATAGAAGAAGTGGCAGAAGCTAAGGGTAGAGTGAAAAGAGGAATCAGCCTAGAATCCCTACGTAGCCACAAGCAAACCAAAACCCATCTCCTTTGAATTTTGCTGGCCCTTATCTAACTCCAAGCAGGTGCAAAACAGGAGCGGAATAGATTCCTGCACATAGACATGAATACCAATAAATCAGTTCAATCCGACCTTCACATATGGACCTGATTCTGCATCCAACGATCATTAAGTGACGAGGACGGTTGACCTCTACTTTTGAATTATGCCTGTCCTAATTCATTGATTTCCAACATGTGGCCCAGATGTGGCGCCCACAAATAAATGTATATTTTTCTGCAAGATCCTCTGATCTTATTGGATGTTGTCGTCCCATCTGAAATCAAATAAGAGTTTGCTAACCGACTCTGAATTTTGCAAGATTTCAGGCTGGCGCTCCAGTTTTGGAGATTGGGTGGCCTCCCACGATGGCGAGGCCTTCCTTTCAATCAGAATTCTGTTTAGTTTTTTTGAAGTCTTGCAGACTTCCACCTCAGGAATGGAAACATGGGCTTGGTGCCCAACGCACCACATTGCCGACCCACAGAGCTTGTGGTGATCTTCAGAGGGTTTGGTTGATGCTGTCACGACCTACACTAAGTAAACCCTTGGGAGTGGCTGCCCTTGGTGACCTCCTGCATTGTGGTCTCTTTCAGAAACTGGTGTCCCTACACGGTCATCAAGACGGTTTCCTGTCACATCCAAAATGGCACCTATCTCCAGAGAGTTTTCCAGAATTGTCGCTGGCCTATGAGCTGTTCAGGGGGCAGGTGAGGACTCAGGTGAAAGAGGAACATTAAGGTCTCCCAAACCCACCGTATCTCTTCACCATTCCAATCCAAAAAAACCCAGGCTTCTACTGGCCTCATAGAGGAACCACGGTTAAAACGGTGATGAAAAAAATAACTTTGCATCTCCAGCCCTCCCAGGTCTGAAAGCGAAGAAGGGCTGAAGTCACCTCATAAGCACCGTCACAGTTTCTCTTAATAATCAAGTTGTCAGTCACGGTTGCAGTGAGTAAATGGGGACTATCTGCATTTACTTCCCCAGCTGGCCTTCCCCCGGCTTGGTTTGGAGACCCCCTGCTCTAAATGCTTGGTTCCTTGGTCTCCCTTTTGAATTCTCCCTCCAGGCACAATTGCCCAAGGTTGTCCCTGTCACTTGAAGTTGCTTGTTCTTCTTTTGCCCTCTAGCTACAGGACGGTGATCCGACCGACGTACAGACAGGCGTATAAGACGGTCACAGCCCTGGAGTGGAAATGTTGCTCTGGGCATACGGGAATCAACTGCGAAGCAGGTACTGTGTGTGTGTTTGTGAGAGAGAATGACAAAGCTTAATGTCTACGGAGGTTCTCCGTCCTACAGGTCCTGGTTGTCCCAAAGACATTTTTTCAAGAGGCAACTGGACTTCCTAGTTTTTCTTTGAAGACGTTTCGTTTCTCATCCCAGAAGCTTCTTCAGCTCTGACTGGATGGTGGGGAAATGAAAGGATTTATACTCCTTGCAGTCAGCTGGTCATTTGCCTTCGTTGAGTCCACTTGGAGCTGACCTTGAGGACACAGATTAAACCCCCAAGTGGCCTCATTCTCCTCTTAAAAGGCCCCCTTTAATACAGATGTCTCTCTCGATGGGAGAGGAGCTCAGGTGATCTCAGGAAGCAGAAGAATCTGGAAAGGAAATAGGACGGCTGGCACAGACGTTGGGAATGTTGCTGCTCCAGCAAGGGAGGTTAATAAACAGGGACAACAGAGCATTTCCTGAGCCCTCCTGTACTTGCGTCACTAAAAGGCTGATCTCACAGGATGGCCAACGGGGCAGGGAGAACAAACAGAATAACAGAGTTGGAAGGGATCTTAGAGGTCTTCTAGTCCAGCCCTCTGCTCAAGCAGGACACCCTGTATCATTTCAGAAAGATGTTTTTTTTTTAAAAAAACAAACCTGCAAAAAATATAATGTGATAGGAGGACTGAGCCTCCCCTTTGCTTCACTGCCCAGGGTCCCTTGGAACATCTCCCTGGTCCATTGAATTCCAGCTGCATGAGACGTGAAGAAGCCCTCCCTTTGTTTTCCCCCTCTCCCCTCTTTTCAGAGCAAATATTTATGCTGGGTCTTGTCTGGCCGAGGGAAAGGGATGGAGGTCAGGGCAGGGTGGGCTTTGAGGGAACAGCTCGGGCACATCAACAATCCTTTCTTCGCTGGGTCCCAGCTGGTGACCTGAACTGAACCCGAGACTTGCAGAAAAAAAGAAAGCTGAAAGAAGAAGAAAGAGAGGCAGAGCCAGAAGGATGAGGCGGTGACAACTTTCTGAGCGCCTCTGTGACAAAAAAGAGTGTGTGTATGTGTGTGTGTGTGTGTGTTGGGGGCAATAGGTTGACATGGTAAATCACTCAGAGAAGCAGAGTAAAGTGGTATATAAGTCTAAGTGCTATTGCTATTCCTTCCTTCCTTCCTTCCTTCCTTCCTTCCTTCCTTCCTTCCTTCCTTCCTTCCTTCCTTCTTTCCTTCCTTCTTTCCCTCCCTCCCAGTGGGTTGGACTAGAAGACCTCAAAGGTCCCTTCTATACTCTGTTATTCTGTTATATCCTTTTTCTTTTGCTTTTTCAGAAACCGTCAGTTACCAGGATGTTCCAGGTGCCACACACGGGATCCCGGCTCTGAGCAGAGTGCCCATTCGACCTGCAACGTATTCCGGTGAGAGGATTTTATCTTTTCAATTTCCAATTTCTGTCTTGTCCAGAAAAATGTTAAAACTCCTTTTTTTTTTTTTTTAACCTCCACAGGTTGTTTCAACTGCAGCAAATTCTCCGAGCTTTTGGAAAAAGTAAACCTCCTGGAAGCCAAGGTTATTTCCTTTCTTCTCTTTCTTTTTTCAATAATGTGTATTCAGAACTACATTAAAAGGATACAAGAAGCTAATACAAAAAAGAAACAATTTAAAAAAAGAAAAGAAAAATATTAAAACGGGCAGAAAAATCCCCCGAAATAAAGAAGGGGGGGAAAGCAAATTGCCCCCTTATCAGAGATGGAAAGGTTAACTATTTTAATTTGGGAAAAGAATATAACAAGCGTTTTTTCTTGGGAACTGCTTCTGAGCTAACTGTCTCACTTAGCAATGGAAACTGTGGGCTTAGCTGTCATAAGTCAAGGACTGCAGCTATTTGCGTACCAGCTGTATTTTGGTGCCTGTGTTAAAGCCTGAAGTCTGACGAATTTGTCCCATTTTGGCCCCCCCCCCAGGTAGCTACCTTCACAGCAGCTGGATCCGGACCCTCGGCCATATCTCGACAATGCTCCACAGGCAATACGGCCCCCAACCCTTTAAATCTGTGGGACCCTCAGGGCACGCCAGGAAAACCCGGAGAAGAACGCGGGACAGGTCAGTGAGCGAGAAGGGAGGCTTCCTGCAAGGGGTTTGTGCAGGGTGGGCAGAAAAGTCAAGATGGCAGCCATGGCAGTGGGAGCAAAGCCCCACCTGGTTTGTTGTTGTTGTTGTTGTTCTGGGTGTCTCTCGTGCAAAGGTGTCTCTGAGATCTACACCCAACCTGATGCATTGTGTGGTGTGCGGATAGAACAGAATAAAAAATGTGGAAATAATTAGAATAGAGTAGAGTAGAGTAGAGTAGAGTAGAATAGAATAGAATAGAATAGAATAGAATAGAATAGAATAGAATAGAATAGAATTCTTTATTGATCAAGTGTGATTGGACACAGAAGGAATTTGTCTCCGGTGCAGAAGCTCATAGTGTCTGTTTATGTGTACACACACACACACACACACACACACACACACACACACATTAATCAGCTTCAGAGACTCAGCCCCAGCCCCCCCTGGCTCTCTCCCCAGATCCAGTGTGGTATCAGAGTTGGGGAGTATGAGACGAGGGGGCTGGGGCGGAAAACGGCTGCATCCCAGGGCATCTGGGACTGGCTGCCTCTCAGCTCCGGGGCTGGTTTCAGTTTCTGCAGCTGGAAAGATTTATCTGACCCCCCCCCTACAACTCCCCCCCCTTTATTGCAACACAACATATGCTTCTGGTTTGGTATGTAAGCATTGAGAAAGGTTGATTGCTGGGCTGGCTCCATTTTGCACAAAGGGAGGGCCGGGAAGGGTGTGTGTGTGTGTGATGAGCAGGGGTTAAGTGTGTGTGGGGCTCTGTTTCCCCTCGCTCAGGATGGCAAATGTGTGCTGGAACACCCCCCCCCGCCCCGCCCTTCATCTCGCCACAACCAGAAAGGCGATCCTGGGCAGCCAGAAGGGGACTGACTGGGAGGGGGGGTCTTCTGGCTGCCTGAACCGAATTGGCAACCCCCTCCTCTCTGTCTCCTCCTAATTGTTTTGCAATGCAGCCCCCTCCCCAACTGGCAGTTAGTAGCAAAGAGGCTATGGGGAGCTGGTGTGGGGCCCAGGCAGGATGCTTCAGCTTCAGCAGCTTTAAATCTGCTATAAATTACATGATAGGGGTTCGATATTTGCTTTGAACAAGCAGAGTCGATGGGAAGCCAGATTCACTTAAGGACCATACGATTCATTTAACGATTGCGCTGATTTTGTTTAACCACCCTGGCCCAAAAAAAAAAAAAAAAAAAAAAGGTCACAAAATTGGGTACCACCCACTACTGCCTTGCTTAGCAAAAGGAATTCCGATCCCGATTGTGGTTGTTAAGTTGAGAACCACCGCAAGTCCTCCATTTATGACCACCACGGAGCCCAAAATTTCTGTCACTGAGTGAGATATTCGCTGAGTGAGCTACACCCCATTTTATGACTTTTCTAGCCACAGTAGTTAAGCGAACCACTGCGGGGTTTAAATTAGGAACAGGGTGGGGAAGTGAATTCCGGCCTCCCCATGGATTTTGCTGGTGTCACTAAATGAACCGTTGTAAGTCTCTGCAGGTATTTGGGGTTTGATTTAAACCTCCCCCCCATTTAACAATCATGAACAACTTTTTTCTGTGTTTCAGGAAGATTGGCTTCCGAAGGACCAGCAGGCCCCGTAGGGCCCAAGGGTGATGCTGGGATTCGGGGCCCTTCGGGCGTTCCTGGGGTCAAGGGCCCCGTTGGACCACAGGGTAAATTTGTCACGAGGTGCACGTCCGATTTTGTCCAGGGAATCCCGGTTCAGATGCCAAAGAACATGGATTAAAACCCGCTCTGGGAGCTGCCTGCATTCTGACCACTGCGTTTTCAGTTGTTACTTGCTTGGTTCATCCTTCTCCATTGTCTACATTTATTTCTTCCAGGTCCTCCAGGTCCACCTGGCCCACCAGGACGAGATGGAGCAAGGGGCTTTCCTGGTGAGAAGGGTCTCCCTGGACCTCCTGGACCACCGGGACCACCAGCCCCAGTCGGTCCCCAAATTTCACCCATCCCAGATCAAAGTAAGTCCAAGCAAGGCTGGCTGGGGAATCCTCCTCCTCCTCCTCCTCCTCCTCCTCCTCCTCCTCCTCCTCCTCCTCCTCCTCCTCCTCCTCCATACATCTCAGGAGAGACACCGCAGTGGATGGAGATACCTGGGTGTTCTTCATGAAATTTTCTTCATCATCTTTCTTTTCTCTTCTGTTTTAGGGGATCTGCTCCTCTCCAACTCCTTCACTGAAACTGCTATAACTGGTCCAATTGGACCTCCAGGACTTCCGGGCCCAATTGGTAAGAATAGCTACATCCCAACCAACCTCACTCTGCCTGTTGCCTTTGAATAGAATTCACAACGTTTTGGAGTTCTCTGAGCTTGTTTTCATCCTAACAAGGACAAAATCTCCATCAGTCAGTTGCTAACAGTAGCTTTACCTGGAACAGCATCCATCCTGTGATGATAGCGTTGACACCATCAAACATCCATATCTGCCTATCCCAATTCCCAGAAGTCTCCAGCCCCCTTTTTCTTACACTAGCCATTCAGCAGGTTGACCAGGATGTGCCATCTTCTTCTCTCTAGGTCCCCCAGGACCCGCTGGAAAACCAGGTTCTCCAGGGCTTGATGTAAGTAGACCATCCATCTCCCCAGGAAGAGAATTGGGGAAGGCGGATGGAATTCTCTTTGGGAAGAAGGGGGGAATTCCACCTCTGTTGCTGTTGTGGTTTATTTAAGATGTATGTTTTCATGGGGGGGGGGGGAAGAGATTGTTTCCTGGCTCCCTGGAATTCCTAATATTGGGATGTTATCAAGGAGAGAGCCAACCTACGTAGGATGAAGGAGAAATTTCCTTAGGAAAACAAGTAACCAGTAGAACGCCTCACCTCCAGAAGCTGTGGGTGCTCCATCACTGGAGGTTTTCAAGAAGAAACTGGACAGCCCTTTGCCCAGAACTGTACAGGGTCTCCTACTTGAGCAGGGGGTTGGACTGGAAGACCTCCAAGGGCCCTTCCAACTTTATCATTTTCTTATTCTGTTATCCTGAGATTCAAGAATTCCCAATGTTGGGAGGTGAAGGTCTACAACTCCCGGGAAGCCTAGCCTGCAAACTCCTGAGTTCCATCACCAGTTGTGAAGAATGTCTTGTGTCTGTAGTAGTTTATGTGAAGATATCTGTTGAGATGTTAGACAGAAATGGAGGGCAAGTTGGGATGTGGCCACTGAGGGGCATCACTTAGAGGAACCAGGGCAGGAGAAGGAAACGGTCAGGAATTCCCGGGAGGAAAATATGCTCGGGAAGCACCCGACCTCGTCTGACACAGTGTGATGGCTTCTTCCAGGGAATTCCAGGATCACCAGGTGGTGATGGGGCCGCTGGTACCCTTGGGCAGAAAGGAGAAAAGGTGAGTTTCCAGTTTGGCTTCCTCTGGAAGTTGAGGATCCAAGCAGGTGCCCCTGAAACAGAGACGGGCCACAGTGAATTGGACCTTCTTGCTGTCCCCAGTATGAGCCATCTCTCCTTTGTCTTTCCCATGGCTGAATTCCCCTTCCCCAAATTTGGTTGTGCTGGATTACAGTGCCCATTTTCCCCATCCTATACATGCAGGCCTGATGGGAGTTGTAGTCCAGCTCCTTTTCAGCAAAGAGCCAGCTTTCCTGGTTACCTAACATCTGTATTTTGGTGTCTTGCAGGGCGAAGCAGGACCCAAGGGTGACCCAGGCGAGAAGGGGTCCTGGGTAAGTTCTGGGTGATGATAGCCCCCTTTCCTCCCTCTCTCTCCTCCGTAGCTCTTATTTCTTGGTGTCTCGGGCCAAGAAGACCCCCCATCTTTGTAAACAGTCTGTCCCACCTGCCCAAGAACAAGGGGGCGGGGGTAGCAGCCATCCGAAAGACCTTCAGTCAGAAAATGAAAAGGCAGAACGGTTGGGACGTCATCAGCTCCCCCCAAATTGGTCATCCGGGTTTTTCAGTTTTTCATTGAGAATGTTCAAACCTCAGACAACTTTACGTCAGAAGTTCAGCATTTGGGGAGATTGCATACTTGAAAAAAAAAAAAAAACCACCACTAAATAATTACTGATAGAAGAGAATATTTGTAGCTCCGGGCTGGTTCTTGGTGCTCTCTGAGCTGGGTGGTTTTCTTGCAGACGTTTCATTACCCAGACTAGGTGACATCATCAGTGCTAGAAGGCAGAGGAGAGGAGGAGGAGGAAGAGGAGGAGAAGAAGGAGGAGGAGGATTGTGGGGTCCTTGGTGCTCTCTGAGCTGGGTGGTTTTCTTGCAGACGTTTCATTACCCAACTAGGTAACGTCATCAGTGCTAGAAGGGAGTGGTGGTGCTTTTAAAAAGGGGGGAGGCTTCAATTATTCAGTCACAGCTTCCATTTGCATCCTCTTTGGTGGATCCTCCTCTTTAAGGCTAATTAAATACTCGCTTTTATTATAAAGTGGGAGGGATTGGACGGACCCCCTGAAACAGGGATGACATTTATACTTGATGGTCTCCCGTTTGCTCCTTGCCTCTGAAGAATGGCTTTCCTCTGTGTGATAAGAAGCTGTTATCTGGGTTGCGATGAGATCCTCTGAGTAATGCAATCATGCACAGGAAACTCTCCCTTCCTTTCTTCTTTTCCTCCCTTCCTCCCCCCCCCCCCGAATGCCCAGGCCACCAACTCACCTATACAGCCCTTTGCAATGTCCCACATTCGGGGAGTTGAAGTCCACAAGTCATCAAAGGGCCAAATTTGAAAACCCCTGTTTTAAACCCTTCCCTGCTCTTCCTTTCCACACAGCAACTTTTAATAACAGCAATAAGAGATAGGTAAAGGTGGCTCCTTAGGCTCATCTGAGGTCAGTCACAGCTCAGCCTCCCTAACCAGGAGAAGATGGCCAGGAAAAGCTGCTTTAGATGCCTCCTCCGGAGCTCTCGAGGCCAAAACGCCAAGCATGAATCTCCAATTAACCCGCCTGTCGTGGCTGGGCCACGGGACGTGGTCATGGCAAGCTTCCTGCACCCTGGACCAAGGCTTGATGTGGATGGCCTGCAAGTTCTCCTCTAACCCTGTAATTCTTCAGGGGCGGGGTTGCAAGTTTCTGAGGATGTAATGCAAAAGCACCCCCCTTCCCCCCCCTTCTCTAGACAGCATGTTTTCTTGCACACGTTTAGTTCCTTCCCTGTAGGCCAAATCCTGCACCAGCTGGTTCTCTTTGCCTGCTTGGCAGCTTCCTCCCCAGAAACACTCTGTGCATGAAAGATGCCTGGTTGCCCATGAAAAGGCTTGACTCCCTTCCTGCCTGAATAATAACTGGATTCACACATACGCCCTCCTGCGGATAAACCCAAGTGTTTGGTGGTTCGGATGCCTGCGAGAAAGTTGGGAGCGTCTAGGAAAGGCACGGCGGGCCTCCCTCTCCTTTCTCTCCCCCCGCCCCACCCCTGCACACGCGTGTGCGTGCCTTCCTTTCACGGCTGTGTCTGTCTCTTTCGTCCGCAGGGGGAGGGGTTACACCAGCTCCGAGAGGCTTTGAAGATTTTAGCAGAAAGGGTTTTAATCTTGGAGGCCATGATTGGGCTGCATGGTGAGTAGAGACAGGGAAGGAGGACAGATACCCCAAAGTTAGCCGCTCTCTGGGCTGAAGGGCCCGGGGTCTCGGAGCCCACCTTCCCCGACTTGAGCTCGCTGGATAGGATGGGGCTGCAGATTCTGGCACCCCAGGTTTTGTCCCTGTTGATCGGGAAGGCACCAAGGTAGAAAAGGCTGGCCTGGATGGATGCATCTGTTGGGAGAAGCTGCTTGGACCGACCTATCTGTCTGTTTGGAAGTCTGGGAGCTGGATGGGTACATATGAAAAGCGACATATCCCCTCCATCCAGATGGTCTGGCTCCTTCCTTCCTTCCTTCCTTCCTTCCTTCCTTCCTTCCTTCCTTCCTTCCTTCCTTCCTTCCTTCCTTCCCTCCCTCCCTCCCTCCCTCCCTCCCTCCCTCCCTCCCTCCCTTCCTTCCTTCTTAACTTCTCCCTTTCTCAGGCTCCCCTTTATCTACCTACCTTCCTTCCTTCTTTTTCCCTTTCTCATGCTCCTTCTTTCTTTCCTTCCTTCTTTCCCTCCTTCCCAGAGAAACTGGATTTCAGGCCTATGAGCATTCAGAGGGCTCCCCCTGGTGGCCAAAGAAAGGAAAAATGTTTATCTCTTTTGCACAATCTTGGTGATGGATGCTGGACTGTAATTTCCCACAAGTACATTAATGCAGCCAGTATCAGCAGCAGCAGCTTAGGGAAACTGGATCCAGATAGTGACAAGACCTCAGGAATCAGCCCTCTGTGACGAGCTTTTGTGACTTTGTGATGAGCTGAGTCCAGGGGGAGGCCAGATTCTCTTAACGACTATGGCAGGAGTGTTCGCAAAATGCGGCAAAAACAAAAATCACAACAATGGTCTTGCTGAGCAACATAAATTTTGGGCTTCACTGTGGCTGTAACTTGAGGACCACCTGTACTTCCTTTCAGCCTTATCATTTAAGGCAGGGAGAGAATAATGTTACTGCTGTTATTGAATGCTTGCAAATCAGTCTTTTTTTCTTCTTCTTTTTGCTGGATTCCTGCCTCTTTCTGAATTGGGATCCTGTCTCTGTTATTTCTGTTCATTGGGGAGCTTAGGCTCCCGTGTCAAGTGGGAACAGGGTTGTGTCAGGATGTGTCTTCCGGGAAAAACCTCTCTCCCTTGTCTCCGTCTGTTCCTAGAGGGGGGCTCTGTGGTGCACATCTCTGTTGTGAGTCACTTATCTGCCTTGTCTGTTGTGCGCACGCTCAGACCAAACCCATACTGATAGCCCTTGCCTTTTTCAAAAAGGAATTTGCACTCTTTTTTTTTTCTTTCATGGGAAAAATATATAACATCTATATATATTAGAGTTAGAACGCTCCTTGGATGAGAAGGGAAACGTTTTCGAAAGAAAAAACAACAACCAAAGAACGTCCAGTTGCCTTTTGGGGTTTTAAAAAAAAAACCACCTTTGGGACAACCACAATTTGGATGATGGAGAATTTCCATAGACATTTAGCCACCTTGAATTTAGTGGTGGAAATCCTGATCCCAAGTGTGGGTCGTAAGTCAAGGACTGCCTATATATTTAAAAAAAACCACAAACCTGCATTTTTCAGTTCTTCGTCTCTGGAAGTCTCAATTCCCTCCAAACTCAGAACTTCTCCTTATCAGGCACGACCTGCAGGTTCCATATAGGGGAGAAATCCCTGGGTACCTTTCTCTCTATCCCGTAAGGGAGACCCTCTCTCACCCCCCCCCATACCCCTAGCGCCATCTTTCCAAAGGACCCTGACTCCCCCCCGCCCCCTCCCCTTCCTGTTCCCTGCGGGTGGCTCAATCAATTTGCACTCTGCTCTTCTCGCTCCCGCCAGGCCATTAGCTTGCCAAGCTTCCTAGAACAGCAAGCCCAGCTGGAGCTCCTGGCTAGGAGAGTCACCTTGCTGGAAGCTATCATATGGCCAGGTAATGCGCAATGCGAGGCCTGCCTCCCCCCCCCTTCCTGTTCCTCCACCGCATGGTGCATTCGCCAGATGCCAGGACCCGGCAGCCATGGGCTTTTGCCTTCTACTTCCAAGACTTTGCATGCCATCTCTGCAACAGCCCACCTTTTTCCTGTTGTGTACAACACCTTCCTGAACACAAATGACTTTTTTTTTTAAAATCCTTAGCATGGTTTGGCCTGCCTTGATTCCCCGGCTGGTGGGAGTAGGGGGGTGGGTGGCTGCAGGATTGGAGGGGAATCGGAAGACCCTCCTCTCTTCCCAGCCTGAGCTAAAGGCAAATCAAGGGTTCTGTGATATCGAAGCAAATGAGATTTGGATGGCTGGAGCTGTAGAATCCCAGCTTCGGCTGGGGATCCTTTGCACATTCTCGGGGGCATCTCCGACTAGCCTGCATGCACGGAAAAATAAAGCTTGCACCCATCCAGCAGGGATGGGATTAGCAATCAGTTGTTCAGGACGGGGATCCCACTCCCCGGCGTGTCCAGCTCCATTGAGACTGCAGCTCTCGTTAATCCCAATGGCCAAATCACCTGGATAGTTCTGGGAATTGTAGTTCTCGTGCACCTAGAGAGTACGGGAGAGCGCCCTGAGAGAGACACGTGCAGGGAGGGGTCCATCTGCGAAGCATCTGGAAATGATAGGGAGATGAATGGGAATGGCTTGGAACCAGCTCCTCGTCTTCCAATAGCAGCCCTCTCTGGAACACCTCTGAGCAGAGCTGCTCCTGTATATGGAGGTTCAATTTACCTCCAATGGGATCACTCACCTTCACAAGGTCCCCATCCCTCAGCCTGCTGATTGTGCCTTGGTTTATCTTTTGCTGGTAATGAAACATCTATTGGGTGTTCAGGCTAAATGAATAACTGATACCTTATCTTTTTGTTCAAGAAGAATTAATAAGCTACCAGCCCAAGCAAGCAAATCTGAAAAACACTGAGCTAAGCTACAGGTCTCTAAATGAGAAAGAAATACAAAATGCAAAGACAGACCTTGGATTACAACATCCATCACATATGGCCAATGGCCAGGCTGGCTGAAGCTGATCTATGTTGGGATCCAACAGATTGCGGTGCTCCTGCCCTCTGCTCTGGCGAAGATTTATTTGCCAAATTGTGAGGTTCCAGTTGCTCAAAACCCACCCAAATTATGCATTGGAAGAATGTTGCTCTTGAAAGATGGGGGATGTTGGAGTCAAGCCATTTCCAAAATGGGGAGGGGGAAAGAGGACCCCAGAGGGGCACCTCAAAACCCTAGTCCTTCCTACGGGCAAGCCAGCACATTTTCACATATATCTCAAGGCCATAAAGATGCCTGGATAGAAACAAGTGAATCCTAGAATTTAGCCATTTCTGCCATGCTGACATTTCTTCCTCCGTTGGCAGAACCAGATCTGGGATCCGGGCTTGATCCCGCCACTACAGGGGTCCCCGGCTACGATCGGAGTAAACGCAATGAGAACTTGGCGGCCTACCAGGTGAGCTCGCACCGTCCTCCTCACAAGGGAGAGGAGAGGAAGAAATGAAGGATGGTCTACTCACCATCAGGCGAAGAGGGCCACGTCTGGATCAAGGGACCTCCGATTTGGAGGGAGCACCATGCTTCATCCTCCTCCTCCTCCTCTCTGCCTTGGACCGGTGGTGATGGAGACGGGCTGTTCAACAGCCAGGCAGGGGACAGGCCCCTGGCTAACGATCCTACTTTGTATTTATTCTTTCCGCACAGATTTGTTCCTGCTATGGAACAAACAGGAATAGATGTTATGGGGTCTATGCCCACGGGGGTGGGTGGGTGGGTGGGTCTCAGCCTCCCTGTCACTTGCCACAGTTCCCCTCTTGTGGTCAGATTGGGCCACAAGGCAACGTGGCAGGGATGGGTCAGCACGCGTGGTGGCATCTCTCCGGCATGCGTTCAGCAGCTCAGGATGCCAAGATGATTCCTCTCTCGCAGCACTGCTCTCGCTTTGAACCTTAATTTTATCTTTCTTCAAAATTGGATTGCCCCCCCTCCCTTTTCACTTCAAAACAAACCCCAGCCATTCTGCCTAAGAGCCCTGGTGGCACAGTGGTCAGAATGCAGTACTGCAGACTAACTCACTGCCAGGAGTTCGATCCTGGCCAGCTCAAGGTTGACTCAGCCTTCCATCCTTCTGAGGTTAGTAAAATGAGGACCCAGATTGTTGTGGGCAAGAGGCTGACTCTGTAAGCCGCTTGGAGAAGGCTGTAAAGCACTTTGAAGCGGTATATAAGTCTAAGTGCTATTGCTATAAAGCAGGATTTCTCAATCCTGGGAATTTTAAGACTTGGCTGGCTGGGGAATTCTAGGAATCGAAGTCCACGTCTTAAAAGTTCCCAAGGTTGAGAAATACCGCAAATGGATGGACTGGGAATTCAGTCATTCTGGTCACACACACACACACACACACACACAAACACACACAGTAGCTGAGCAGAATCGGGAGCCTCCCCACCCGTATTGCCTAGGAGCAGGGATTTTGAAAGTTTTGGGAATCAGATGAGAAAGAATCTTGTGATATTTGGTGGATAAACCGACAGATTGTTGCCCAAATTCTGGGCATTTTGTGGAAAGAAACCAGGATCCACAAAAAAAAAAAAAAAACTTACACGGGATTAAGAGGGGAGTCTTTATTTATTATCCCAACTTTTTGAAATTTGTGTCTTTTCTTGTAATAGTCTTCTTTTATTATTTTTGGGAAAGATTTGTTCGGGAGGGATGGTGGCGAAGCAAGGATTGCTAGCTGGTCCTCCAGCATCTGTCAACAATTTTGAGGGAGAGTAAAAAAAAAATTTTTTTCTTCTGTTTAAAGAATAGCCTTTGTGCCTCTTCATGCCTGTCTCTATTTCATCTGAGTTTATAAATATTAGTGGTATCCTTGCACACCTAACACAGGGCATCTTTTCCTGGATGTCTCCCTTGGGATCGCCTAGGCTCACTCTTGCACCCCGCCTTTTAAACCGGTCCCTGGTGCCCAACAGGTTGGGGGCCGCTGGCCTAGAACGGGTGGATACGCTTGGCAAAAGCTGCATTGGGTTCCTGCACTTTTGTTCCTGTTGCATGCAACTTTGGGGTGGGGCTTGTTTTTTTTTTTGCTCCATTCATTCATGTCCAGGGTGGAAAAAGGAATTGCAAGCAGACAAACTGCAACTCCCGTCTGGAAAGGCATCCTGGGTGGCCACCTGCCACCCCTCAACTCCTTGCTGCCTTCCAGGAAGGCACAGATGAACCTGCGTCTCTTCCCCGGAGACTTTGAAGCCAATCTGAAGCCTTTTCATGCTCCTGCAAAAAGCCAGCTTCGATTTTGCAAGACATCCCTCTGTTTTGTGGCATTCGTGGCCGCTCCCGTTTCTGCCCGGTATGACAGAAGTTCTGCCCAAATGCCAGCGGTCAATCTCACGGGTTGAGGGTTGACTGAGGCTGTGTGGGAGGCCCCGAGCGGTTCTCTGCCATCACCATGGCTTTGTCCCCGACGTGGCCTCCGATCAGTAGAGAGACGGCTCCTTCCACGTGGCTGGTGGCCGCCAGAGCGATCACGGCCTCTTCCGTTGGGAAGCCCATCTTCTGCAGCTGCTGGAGCCTGGGAGGGGGGCAAAGAGAAGAAGGCACAAAGGGGTGTCAGAGGCCGGACTGTCAGGCCTACAAAATAAGAACAATGGGCGGCGTTACTTCTGAGTACTGTCGTTTATTGTGGTTTACCTACAGAAAGAATCTTGCCGGATTAAAACAATGACGTGCATAAGTATAAATATACAGGTAGTCCTCTCCTTACAACAGTTCATTTAGTGACTCTTCGAAGATACAACGGCATTGAAAAAAGTGACTTGGGACCGTTTTGCACACCTACGACGGTTGCAGCGTCCCCACGGTCACGGGATCAAAACTCAGAGACGCTTGGCAACTGACCCTCATATTTATGACGGTTGCGGTGTCCCAGGGTCATGGGATGAACTTTTGCTACCTTTTTTTGGCCGAGCAAAATTTGTTCCCAGGGTTTTGCACTTACGGATACACTACTCCTGCAGCTGGAGGTTCTACGCGGCTCTGCCCGCACCCGATTTTCTCCCAAGGACTTACCGGAGGGAAGAAACAGAAGATTTGTGCAGCTTCACTTCCTCCTCACTTCTGTCTTGCAGGGAAGCCCGGATTCCTGCTTGTATTTGCTCTTCCTCCGTCAGGAAATCCGGGAGAGAAAAGAAGGGGGTGCCCAAAGACTCTTGGGGGTCTGAGAAGGGATGCTGGGACTCCCGGGCTACCCTTTCATCAGCCCAAGATGGAGGAGGAGACAGAATCTGGACAGCAACTGTCCCTACCAGGTCAGGTGGAAACATCTCCTGAGCAGGAATTCTGGAAGACAGGAGAGAAGAAACAAGCCAAGGGGGACGAAGTGAGTCTAATTGGGCTAATTGTCTATTAAGATGAGAACTGGGCAACTTGGGATTGTGACAGTTACAATGCCACAACTCCCTAGCTAGCAAGGTGAGCGACAAGGGCCGCTGGGAGTTGCAGTTCAGCAGTCCTAGAAGGCCCAACTCTTCTGCACCCAAAATGGTGATGTGTGAATGCAGAACACGGCATGCGTGCACAGGCTCATCCCTGCATGCTTCAATGCAGTTGGTTTTTGCATGGCTGGCTCAGGAATGCTGGGAGTTGAAGTCCACAAGTCTTAAAGTTGCCAGACTCTTGCTCTGTGCATCCGAGAAACTGCCGGCTGCACCGAGGATGAAATGGCTCTTTTTTTCAGATCTATCAGAGCCAAGGAAAACCTCTTTGGAAGGAAAGCATGATGAGATCTCTCTCCCCTTCCCAGTCCGACAGGCATCCTTTATCCCAAGGCCGATCAAAATACCCAGTGGAACAAGGGGGTGCTTCCCCCCTCAGTAACTCGACGTATTTTAAAGAGTTTCTGAGGGGGAGCAAATTTCTCCGTCTCATTCCAACAATACCTTTCCTTTCTGGCTGGTTGGGGAATTCTGGGGGTTGAAATCCACGTATCTTAAAGAGTTCCTGAGGTAGGAAACGCTGTTGTAGGAGCACAACTTTACACAAAAGATACCTTTCTTTCCTGACTGTAAATGGGAGGCTGCCGGATGTGGAGGGCCTGATTAAGTGAGAAAAAGTCCTTCTGAGGTGGCTGCAGCTCGGGATCCACTCTTGCAGCCTTTCCAGGCGTCTCCTGGACGATGTCCCAGCACAGTCTGAGGCATTAAGGACAATCACAGACTCATAAAAGTCATCATAGGCCTGAAAGGGACTTCAGAGGTCTTCTAGTCCAACCCCCCCTGGTCAAGGCAGGAGATCTTATTCCAGCCCAGTCAAATGGTTGTCCTGTTTCACTGAAGAAAGCCGGGTTTTTGGACAGCCACCGCAGAGGCAGCAGTTACAGCAGCTCAGGACCCATCATCCTGAGCAGGAGGGGAAGTGAGGCTTCAAGGCGCAGTGAACATGCAATGGCTGCCATGCCCGCAGCGCCAGCACGCTTACCAGTCCTTTCAAAGTGTGGTCCGGTTTCTTTAAAGCAGAAAGTCCATTTATCAGTTTGGTGCCTCTTTTTAAAGCCATGAACTGGTTCCAACTCCCCCTCCCAACTTTTTACCTACAAGACAGGCAGAGTCCTCAACTTACAACAGCTCGTTTAGTGACCATTCTAAATTAGAATGGCACTGAAAAAAAGGGATTTGGGACCGTTTTTCACACTTACGACCGTTGCAGCCTCCCTGTGGTCAAAATTCAGACACCTGGCAAGTGACTCACATTTATGACGGTCTTGGTATCCCCTTTTGTGACCTTCTGATAAGCAAAGCCAATGGGGAAGCCGGATTCACTTAACAACTGGATTACTAACTTAACAAGAGTGATTCACTCAATAGCTTGGCAAGAAAGGTCGTAAAACGGGCCAAGACAACTGCTTAGCAACAAAAACTTCGGGCTCAATTGTGGCTGTAAGTCGAGGACTACCCAGAAGAGATGCTGGCAAACAAGGGGCCGCTATCCTTTAGAGCTCTTGAAAAAAAAAATGTGTTTTTTTTCCCTTTTACCAAAAGAACCATCAACAAATCCTTTTAAACTCTGGGAGGGCTGCCAATGATTCGGGGGCCACAGGAGTCCTAGAATGGCCCTTCCCATATGGGTCATAGAGAGGGCCCTTCTCTTTCCATTTCCCAGCCTCAAAGCCCACCTGTTTGGAAAGGATACAGGCCAGGCCTGTCAGCAGCCCAGAGAGGTGCAGGAGGAAGGGAGAACGTGGGGACAGGATCTCCCCGAGGCCGAACAGCAAACCGGCCGACAGAGCCACGGGCAGCCACCCTGAGCGCCTTCCGTGGCACCCCAGCAGAGCCAGGTGGACAGGGATGTAGCCGCTGATGGTGGTCTGGGCTTCGATGCCCCAGAGTCCAGCCAGGAACAGGTAGACCAGGGCTGAGACGGCAGCAGAGAGCGCAGTGGTCCGGAGGTAGCAGAGGGTTCCTTGCTGCAGCTCGAGGCGCCAGCTCAGCGGTGGGAAGAAAAGTAAGCTGGCGGCCAGGAGGGGGGCGTTGGCGTGGCCCAGGCAGTACGTGACTAGGCGGAAGGCTGCAAGAGAAGAGACCTCGTGCTGTTAACCGCGTCCTTTTCTGTTCATTTTCATGGCATTGGTAAGACCCCATTTGAGGTGCTCCGTGGACCCAGAAGTAGATTGTGGTTAATTTGGTCAATCATTCTGAGAAAAATCATTAAAACTCAAAGAGGAACTAAGTCTTTATAATAGGGATGTCCAACCTTGGCAACTTTTAAGACCTATGGACTTCAACTCCCAGAAGACCCTAGCCAGGCAGCCACTCAAGCACGAGACACCCCATGATCCCTAGCCGGCTGCACTAGTGCCGAGTGAGGAAAGCCATCTTGGTTCAACAGGGGAAGTTTCAAAGATGGCGACCAACCTTGCAGAGGGCTGCTTAGCAAGCTGGGTGATAAGACGAAATGGTCTCCAATTCCAGTCCCCCAGAAGACGCTGAGAAGCAGCATCAAGACAGAGGAAGCGATGGGGAGATGCCGGACCCACCTCAGCCTGGGGATTAGCATGCCCCTAGGAGAAGAGAGGGCTATTATTAATTGAAGGGAGCAGTCCAACCGCTCACTGAGACTTTTTATTCCCAATAAAGCTCATAAAATGGGCGCTACACAGAAGGAGGAAGGACCCGGTTCGGATTATCATCTCTATCCTGCAAAGAACAAGGGCAATCATCGTGACCGCCTCCCAGCCAGGGAGATACTTTGATTTTCTGGGTAAATATCAAAAGTTCAATCCTGTGGTCTGGGCTGAGATCATTACAGGCACGCCTCGACTTATAACCATTTGTTTAGTGACCGTTCAAAGTTACAATGGCACTGAAAAAAGTGACACAGCCGCTTTTCACACTTAATGACAGTTGCAGTATCCCTTTGGCAACTGACTCATATTAAGAACTGGGTCTCCTGCTTGAGCAGGGGGCTGGACTAGAAGACCTCCAACGTCCCTTCCAGCTCTATTCTGATTCTGACTCGGTTGCAAAGTGGGGCAACACTCACTTAACAAATGTCTCACTTAGCAACATAAAGTTGGGCTCGATTGTGGTCGTAACTCAGGGACTATCTGGAAAAAGGTGAAACGTGATCTTTTTGAATTCCCCACGTTCAAAAGCAGTTTACCTGCAACAGGTAACAGCGTGGGAAGGACAGCTTGGGGAGTTCCCAGAAAACCAGATTAAACAGATCTCAGACGGATTGGCTTCTTATCTGTCGGCCAAAGCTGCCTCTGAGCCACATCACTCGCTCACTCGCCCACCGGCAATTAAAACCTCTCAAATTCAATTAAAGCCCACCCACTCTTGGCTTCGCAGCTGCCATTCCGAGACGTCCCCCTTTTTTTGCAGCAAGGCAGCCTGGCTTGCGAAAACAGGAAGATTTGCACCCCCCCCCCTTCCCCTTTCTTCCCATTGATTTCACCCTGCTCAAGAACGGCTGCTAAAGGCAGGGCTGGGGGCTGCCCCGGGCTGGCTAGCTTGGAGAGGGCCGGCCTGCAGCCATTTTGGACATGCCAGCAGCTGTTCCAGGCAGGGCCCGCTAGCACATGTGGGAATGGCGGAGGAGCGTCTCTAAAGAGGAGGAAGCAGGCAAGGTGATGCTGGGTAGGGGGAGGAGGAGGAGAGAGGGGGGAATTTAAGCACACCAGTCCAGCCGTTGGAAAACCCAGCCTTTGCCCAGGGCTGCAAAGAGCCTGCTGGACCCCATTCTTCTTCTTTTTTTGTATAGATTTTATTAGTTTTTATGGGGTTAGGAATAAGGTGGGGTCAGGGTTGGGATTAAGGCTAGGGTTGGGGTCTTTCCAAGTAATTCTCAATATTTAGCAAACAGCGTAATGTCTAGGTTCCTGCGTTTAACAAACAATAATAGCAAATGGTTAATCATCATAAACAATATGTTAATCACTCAATCTTGCTAATGTATATTCAAAATTACACATCACGTTCCTTTCTCTCTAATTCGTCTTTCTAGTTAAAATCCAAAGCCAGGCACTCAGGAAAGGACCACGTGGTCGACGCCTGCCCTTCCCTTTTTACATCATCGCGGATAGGCTGTACAAACTGAATAAGCTACGACCCTTCCCATCATCCACCGCCACCTTAACCCAGTTCCTTCGCCAGACCCCTCCGCGTTTTCCGACCCTTCCGCCTCTTGCGCGAGGATCCCTAAGGAGCACACAGACGGTACCATTCTACTCCTGGCACGGGGGTGCACCCAAGCGGAAGGAAAGAGCCACAACGCCGCTCTGTCCTTCTGGCTGCCCTTAGCGCCTTTCTCCTCGTCTTACCCTTCTCTCTTCTTCGGAGTCCTCGGGGTTTTTCGGCAAGGGAAGCGCAGGAACGGGAGGAGAAGCGCGACGGCGGCGCCCCCCTCCTCTCCGCCGCGCAGTGGTAGCGTCTCTTGCTGGGGAAAACCTCGCGCCTGCGCAGTCGTGGGCTGCAGAAAGACCGGGAGGACGTTAGCGAGGAGGGAGGAGGCGGAGAAACGACGCTGACGACGCCGAAGCGAGACAACTAAGAGGCGGCGGAGGAGACAGCGGAGGGGAGCGCGACCGAGCGATGGCGTCGACGGGTGAGGCGAATCGTCCGGGGCCTAGACAGGGGGAGGGAAGAAGGCCAAAAAAAAAAAAAAAGCCGTGAGGGCGCCGGTAGAAGTGGGCGGCAACGAGAAGTCGCGGCATCGCCTCCTTCTGGAGAAAGTCCACCGCTCCCGAGCGCAGGCTGGGGCCGGACCGGGGCCGAAGGTCGGCCGGGGCGGCCGTTGAGGGGGCCAAGGCGGGGGGAGGAGCGGCCGGGCCGCCTGCGAAGTGCGCAGGCGTGGGCCCTAGTTACGGAGAGCGCATGCGCAGCGAGGCGCTGCCGCCGGGCCTACTCGCTCTATTGAACGGCGGCGCGCGGTGGGGGGAGAGGCGGAGGGTGGAACAGCGGCGCCATTTCCCCCCCCCCATACACTTTTATTTACTCCACTGGGTGACTTTATTTCCCCCCTTTGGACGCCACGTTGTACGTTTTAAACCTCTTCCTCGCTTTCACCTACGGCCTAGGCGGCCTTCCTTTCTTCTTTCTTTCCTTCCCGTTTTTTAATACTTCTATTCTTTTAGCTTTGCCTCTGATTATACTTTTTACCTCTTGCTTTCCTCCCCTTTATGCCCTTATTCCTTACTTACATGTGTGTGTATGCGGATATATGCATTGTGTATTTATTGTCATGTTTAGGCATGGCAATAAATATTTGGAGGTGGTGACCGTTTTGAGAACTGTATGCAACGAAATCTCATTTTAATGTATGTTGATCAGTGCACATTTAAAATGACAATAAAGTTGTTATTCTGTTCTATTTCAGTGTTTCTCAAACTCGGCCATTTTAAGACGGGTGGACTTCAACTCCCAGAATACCCTAGGCAGCATGGGAGTTGAAATCTGTGCATTTTAAAAGTTAGAGTAATTTAGAGGGTTGGATTTTGATTTTACTGCTTTCATTTTATGCCAGAGCTGACTGATGTTTTCCATTCTGCATTTCTGCATTATTGAACATGGTTTGCAAGGAAATGAGCAATATAGATGGATCATTCTAAAATACAAGACAGCCAACCAAATTTATAAAGTATTTTTATAAAGGAAGCAGATGTGTTAAAATGAAACTTCATTTTTAACCAAGGAAATAGATTGTTCTTAAAATATTCTTAGCAATGCCTTTTTTCCCAGTTTTGTTGCTCCAAGTAACCAGTGGTAGCAATTTACATCTCCTGAAGTTACATCTAGTTTATAAAAGAGTATAATTTGCTAAGTTACAAGGTGTGGGAACTTGTTTACTCTTGCTGCAGCTGATAATGGCTTCTGAAATTTGTCCTGCGGGCACAAAAAAAGGCAGTTCAAATATGTGCGTATAGAACATAATCCAGTCACAACTCTGCAATTTAGAAAGTCAAGATCAATAGTACATTTGGAAATAAGCCACTGCACTCTGTTAGTGAGTAGGCTTAGAAAGGTCTGTTAGTTCCAGTTGGAGACTTAGGGCGTAAGATTTGTTTAGTTTCTTCCCTCACTGAGACTTAAAGAATTATAAGATGCTTGTGAAGGTTACCTGCTTACAGCATACATACACATGTATATTTTAGTATGGTATTGCAAAAAAGCAGCTTTTAATTCTTTAAAGATTCCATTTTGAATGCTGTTGAACTGTATAAAATACAGTAATACTCCTTATGGAAAATGAAAAGCAAACAAATGTAATAATGATTTTACTGTTGATTAGAAAACATTTTACTTGATAAAGCAGGAAAAAAAAATTGAAAATAGTATGTGTAGAGCAGGGTCCCCAGTCTGTGGGCCCAGTACACAAATGAGCACCAAAAGTTGTAAAGTGAAACTTCACATAAAAACCAAAACTACACTCTGATTGCACTACATAAAAGCTGCTTGGATATTGCTTCCACAATGGTAATTCTTTTAATTGGTCCATCTTCTGATGAATATTAGCACAAGCTCTTTCTTCTCAGGAGTTCTTAATACATTTACTTTGAAAAGACTAGATTTTAGATTGAGTTCGTTTTATAGTAATTTTTTTTTCTTATTCTTGATTTTCTCTTCTTAACATCTGCAGATTATAGCACCTACAGTCAAGCAGCTGCCCAACAGGGGTGAGTTTCTCTCTCTATATATAGTAATGTTACATAAAGAAAACTTGGATTAGAGTTCTAAAACGTTCTCATTCTAAAATATTCTATTCTGAAATATTCTTTGATATTGCAGAGTTGGCATGAAGAGTTTTGCTTTTTTTACTTTACATCTGTAGCAATGCATTTTACTCCTTTTTAAACCATGTTTTTTTTGTTTTGTTTTATAAACCTTCAAATATCTTGTCTTCTTTTCATAGCTATGCAGCATATGCAGCTCAGCCAGCTCAAGGATATGCACAGACTACCCAGGTAAAATACAACCACTGTGATAACAATAGAATCTCTGACCAATTTGAAGCTTTTACACATTGTGCTAGATTAAAAAAGCAAGCAGGAAGCTATTAAATCAGAAAGCCTGCCTCATCTCTATTCACAAAAATGCCACTTTGTAGTGGCAGTCTTAAGAAAGAAAATGTCAAAAGCCCATGAAAAGTGTTGGCAAGCTTTTCTGTAAAAGCCACTTCTCCCCTGATTGAAGTGTTCTTTTTAAGCAAGGTTTTGTGTAGTCCTTGGTGCTCTCTGTGTTTATTTGTTTGATTGTTTGCTTGCAGATATTTCATTACCCAACTTGGCTGATGATGTTACCTAGCTGGGTAATGAAACATCTACAAGCAGATAAACTCAGAACCAAGGACTCCACATTTCTATTAAGTTGCAGAGATTCTCTTTTGTTGAAAGTAGATTTTATCATACATGGAATATAGAATAGCTAACAATGCTAAAATTAACTGAAGTGCCCCTGAAGAGCAACTAACAGTGATAACACAGGAAGTAGCAATTTAATCTCTTTCCCATATTTACCATAAGGCATATTTTTGAAGCTGCATTCCCATACATACTTATTGGGAATATTCTTCATCAAACTGTGCGGATACAAAGGTGTTTATACAGACATGCTGTTTACAAGCAAGATTTTGTGTAATACTTAAGTATTTGAAAAAAACACACACAATTTGCTGCAGACGTCCCAAAAATGCTTTTTGCAAAAGGCAACTGGACTTTCTTGGGTTTTCCCTTCTCATCCAAGAAGCTCCTTCAGTTCATGTAAGCTTTTGGGATGAGAATCAAAATGTTTTCAAAGGAAGGGGACACCCCCCCCCCAAAAAAAAAGTCCAGGTGCCTTTTGCAAAAAAGCACCTCTGGGACAACCATGACTTGGATGACTGAGAACCTCCATAGGCATTGTGCTACAGAGTCAAGAGAAAATGACAGAACATTTGGGGAGCTTTAGGGTAGAGAAAAGTAACGATAGATGACTTAGCTGAAGGTAACTTCATTTTGCTAAACGTTAGTTCTGTGCTAGATGAAATGCATTTTATTATTAATTTGAACTGTCTGCTAATGAGCCATAATTGATTTTTTTCCTCTGACATTCTCCTGGCAAAACAGTACTTCTTCATCTTGACCACCAGCTGTATACCTCTTATTCTTCTTCCCTCGAGTTTTGTAATCTTGGGAAGATTATTCCCTTGGTCTGCCTGACTGGAGGATATTTCAAAGTAGGAAATGGGAGGATGTAACCTCTCACATGCCTGCGCATAGAATTACATCTGCTCTCTCATGGCACAGTTTTAAAACATTTCTTCTTGCTGGCAGGCCTACGGACAGCAAAGCTATGGCACGTATGGACAGCCCACTGATGCCAGCTATACCCAGCCTCAGACCACAGCTACTTACGGGCAAACTGCATATGCCAGTTCTTACGGGCAGCCTCCAACCGGTGAGCACATCTGCCTTCAGTCCCTCTAGTACAAGTAGTCCTTGACTTAGCAGCAGTTCGTTTAGTGACCGTCCGAAGTTACAATGGCACTGAAAAAAGTGACTGATGACCGTTTTTCACACTTAACGACCATCGAAGCATCCCCATGGTCTCGCGATCAAAATTCAGGCGCTTGGCAAGTGACTCACATGTATGACGGGTGCAATATCCCCGGCGACCTGAGAAGCAAAGTCAACGGGGAAGCCCGGATTCACTTAACAACCGTGTTACTAGCTTAATAACTGCAGGGATCAACTCAACAATGGGCAAGGAAGGTCGTGAAATGGGGAAATTTTTACTTAGCCAGATGTCTCGCTTAGCGACAAAAAAATTCTGGCTGTATGTCGAGGACTACCTGTATTTATTTATTCTGGATGGGGGAGAGAACGATGCCGTGGATTAATTGGCCACTAAGAAAGATTGAGGGTGCTAGTTTTCATATAATTGAAACACTTCTGAAGACGGGGGGGGGGAGGCCACTTATGAATTAACATTCCTGGGTGTTCTGAGATGCTAGATTTTTCTATTGTTTCGAGGAAGTGAGTTTAAAGCGTGCTTGTTTGTTCTGATGAAATGCCCTCTACTTTTTGTCTCGTGCTTTCCACAGTAGAAGGGACCAGTACAGGTTTGAATATCCTGCTCAATTTTGCATGGGAAATGCTGTCCATTTTGTCTAAATGTATGGTGTTCACTCTTTAGGAGTTTTTATTTTAACTCCGCTTAGAAATACCACGTTTCTACAAAAAGGGCTGTTAATTAGTTCTTTCTGGCTGCTGATTAAAAAATGAATAACTTTAAACCTCAGCTATGGGAAAAGACCATTCGGGTTAACTCTGCTTTTCTAGTTTACTAAAGGGTGAGCAACATAATTAGGCATATTTCAATTGTTAACAGCTCTCATCCCTGCATGTTTCATTTGATTGGTTGTTCCTCCAGAGGTATCCTTCCGTGTTTTGTCAATGTCCCGTGGAATACTTTGCTTGCACGGTTAAAGAATCAGGATCTGAATGCTTCATTTTGATATTGCAAGAAGATTGCCTTTGAAGGCTGGGCAGAAATCAGTTGAATTTTCAGCGCATGCAGAAACACTGGAAAACACTTCTACTACATTTCTAAGTAGCATGGTTTCTCTGATTAATTGTCCTCGCTGTTAGGAAAGTTCTCCTTAATTCTAGGTTGCTTCTCTCCTTATTAGCTTTAATCAGTCCTCTCCTTGATCAGAACATTTCATAATTTCAGGGTACTCTATTAAATTTATTTGCCACCCATCATCCTGCAGTTTGAGGCAGCTGGGTGGCTTAACAGTATAATAAGACGTTATACAGTATAATAAAACAATATAACGTATGGGCATAAAAACAATTATAAAAATAAATCACAACAAACTGAAGAGCCACCAATGGGCAGTGGTTGCGGTACCCTCTCTGTTCCTGCACCAACCGCCTCCCGCTTGTCCTTCAGGGTCCCATGGCAATAGGCACAGCCGGGTCACAAGGCTTTTCCTGAAGGCCGGGAGAGAGGAGGGCCTGTAAAACCTCTGCCATTGTCGCAGCATTCTTGCATTATAAACTGCAAATGCTTGGATTCTGTAGTATCTTGATGCCATTCTTGGGCAGAAGGCTATGTCAGAATCGGATAAAAGAAGCTTTCCCATCAGGTCTGCATTGCTTATGTTTCCACGTTAATCCATGCAGGGAAAAGGGGGGGGGGGATATCTGGGAAGGTCTGGCAGACCGTATTTATGCTAGCAGAAAACATAACTGAAATGGGGGGAACACCCTTTGGGGAAAATCTTTTGTGCCTGGTCAGGGCTGTGCTACTTGTGAAGATTTTCTGAAGTTGCACATCTTTAGTTTGGCATTTTTAGGTTGTGTTTTTTTTTTTTACCCTTCTCATGAATTTTTGAAGAAAGCTTGTTCAGAGATCAAAAAAAAAAAAAAAAAAAAAGATTAGGGAAGAACATTTACAATTGATAAATGAGTACAGATAGTCCTCGACTTACAACAGTTGGCTTAGTGACCATTCAAAGTTACAACGGCCCAGAAAAAAGTGACTTGTGACCGTTGCAGCATCCCCGTGGTCAGGTGACTTGCATTTTATCTATTGGCTGGCCTTTCCCAAACCTGGTTACCCTCCAGCTGCATGGTTTCCAGCTCCCCGAATCCTCCACGGTAGTCAATCCTGATTAGAGAATCCTCTGATCTTTAATTTAAGACTTCCTTGATGTTGGATTAAAGTTATTTTCAGGCGCCATAATATGTATGTTTGTACAGGTAGTCCTTCACTTAACAACCGTCGGTCTGAGGGCTCCTTGGTGCTCTCTGAGCTGGGCGGTTTTCTTGAAGATGTTTCATTACCCAAACTAGGTAGCAACATCAGTGCTTTTGTTTAGTGGCGGTTCAAAGTTACCAATGCAGTGAAAAAAAAGGTTTTCACCCTTATGACCGTTGCAGCATCCCCATGCTCAGGGGGTCAATATTCAGCTGCTTGGCAACTGGCATATTTACAACGGCCACAGTGTTTTGGGGTCACGTGATCCCCCTGTCTCGCTTAGCAACATAAATTGGGCAATTACGGTCATAAGTCGAGGACTACCTGTGCAACTTGACCGATGGCAAGAAGCACCCCAGTTTTATTTGTTTTGCTTCCTTTGCAGGTTATGCCACCCCAGCTGCCCCTCAGGCTTATAGCCAGCCCGTCCAAGGGTACGGCACTGCTGCGTATGACACCACGACTGCCACAGTCACCACCACGCAGGCTTCTTATGCCGCCCCGTCTGCTTACGGCACCCAGCCTGCCTATCCTACCTATGGACAGCAGCCAGCAAGCACCACACCTGCGAGGTAATGCACGGATTTTGGTTGGGTTTTAAATAAAGTTGTCTCGTGCATTGGTTCTGCTTTTTCCCTTGGTTTTTCAAATGCTCCCCCGAATTATTTCCTTCCTGTTCTCCAGTCTTCTCTGGCCCCGTCTCCATGAATGCGTACGTGAAGCAGCTCATATATAAAATTCACTCTTGTGTTGGCGACAGTACCAAAAGGCTTCGTATAAAGTATGCTTTTGTTTCTTAATTTCCCATTTAGACCCCAGGATGGCACCAAGCCTTCAGAGACCAGCCAAACTCAGTCTACTTCAACAGGCTACAGTCAACCAAGCCTAGGATATGGTCAGAGTAACTACAGTTACCAGGTTCCTGGAAGTTACGCAATGCAGCCAGTGACTGCGCCTCCATCCTATCCACCAACCAGGTGAGCATTCACAAACTCTTAGGCTGTCCTTCTCTCTCTTTCTGTGTTTGGTTCCTGCTGGATGAAATGTGCTAGGATCGGACGACCTTTTTACAAGAAGCATTGAAGCTGGCGGCCCTTCTAAAGCTTAAACCATCTCGGGCCTTTGGCGACACAGAATTTAAAATACCTTGGCATCCCAGATCATGTCTTGGAGAGTGATTTCCAGAATAAAGAACCATAATGCTGTGTTTGTATCGCAGGCTAGTTCGAAACCCAGCAAGAAACACATAAAGAAGTGGTTCTTTTTAGCAGTGGCGAACTGCTAATAACATAACGTCTTTTAAATATGAAAATGCCTCAAACTCAGACTTTTTTTTGTTTTGTTTTATGTCGGTTTATGAAGAGCAGCCGGCAGCTTGGGCGAGACCAGCTGCAAAGGACCCTTTAAAAACTTCTTTTTTTAACCAGTAGCTTTTTTTCCTGTGTCTTTTCAGCTACTCTTCTTCTCAACCGAGTAGTTATGATCAGAGCACTTACTCCCAGCAGAGCAACTATGGGCAGCAGAGTAGCTACGGGCAACAGAGTAGCTACGGGCAACAAAGCTATGGGCAGCAGCCCCCCACCAGCTACCCACCTCCCACTGGATCCTACAGCCAGGCACCAAGCCAGTACAGCCAGCAGAGCAGCAGCTATGGGCAGCCAAGTAAGTAACCCCCTCCCCTCCCCTTCTCAGTCCAAGGCCTCCCTTTCTGGTATAAAAGCTCTCCTTGTTTTGCGAGAGAGTTGTTAAGGGAGCGTTTGTCCCATTTTACAACCTTGCCATGGTTGTTAAGTGAATCGCTGCAGTTGTTTAGTTAGTAAGAAGGCTGTTAAGTGAATCCGGCTTCCCCCATTGGCTTTGCGTGTCAGAAGATGGCAAAGGGGAGATCACGTGACCCCAGGACGCTGCACCCGTCATAAATAGGAGTCAGTTGCCAAGCCTCTGGGTTTTGATCATGTGACCCTGGGGGAGGCTGCAATGGCCGTGTGAAAAATGGTCATGTCACTTTTTTTCCAGTGCCGTTGTAAAAATTGAACAAGTTAAACCGTGAAGCAAATAGTTGTAAGTCAAGGGCTGCCCCCACCGTTTCGGTTGTGGCTCATTCTGAATCTTTTGTTCCCCTCTTAAGAGATCTGTTTTCCTGTCAGATCCAACTTCGAAACTCTGCTTGTCTTTAAATCCAGCGTTTCAGGGTTGTTGTTTTTTAGGCCAGTTCCAAATCATTGATAAGAGGAACACAAAAAAGCTAGGTTGCTGATAGAGGTCTGGTCCTAGCAGATCCAGTCAACTCTCTGCCCTTAGGAGTTTGTGCCCCTTGGGGGCGCCAGAAAAGACCTCTCTGTTTCCTTTGGACTTACTCAGCTGTAGTAGCAAAGTGGGTGGCTTATTTAATGGGATTGCTGAAGATGGGTGAAACCCAAGCATCAAAGCCAGCGGGTAGTATTTGCGGCAGGTTCTTCTCCCACGGTTGGCCTGCAACCCTCGGGGCCGTTCGGGTGGCTTGTTGGGGCCCAGAGCCCAGGTCCTTAATGCTGTGTGAATTGCTCCTTTAGGTTCATTCCGTCAAGACCATCCCAGCAGCATGGGTGTGTATGGCCAGGACTCTGGAGGCTTTTCTGGCCCAGGAGAAAGCCGGAGCTTAAGCAGCCCTGAAAACAGGGGCAGGGGAAGAGGGGGATTTGATCGTGGAGGCGTGAGCAGAGGTGGGCGGGGAGGAGGAGGCCGCGGCGGAATGGGGTAAGAGTAAACCTTTTCTTCCTTCCTCTCCTTAATTTGATTTTACCCTCCCGCAGCAGCGAGAAGGGCTGAAAGATGTCAGAGCAAAATGGCTCTTCCATGGAGGATACGTTTATTAATAGCAAGTAGCTATATGGCTAATTAATCCATGGAACAATCTTGTTAAGGGGAATAGGCGCAGGATGTATTTTCCCTGCAGCAAAGGGAGGCTGGGTCATGAGAGGGATTTGGGTGTCCAAATTAACGAAACTTTCAGCTGCCTTCCACTCTGAACAGAGGGGCCGTCCTCTGTGGGTTGAACAGTCTCTGGGTGGAACACACACACACACACACACTCGTTCCAAGAACTCTGCATGTTATGCCTTTGCTCCTTGCTGGTTTTTGCTGTGTTCAGGTATACATACTGAGGTGCCCACGGCTTCTGGCCAAGCCTTTTCTCCTTCTAGCTGTGTTTGCTCTTGGCAGTAGCTCCCTGAGCTAGTGGCAGAGCCGTGCGGAGGTGTCCACTCCTTCCTCAAGCCCCACAGCTCTGGAGTGGCCATTGCCCGCGTGCAGGCTTTGAAAACGATGCCCAGCCGTGCCCTTAAACAAGCAGTCACAAAGAAGCCAAAGTCGAGAGATGTGAGTTGCAGCCCCCCAAAGGAGCCTTCGGGTATCCCTAAATCAGTTCCGCCAGTTTCAGCTGTGGCGGGATCTGATTAGGGAAGTTTCTTCCCACCCGTTCTTGTCGCCCGTTGATCGATTGGTTTAAGGTAAAAGACACGGTGGTCGATGGAGGGACTTGGTTAACTGAAGGTGCTTTTGTGTGTGTGTGTGTGTGTGTTCTACCCACGTACGCCATGCTACGCAGAGGGTCCGCTGGGCAAACCGATTGGAGAAGGGACGGGGAAAGAAGAGGGTTCCGGCTGTCATCACTTCTGATGGGGGGGGGCATCTTCCCAGCTCCATCAGGTCTGATGACGTGCATAAGCCAAAGAGCCCCTCTGCATAGCTGAAACACCAATGACTCTTTATTGTAGTCGTTCACTTGCTTTTATGACTTCCAAACCAGTTCAGTTAATGACCCTTAACCTACTGAAGAAATAACCTTTCCAGATTGACTTGAATGGAAAAAAGGGCTCCCTAGATTTATATGTAAAAGATTTCATTTATTAGGTGTTCCTAGATGTGTTTAAAATAGACCTAGACACTTGAAATGGCCATCACCACATCTCTTTCTTCTCCCCTTTCTTTTAAATCTCAAACTCATCTCTGTCTAGCCTTTTTGGACACGGGGCATCCCGATCCAATTCATACAGGTGCCCAAAATGCCACTTAAATTGAAAATTGGAAGTGGTGGGGGGGGTTGCCCTTGCTATTGGCAGTGGAAAAATCACACCTCAAAGCTGGCTCGGTGGTGTCAGCCGAGAGTTCGGGTGCGGGGTTCCTCCCTCGTGGTGTGGTGATGCCTTTTAGTATCTATCCTGCAGGTAAGGAGCCCGATGTTCTTAACATGATGCCCTTTGTCACTTCCTCAATATTTTTATATTTTCACTGGCTGTTAAACATGGAAACTTTTTAACATGCTTTGTCGCATTTATATGCTACAGGTTACAAAGTGAGAGACTTGTATACACTTCAGTACTTAAAAAGTACCCGTACTCAATACTCAGCCGGCAGCATAATGAAAAGTGGGACTAGACACGGTGTCCATATGGAGAGGAAAAAAATATATATATATATATATACATATATACATAGAATATTTTTAAACCAAATGTGTACATTGTATAAATGGAAACCTTCTGTAACTTTGGTAACTGCATATAGTATTTCATGTTTGGTAATGAAACTTAGAGGGGAGGTGTGATAACTCTAGAATTGTGTAAAATTAAAAGTGTAAACATCTGTTAAAAAGGGAAGGATTACATATATGGTATATACTTTGGGAACAAAGAAAAGCTGCATGCATCAGCTTAAAATTGTGTTTATTAAATTTTTTATGGGTTAATGATGCAATACTTGCTAACGGTTAGTTCTCTCTCCTTTTTTTTAAATTCACGTTCTTGTACTTTTTTAAAAAAAAAATCACCCCACTTATGGAGGCTTTTGTTTGCCCACAAATTGTATTTCATGTTTCTCCCCTGTGTTAAAAACACAAGATGCTGATCTTCATGGAGTTGTGATACGCAAAGTTGCATCCTTAGACCTTGGAATATGGTGTATTATGTAAGACCTCCTTTCACAGAGACTGTTAAATCAAGTAGACACCTTGAATGTATGGTTTAATGACTTGTCATCTGAATTGTATTCTAGGTTTTGCTGTCTTTTTATTTACTTATTTATTTATTTTCGTTTTTTGTTTTTGAACTGTTAATGTTTAAAAAGGTTTTCCATCCAGTAATTTGGTTTATTCTTGCAAGAGGCTGAGGATGCAACTTTACGGTCGCAAAACAAGGAGGGGGTTGATGAGAGGACTATCCCAAATGTACCTGTATATAAATATATATATATTGTTTTTTTAAAAAAAATGGGGAACAAATTCCCATCGCTTCCGCTAGCGAAGTATTGCATGGTTAATGTCATTAGCCGTGGAACAGTCCCGCTGCCCAAGTGTGTGGTGTCCAGCCCCAGGCAAACAAAGGTGTTACGTGTGTAAAGGAGATTTGAACAAGCTGCCCTGAAGAAAGGCCTAGTGACGAGATGACAGACAGACAGACAGACAGATGCAATGTTTGGATATGTTAGCCAGTGCCCTCCTCCCAGTGAGCCCCAGTGGCTCCAAGCGGTACTGGCTTTTTTAAAGGGAAGGCCTTCATTTCTTCGTTTATCCCCCCAGCAGCGCTGGAGAGCGAGGTGGCTTCAGTAAGCCTGGTGGTAAGTTTTTGAGCATTACAATGGGATCGTGTTTTAAAAAAAAAAATGCAGCCAGAAAAATTAAAAAAATAATAATAAATAACTTAATATTTGCTAGTTTCATAAACGGTTAAAATGCCCTATGCAACAGAAACTTTTAATGGGTACTGCCGGCAATGCCTTTGGGTCTAGAAGGTTTTAACCTACGGGTACAGAACAAAAGGGTGAAAAACCAAGGGTGATGCGGTGTTGAGAGAAACTAATTGGGGAAGGAATCACTTTTCAGAGGCTTCGGCGTTGTAATAAGCAACCTTGGTAAACTTTGGCAACACTGGTTGACGCAAGAAAGCCCCCCCCCCCCGAACCACGTGTGTAAATATCAGGTGATGGTTTAAAGGCTGCGAGAAACGGCAAGCCGCACGAGCATTAAGGGTTGTGCATTGCAAAACTTTTTTGCAGTGCGGTCCATTTGAGGTTTTTTTTTAACCCATATGCCATCTAATCGCGGTTGTAAATAGGTAGCTGTGTGTTTTGTTGGTGGCAGAGCTCACAAGGCACGCACTAACAATGGCTTCTGTGATTTCTTTCTCCCCCCTCCCGGACGACAGGACACATGGATGAAGTGCCAGATCTCGATTTAGGTAACGTTGAAGTCCCCGCTTAAAAGATCAGAGGTTCTCGTATCGTTTGTTAGCCCTCGGCAAAGCAGTTAGGTCTCTTTTAGAGAGCCTGCATAAAATTCCAGCTCTTTAGGTCTTTGTACATTTACTTGCTCTGTTCTTGCACCTGGCTTGCCCTCTGCTGGCTGGAGTTAGATTAAGCAGCCTTGCTAACTATTATTTGTCATTCCGAGGGTCTCCTTGTGTAGCTCCCTGGCTGATATAAGTCAGAGTAGCAACTTGAACACAGCAACCCGGGTTTAAAGGTTGGTGGGCAGATCGCACAGGAAAAGGTCCTTGGAAAAGCAGGAAGTAACAGTCAGTCAGTCCGAAGACGTGATGATGTGGCTGTTTGGGATGATGCGTGATTTGTGTTTACAGGCCCACCTGTAGACCTGGATGATGAGCTTGATAACAGTTCCGTGTACGTGCAGGGTCTGACCGACAATGTGACTCTAGAGGAGTTGACTGAATTCTTCAAACAGTGTGGCATTGTTAAGGTGAATATTAACAGGATCCCCAAGAGATTTGGTGCCACTAGTAACTTGAAGGCATTGATGGGGGAAATCCTGGCTTCATGTGGTTCTCCCTTTTTCTAAGTTATTTACTTGAGCCGAGATCGCTTTCTATTAAACATTTTGAAACTCAGTGTCATGTGCCGTGTGTGTGAGATTTGGCTCCAATAAATGCCTGTTTCTGGACCTTTTGCTTAAAGACTAAATTGGGGTGCTAGATGGCTATGCAAGTTGTTGAGATCAGTGTGTTTCAAATTAAGGCTGTCTGCACGCACCTAACATTCAGTTGCCTGAATTTGCAACTTAAATTTTCAGCATACTGAAAATGTTCTCTCTCTCCCCCCCCCCCCATATCCCAGATGAATAAAAGAACTGGACAACCCATGATAACCATCTACCTTGACAAAGACACTGGGAAGCCAAAAGGAGATGCGACTGTGTGCTATGACGATCCACCCACTGCCAAAGCAGCCATAGAATGGTTGGATGGTAAGTTAGTGGCAACACGCACGTCACTACTAAGGGTTTAATTGAGAGTTTGCAGGGATTTGGCTTAAAGTGCCCACAGTCAGCAAGCCTGGGTTATGCGTTGATATGATTCAACCTTGAACAAAAGGATGTTTTGCCTCACAGAGAGAGAAAAACGTGCAGAGCTCTGCCGAAGCCTCAGAAATGGCTAAGTGAATGCAATGTGTGGAGAGTTGGCCGCCCCTCTCTGTTGAGTTTAGCTGTGCAAAGTCTTAACAGTGGTTTCTTCCAGCCTGAGGGAGGATTGGAAATTTCTTCCCTGGGTCAGCTAAGTGGAGGGCCCCTCCTTTCCTTGTCGTTTTCAGCCATCCCTGTTTTTTCTCTGTTGAGGAAGACACGGGACTGCTCTTGCCAGTTCAGACATTTTACACCTTTTCCCCCTTCAGAAAGCTTGGCTGATGCTCTTCAGACTAGCCTGGCATGAATATTGCAGCTTTGGCTGGTGGAGGGCTCCTTCCTTCCCACCAATTATGCTGTTGGGGCAGTGTTTCCCAACCTCAGCAGCTTCCAGCTGTGTGCCCTTCCAACTCCCAGAATTCCCCAGCCAGCCTTGGAAGTTGACACAGCTGAGCTTGAGAAATATTGTGTTGGGGATTGGAGTCTGGCACCTGTTCCCAATTCCTCCTCCTCCTCCTGCTGCTGGCATGACGGCCCTGAGGACCCTGCCTTAAATTTGAATAGCTTAGGCCTCCTTACCAGCTGTCCACATGGCGAGCCCCTTGGACGCAGCGTTGAAGCTTGGATGACCAAGACCGTTTCTGCTTCGTTTTAGGGAAGGAGTTTCAAGGCAGCAAACTCAAGGTCTCCATGAACCGGAAGAAACTGCCTCTGAACAGCCTGCGAGGAGGCATCCTGCCACGGGAGCCTCGTGGCATGCCCCCACCTCTCCGTGGAGGTAACCTTGGGGCCCAGGGCGTGCGGTCTCCGGGCATGCACAAAGCGGCATGTGAGGCATCCTTGGACTCACCAGCTTTGTCTTTCAGGCCCGGGAGGGCCAGGTGGCCCTGGCGGTCCGATGGGTCGTATGGGCAGCCGAGGTGGTGACCGGGGCGGTGGCTTTGCCCCGAGAGGGCCCCGAGGATCCCGAGGAAACCCTTCTGGTGGAGGAAATGTCCAGCACCGAGCTGGAGATTGGCAGTGCCCCAACCCGTAAGTCCTCTGACTCTTCTTCCCTCCCTGGCATCTCCGGCCTGCTTTGGGGCTTCTGTATCGCAAAGGGCTGGGAATAAAGCAGGGCCCTCTCTCTCAGCATAATTGATCCCTGCATGGCATGTTTGTTGCCCAGCTTTTTAGTGCCTCTGCCCACCTTGGGCAGGACATACAGGTGTTCCTCGACTTACAACAGTTCGTTTAGTGACCGAAGTTAGAACGGCACTGAAAAAAGTGACGTAGTGCTGATTTGCACACTTACCACCGTTGCAGCGTCCCCGTGGTCACACGATCAAAATTCAGACGCTTGGCGACTGACTCATATTTACGACCAGTATCTTTGTGATCCCCTTTTGCGACCTTCAGCCAAGCGAAGTCTTGGCTGCCTGGGTCAGGCCGGGCCTCCCCACAACAGTTCTCCTCTCAATGGAACCCTGGTCCTTCCTAGGGGCTGTGGAAACCAGAACTTCGCTTGGAGAACAGAATGCAACCAGTGCAAGGCCCCAAAGCCCGAAGGCTTCCTTCCACCGCCCTTCCCTCCACCAGGTACGTCCCGACTCTCTGCGAGCTGGGGTGGGAGTCGGAATATGTGACACTGATCTCTGCTTATGTGATATTCACAAGGTCCTGGATTCTTGCTTGGAAAACCGCTGCCACTTAGAGGGCTCATATACGGGACAAATAGTGGTAAGGGTACTGTACAGGTGGTATCTTTTTCCTTCATTTGCGTATACGCTTCTGGAGCAGTACATGAGGAGATGGTCCCACACAGAGTAGAACAGGAGCCGCTGTTGGTAACTAGCAGCGCGACCCACGGGCGCGTGCTCCGATGGGAGCCCAGGTAGAGAGGAAGCTGCTCTGTCATTGGGGGGGGGGCTGGGGGTTCTTCTGCAAGAGCTACGCCAGGTTCTATGGGGCCCGGGGTAAGGAAAGTTCTGGAAGAGCCTCAGTGTCTTCTCATCTCCTGTGCAATGTGTTGACGCAAGCAACTTCTCTGTGTGGCTGCTGATGACTTGGAGCAGGCGGTCTCCAATCTGGGCAACTTTTAAGACTGGTGGACTTCAACTCCCAGAATTCCTCAGCTAGACAAATTCAGCCTCCCACTTGTAGCGTTCCTGCAGTCACGTGAATTAATGTTGGGGCCCTTGGCAACCGGTATTGATTTAACCCTGATTGCAGCTTTGCCCTGGGCTCCTTAAGATTACCGTTATGGCAGGGGTCCTCAGCCCCCGGTCCGTGGCATGCCAGCAACCGGTCTACGCAGACAAGCGAAGCCCCATCCGCGGGATGTAGGCAGCACGCTAAACCACGCCCCCTCCCATCTGCAAAAAAACCCTCTCCACGGAACTGGTCCCTGGTGCCCAAAAGGTTGGGGGCCTCTGCATTATGGGACCCTCCCAGTAGGCAGAGTCAACAAGGGAAGCTGGATTTGCCTAATGACCATACGCTTCTCTTAATCGCAGCGATTCTCTTAACGACGATGACCTAAAAAGGTCGTACAACTCAGCCTTGCTGGTGGGATGGGACCATTTTTGTAGGGAACTTGTGGCCTTTTATAGGCAGCTACGTGCTCCTCCCGTCGTGGTTTCCTGTATTTGAAAGCTGCCTAGAAAGGACTGTTTGGGGCTGAAGGCATTAAAAGGATTTTTTAAAAACCAGGGCGACACTATTCATTGCCCTGTTTTTTTGCTTTCTGGCCAATCTCACCTGAACGATCGCCCTGACTCCAGTTTCTCTCACTAGAGAAAGGGTTAAGATTCCCTGGGGAAAGCAAGCCAGTTGGGTGCTGGGCACAGTCTGTCTTGACTGAATCTCCTATTTTGTTGTTTTTCCCCACCTTAGTTGCTCCCTACTTGAGCTAGCCAAGCCAGCCTCAACTTGCCTCCAAACACTCTTTAAACATTAGGCTTAAAAGGCCCAGCAGTGCCCTGAGGATAAACCGGACGTTGGTTTATCTCAACTAACCGATGCCTTAAATATTAGATATGGAGCTGGGCACGAATAGCATGGTGGTGATGACAAAAGAGTATTTTGGTGCTTCATGCTTATCTTTTAATGGGCAATCCCTGGCTCAGCCTGCATGTAACATGTCCTCTGTTGTGGCCCTCACCACTTCCCTGTGTAAGAAGCAGCCCCCATCGCCAAAAAGTCTGCATCTGATGAAGAGGCTTGCTCCAGCGTGCTTTCTTTTTTCCCTGGACGAGCGGAACAAGCTTTCTCCTTGTCCTGGAAGCAGGGATCCCTAGCACCTCAGCGGATGTCTTAAAACCTGCCCGCTTGCCAGCTTCTGTTTTTATCATCTGTGCCTCTTTTGAAAAGAAAAACCAGCTCAATTTCAGAGCAGCACTTTTCAAAACTGGGAACTTTGAGATGTGTAGACTTCCAGCTCCCAGAATTCCCCAGCCGCTGTGGTGGTTTTGGAATTCTAGGGGAGGGGGCTCAAAGTTCACATATCCTTAAAGTTGCTTAGTTTGGAAAAACAAAACAAAACCCCACTCTTTCAGATTTCAAGATCTGTTAGGAAAACCTGATCTTCTAATTTGGAATCTGTTAGCACAAATCTCAGCACTACAAACCCTCCAGCTTTAATGTACTCGCTGGAAGCCATCCTCCCAACCTCTCAGAGTAGCTTTCAGTCAGTTCAGCTTGACTTTTTCTCTCTTTGGATATACCAAAAGCGTGAGAACGGGAGAGAAACGGGGCATTTGGGCATCTGGGAGTTTGCTTGCTGTTCTGTCCACACCCACCACTGTCACATTGACAGGGGAGTGGATGGATCCTGTTTTTGGGGGGGGATTTAAAATGCATCTGCAATTTTATGGTGTCCCGAGTAGCTTGACCCGTGTGAAGCCAGCCCGCCGTGGGTGCTCCTGAGACGGGTGGCCCTGCCTTGACTGAGCGCTGCTGTCTTCCTGCTTAGGTGGTGACCGCGGCAGGGGTGGCCCCAGCGGCATGAGAGGAGGCCGAGGAGGGCTCATGGACCGTGGCGGCCCCGGAGGGATGTTTCGTGGCGGCCGTGGCGGAGACAGAGGTGGATTCCGAGGAGGCCGTGGCATGGATCGTGGGGGCTTCGGAGGGGGCCGGCGAGGAGGCCCTGGGGGGCCCCCTGGACCTCTTATGGAGCAGCTAGGAGGCCGAGGCAGCAGGCGTGGAGGACCAGGAAAGATGGACAAGTAGGTGTGGGAATTTGGGATGGCGGAGAAGAAAAGGAAGCCGGAGGGCTGGGGGATTTTGAGAGCTTAGCTCTGTTCTGACTCCTTCTTTCTTCCAGGGGGGAGCACCGTCAGGACCGCAGAGACCGGCCCTATTAGCGGCCAGCGACTCCCCTTTTTTTTCCTGCTGGATTGCATTTACTACCAGATTTATTTTTTAAACCAGAAAATGTTTTAAATTTATAATTCCATATTTATAATGTTGGCCCACAACATTATGATGATTCCTTGTCTGTACTTAGTATTTTTCACCATTTGTGGAGAAACATTAAAACAAAAGTTAAATGGTAGCGTGCCGAGTTATTCTTTATTCTTTTTCTTTCTTTCTTTCTTTCTTCCTTCCTTCCTTCTTTTCTTTTTCTTTTTTTAAAAATATGGTTGTTTTAACTAAAAACTCGTTTGGAAAAACAAAAAAGCAGCTTTGTTGTGAGCATGCCCAGTAAAATGTGTGTGTTGGAAGTCAGGAGGATGGAAACTCAATGTAACAATGTTCATGATTGTGATGTTTTTTTTAATTAAATAAACTTCCGAATGTTTATAAATGCAACACTTTGGAGCATGTCTTCAACACGAGGCTCTGGTAGGACTGGGAGAATCCTTTGGCTTCTACCTGCAAGAATAAATTGCCCGTCAGGGAGTCCTCAACTTACGACACAACTGAGCCCCGAATTTTCTGTTAAGTGAGTCAGTTGCCAAGCATCTGAATTCTGACTGGGGATGCCATTAGTGTGAAAAACAGTCCTAAGTCATCTTTTTCAGTGCTGTTGCAACTTTGAATAGTCACTAAATGAACTGTTGTAAGTTGAGGACAACCTGTATTCTTGAGGCTGTTTGGTTTCTTACCTGCAGACTCTTTCAGATCCAAAGTTTTTCATTTGGTTGTACACTGAATTATTTCACACGGCGCCGTGGCTACAGAACCATCCCAGTTTGCACGACGATTGTTTTAGTGACTTTTCGCCTAGCAGAGAAAGACCTCCACAGCGATGCTTCCCAACCTCTGGCAGCTTTTAAAATCTAGGGACTTCAACTCCCAGAATTCCCCAGCCAGCATGGAGTCTTCAATGACATTCTCAAGGTCATCAGGATGGGAACTGCATAGGAATCTGGTGGGAACCATTCCACAATGGAGAAGTCGCCTCTCTGCAGCAGGTGGCAGCATTTTGCTGTAACTCCACTGTATCCTCTCCCTCCTTTGAAATTTCCCTGCCAGATGTGCAGCAGTGAAAGGCTGGGATGAATAAAAGGAGCCAACAATTTCCAGATGCTGAATCGGAAGTACTGCAGCGTGTAATAATTGGAAGATCAGAACAAAAACAAAAACCCACTCCAGGATTATAGAATTCAGCCTGGCGCCAAAGTCTAGATGAGCATCTGCTTAAACAGCCAGGAATTCAAGCCCAGGGTTAGAAGAAGCCTTGAGGTCATCAAGTCCAAATCAAAACATCCTTGGATGCCTAACAGGATAATAGAAATAATAGAATAACAAGAGTTGGATGGGACCTTGGAGGTCTTCTAGTCCAGCCCCCTGCTCAAGCAGGAGAACCTACACCGTTCAGGACAAGTGGTTGTCCAGTCTCTTAAAAACTTCCATTGTTGGAGCATTCACAATTTCTGAAGGCAAGCCATTCCACTGGTTAAAAGTTCTCAACTGTCAGGAAATTTCTCCTTAGTTCCAGATTGCTTCTCCTTGTTTCATTTCCATCTGTCGCCATGGATAGATGGAGATCCATCAGTGAGTGCCTTGACTTGTAGCCTTGGGCTGGGAAATGCAGTTTTCAGCGTTTCAGCCTTATGTCGCTGCCAAATTATTTCCTTGAATCTAGGCGGCCCCCTCCCTGCCCTCAGCTTTGTCCAGTTAATCCTCTTTTCTTTTGTTTTCCATTTTCAAACTTTGCAGTGTGATCATGACTCAGCTACTGACAAAAGCAGAGAGGAGAGATGAGAAGCTGTTAACTCTGATTTTGCAATACTTTCTAGTGCTACCAAACTGGGGGATATAGTGGAGCTATTCTGTCTTCTTTCCCTGCAAAGAAACAAACAAACAAAAAAACCGAGCTAAAAACAAAAGCAGGTTTTGCAAATTATGTAGACGTGTCCGTGTAATCACCAGGCGTTGACTTTGACTTAACGGAAACTTTACCTATATATCATTTTATGGTTTATAACTTATTTGCTTTCCTGCTCTGTGCTCCCTGCCCCAATAGAACAAACTGTCGTGTTTAATCTACTGTCATAAAAAGTAAAGTTAACTTTGCTCTCCATTGCTTCTCATATATTTACAAGAGGCCACAAAATCAGCTCAGAATTCGGCCAGAAAATTGGGGGGGGGGGGAGAGTCTTGCCTTGCCCAAGAAAATGATAGCAAATGATTTCTCTATTGTTGCCTAGAAAAATGACGCAGACGTGTCCATTAAGCCATTGGGCAGCATTAAGCTAAGACGTGTGGACTTCAATTCCCAGAATTCTCCAGCCGACCTGAGAAGCAATATTCATGTTAGGGCAAAAAAAAAAAAAAGCTCTCTCTTTGTATGTGCATGCACACATACTTCTGTATGAATAGGTGTATATATATACAAGTAGCCCTTCACTTGGGATCACAATCGGGACTGGAAGTTCTGTTACTAAGCAAGTTGGTTTGTTAAATGACTTGTGTCTGATTTTATCATCTTTCTGCCGTGGTTCAGTGAATCACTGCCCTTGTTAGGCAAATTGTGTGGTCCTTAAATGACTCCAGCTTCCTCATTAACTTGGCTTGTTCTGGAAGCTGGTTGGGAAGGGCACAAATTTTGATTAGGTGACCGTCATGATGCTGAGACAGCCATAAGTGTGAGGACTGGTCAAAAGCACTTATTTCAGGGCCAGTATCGAACAGTGGCTAAGCAAAGGATTGTAAGTCACAATGCCCTGGGTCGAAGGGATGTTGACCTAGCCTCTTTGGCCAAATCCAGAGTTAGCGATCCTTCTGTATTTAGGATAGGCTCTAAAATGACATATTCCCCATCCTGCAAACTCCCAGGCAGGTTTTTCTCGATCTGGAGTTTTCAGAGTTATTCAGACCCTGGAACTTGTTAAAGTTAAAAAATAAAACACACCCCCCCCCCTCCATATTTTAGGGAGAAAAACTCGGTTTGGAGGGAATTTTTCCTCCCCCAGCCTGGCACCAAGGCTGTGCAGACTCTCGGATCAGGGCGAGCGGCCCAGCTGGTGAACTCCAGCGTCTTTCCATTCGGATTGCTCCCGAATGGTTTTCCCTGGGTCTGATGACCCGAGTTGCTTTTTGTGTGCATTCAGGTTCAACGCTTTCTTGGCCCGCTGCCCTGTGTCACGTTGCCCGAGTTGGGCGGTCACTTACATGTGCTAAACAAATAAAGGGAACAAAAGTTCTCGCCAAACGGGGGCTTGAAGAACTGGGAATAATGTCTAGTTCAATAGCTCTCTATGCTTCGCTGGCTGGGCCGGTTCCCAAGTTGGGCTAAAGAAAAGAGGATGTAGGTTTTCCTCTTTTCCACCCAGACGCCCTGGACCTCCCCCTCCCTCGCTTGGCTCTGTGTTCCTCTGTTTGTGCTTCCAGTGAAAAGCAGGGGGTTTCCATAGCAATCCCCATCTAAAGAGGAACCAAAAAGAGCCCCAGGACTCTACCGGGTTTTGAACAAGTCTCTTGTTTCAACCTTAGCAACTCTGACCTGAATCCAAATCCCAGAGCTGGATTCACACAGTACTCTGGTTTGGATAATGCAGGGATGCTTGGTTGTGTGAACACAGCTCCCGTGGTTTGCGAACCCGGGTTGAAGTGTGGGTAAAGGCAGAGATTGGGGATAGGGGCATCGTCTGAGCCAGATCGGACCCCTCTGGTCTCTTGAGCTTGCACAGAGCGTTTCTTGTAGAATAAGCAAAGGATCTGCTTCCCTATTCTAGAAGTCGGAATATTATTTTTTTTTTAAAAAAAAATGGCTGAGGAAGGATACCAAGGCCTGAGCGCCCATCTACGATTCATGAACTGAGAGAAACGGGAGGCATCCATCCGGGAGCCCATCAGCCAAGCCAAGGTTGCCTCTGAGCGCGGGCAGAGCGCCTTGTCGCGGCCGCCCGCATTGCGCAATTCTAACCCCTCCATCTCCCTCCCGTCTGGCCTGCCCCCCCCCCCCCCGGCCGGAGCAATGCAGCGCTGACCCGAAGGAAGCGGGGCGTGTTCGGCTCTTGATCCGGATGAGATCAAGGCGCCGGCCGCGGCAGGCGGAGCCGGAGTGGCTCCGGTTTGCGCAGGACCTGCTCGGCCTCGCGCTCGACGCCTCGGGCTCCGGAGGCGCGCAGTCCCGGCGAGAGCTGGCCGGGCTCAGTAGCCAGGATACCCTCGGGGAGCCGGGGGCAAAGGCGCTGCTAGGGTTCCCCTCCTCCCCTTTTCTTCCTCCTCCTCCTCTTCTCCTCCTCTCGTCCTCCTCTTCCTCCTCTTTTCGTCTTCCTCCTCTTCCTCCTCCTCCTCTCTTCCTCCTCCCTCCCTCCCTCCCTCCTCCTTTTGCCGGGCTGGCAGCTCCACCTCTTCCTTCGCCTGGAGCCGCGGGATCCCGGGCCAGAGGCTGGGAAGCTGGGCAGCGGCGGCGGCGGCGGCGGCAGCCCCGTCTCCGCTCTCCTGCCTTCCGCCCGCTCGGCGCTCGAGGGAGCCCCCAGCACCCCGGCCGGCTCTCCCCTCCTGGTCCAGGATCCCGGCGGCGGCGGCGGCGGAGGGCAGCCTCGCACGTGGGCCGGGCGGAAGGGACGCGCGATGCCGGACCGGCCGGGGTGAAGCCGGGCGCGGGGGGCCTCCGGCCAGCCTGCTGCGAGCCGGCCCGGAGCGCCCCGACATGGCCGGGCAGGTGAGTCGAGTCGGGGGCGGCGGGACTCGCCGATCGCTCTGCGGCGCAGCTCTCGGGGCGCGGGGGGGGGTCTGCGCCCCTCCCGGCGCTTCCAGCTGCGCAGATTTGGCCGGGAAACTGCGGCGCCCGCCAGGATGACTTGCAGGTGGGAAGGGCGCCCACGACGGCTCCTCGCCCGCCCGCTGCCCGCCTCCGCCTGGAGGGCAGCGCGGGCCCTTTGGAATAGGGCGGGGGACTCGCTGGAAAGCCGGGGAAGCATGGGCACTGGAGTCCCCGGAGGAAAGATCTTTGGAGCCCATCTAGCAGGAAAGCCGGGGAAGCATGGGCACTGGAGTCCCCGGAGGAGAGACCCTTGGAGCTCTTCTGGCAGGAAAGCCGGGGAAGCATGGGTATTGGAGTCCGGCTTTCCTGCCAGAAGAGCTCCAGGGTCTCTCCTCCAGCTGCCCCCTGCGTCCCAGCCCTGCGCCGTCCCCCGTCTGGCTACGAGGTTTGCATGGTTCCGGAGATTGGGCGTCTAAGCCGCGGCGGGGGCTCCCCTGTCTGTCTGTCCGTCCATCTCTGCCTGCCCCCTCCCACCCCCGCCTTCCCGAAGTGTATCCCACCCCCTAGACGAGAATGGGCTCTGGAGTTGCTGGCTGGGGCTGGATCCCCCTCATTCTGCCGACGGCTTCTGTCATTCTTCCCCCTCCCTTCAGTAGTTCAGAGGTTGTATTAGCGCGACGGCCGATCGGCTGCGGAACGGGGGAGAGGGCTGAAATAACCGGGATGGAACAAAGAGGTGGGAATCGGAGGGATCCGGATGTGGGAATGCCCCCCTCCCTTTCCAGCAACCTCTCCTTCCTTGTCTGATTGTCTTGGTTTCGCTTCGCTCCAGGGCTGTAATTTTGTGGGGAAGGGGCCTTATTGGCCCTTTGCTGGCCGCTCTTCTGGGAAGGTTGCAAATAGGGATCACATGATCCCAGGATGCTGCAACCCTCATAAATGGGCAGGTTTTGGAGCAGGAAAAAAAGGGGGTAGAAAACCTCCATCCGTCCATCAGCACTAAGAAATCCGAAAGAAATTCTGGCACATGGTAGAAAAACAGAAGCCTCGTTCTTGGGCAGGGATGTCTTTTGGCACATTCCTGGGCACAGCATCTGCTTATTTGTGCAGATGTTGGGCAGCACCTTTTCCGAGTAACACGTTTTATTAAAAGGTATGTGTGCTGTTGTGAGCAGCAGCCTTTTCGTGAAATGTGTTACTCGGAAAAGGTACTCAGTTGACCCGTCTTGATTTTATTTATGCAGGAAACTGATCTCTGTAATGAAATAAATGAGACATAACATCCTGGAAGATAAAGAATAGAATAACAGAACAACAGAAGTTGGAAGGGACCTTGGAGGTCTTCTAGTCCAACCCCCTGCTCAAGCAGGAGACCCTATGCCATTCCAAACAAGTGGCTTTTCCAGTCTCTTCTTGAAAAGAAGGATGGGGTGAGCTCCCGTTCCTTCCTCCAGCTCCTGCCCACCTGGCAGTTCGAAAGCATGCAAATAGGTACCACTTTGGCGGGAAGGTAACAGCCTTTGCATATAGCCATGCTGGCTACATACCATGGGAAATTGTCTTCAGACAATGCTGGCCAAAAAACGGAACTGAGCACCGTGCCCTAGAGTCAGACACAAGTAACAGGAAAAAACTTTATCTTTTTGACCCTTCAAAAGTAAAGGCTGTCCCTGGAATCCTGCAGTATCTGTTTATTGCCCTACCTTGAAGGGTTGATGTGCATCACCCGGGACTGTTGTGCTCAACCTATGAGACTTGCTTCAAAGGAAACCAGGTTTATGCACGACACAATTTCTAGGCAGGGTCTCTTCCAGTACTGGGCTGGAGGGAATTGTGAGAAACAGCACAAAGCACACACACCCACACCCTCTCCTTCCAACGGGCTCACAATGGCAATTGCAGCTCAGCAAATCCTCAGCTGAATACACAAGGGTGACTCATCCTCTAGCAGGCAAGCAAGCAACAACAACTTCCTTGCCTATGTCCAATCAGTGGGACTGCTGCTTTCCAAGGAAAAATATTCCCAAGCATCCATGGAAACCCCTACGCCTGTTTGCCCGTGGCCCAACCACCATCTTTGTAGACAGATCCTGGATCTGGGATGTGCTTTAGCAAGAAGAATTCCTGGTTTAAAGAAAACGAGAGAAGATTTGGTTTTAACCAAAGTTCTTTGTCTCTGTATATATTTGTTTAAAAAAAGTTTTAAAAAGTTTTTAAGGAGCTCTGTAGCCCTCTCTTCTCTGTGGCCGTACTTTGTGGTGCTATTCAAAATGAAAAAGAAGAGGTACAGATGGAAAGCAGTCTGGAAAAGGACAAGAGAGGTGTGGAAAGTTCTGTGTGCAGGCCAGGTGTGCAATTGTTGCTCTCAGTTCTGGCTGTAATCCTGTTCTCACATGTCTGGAACTAAGCAGGTTTGAACATAAAGGCTATGTCAAGTCAATCTAAGATTAATGGCTTCGGTGAACACCATAGCAGCTTCTATCCGCTCTAAATTTAGAGCAGTGTTTTTCAACCTTGCCTGCTTTAACATGAGTGCACTTCAACTTCCAGAATTCCCCAGCAAATTCCCCATGGCTGGCTGAGGAATTCTGAAAGCTGAAGTCCACCCATCTTAAAACAGGAAAGGTGGAGAAACATTGGTTTAGACTAGTCACTAGAGTGTCCAAGTTAGTAAGATCTTCTCCTTTGATAAAACACAGATGGTCTGCTTCCCATGTCCCAGCAGGTCAAAAAAATCAAGATGATGGACATGCAAGTGAAGATCTGCTTGTGTTAATAAAAATAGATGGGCTTCAGCTGCATAGTTTAGCAGCCTTCAGGCCACACATTTAAACAGCTTGGGCTAAGGCTTAGCAACTTACTTCCCCACCCTGGTTAATGTTCACCTTGGTTAGTTTTATACAGGTCATCATGTTGTCTGAACCCATTCTATTTGCTTAGTTGATTAATCACATTTTAGCATGCGGGCTGGGGGATTCTGGGAGCTGAAGTATCGTATCTTCTATATCTTAAAAGTTGTTTCCTGCTTGACCAGAGCGTTGGACTAGAAGACCTCCAAGGTCCCTTCCAGCTCTGTTATTGGGTTATTCTGCCATGATTTAGTGCATGGAACATAAAATAATGATTCAGTAACCAAGTCACTTAGGTGAGTTGGGCTGTGTAGAAATGGGATAAATAAATATGTTTTAGGCCCGAGCTGGTTACTATGCTGGATCGGCTACAGGATTAATAGAGAGAACAAAGGAATAACGGGGTGAGTCTTTGCCGCTTTGATAATATCTGATATCTCCCTTCCTCCATGCCCAACAGTGACCACGCCAAGACTCTGAACAATGGCTGAGCCTAGCAACATCCAGTCAGCGGCTTCTAAGAGCATCCGTCCATTCCGTTCCAGCGAGGACTATCTCTACGCCATGAAGGAGGACCTGGCGGAATGGCTGAATACACTTTACGATCTTGATGTCCAGGTGGAGAACTTCATGGATGCCCTGGAGATGGGCTACGATCTCTGCCAGCATGCCAACAACGTCAACCGTATCGCCCTGGAGTTCCAACAGTCGAACCCGGAAACTGCTTCTCACATGAGAATCCCTCAGAAGGAGGTGATCTTCCAAGCAAAGAACGTGGTCCCTGGCTCTTTCATCGCTCGGGACAACATCTCCAACTTCATCCAGTGGTGCCGTCAGGAGCTGGGCATCCAAGACGTGGTGATGTTTGAAACCAACGACTTGGTGTTGAAGAAGAACGAGAAGAACTTCGTCCTTTGTCTGCTGGAGGTGGCCAGGAAGGGCTCCAAGTTTGGGATGCTGGCTCCCATGCTCATCCAGATGGAGGAAGAGATTGAGGAGGAGATGAGGGACCACCAGGTGGTCTGTGGAGAGTTGAAGACTGAGCAAGTGATCGAAGATTTGGGGCCGAAGTCTCCCGTTTACTTGAACAAAACACAGAGGATAAGCTTGTGTGACCTCAAGAATCTGGATGAGCTGGTGAGTTCTTGCGTTCCACTTTGGTTTTATTTATTGAATATAGCTGCATCTTCCTCCTTTTCTTCGACTTTTCAAGACAGCATGTTGAGCTTCCTCTATCATTCACATGAAGTCTTCAAGATTGGCTTCTGGGTTTGGACCTGGCTATTCCAATCCAAGCTGGCTCACTTCCTTTGTTCTATTTTTTTAAAAAGTTTGTAGCTGAGAATGGATGTAGGTAAGGGGAGATGGCTTCTTTCTTCCATCTGGTGTCCTCCAGATGGAATGAGGACCCACAAGTCCCCTCTAAGAAGTTGTGGAGATTTTGGGAGTGCATTTTGGTCCCAATACCACTAAATGATCCCAGGTTGAGAAAATTGTTGGTGGTTTCTTTGAGATATTCTTGATGTATGCCAATGTAATTCTTTTTAGGGGGTGTGTTAGTTGTGCTGTATTGGGTTGAATGGTAAAGTTGCGTGGATATCCATTTTGTTGGAACTAAACTAAACCCCTTTGTGTTAATTACAGAGGTTAATGCCATCAAACAGAAGCTGCAAAGCAAGAGTCATGAGCCATTCCGATCCCTGCCCTGCCCTTGCCCTTAACAAGAGTTATACTCATTACAGGACTCTCAGTGGCTCCATCCAATTCTGTAATCTGTGTTTTAAATTAAATAGATCCCAATGTTTGTAGGATACGTTAAATCCTCTGGTCTAATTCAGTTGGGCCTGCAGGCTGGGCCACCCCATGCTCCAAATGTGTCTTGGCTGTTTGTTTGTTTGAAGTTTTCCATCCTTTTCTTCAACCTCTGTGTTCCTCTTGGCTTTCTCTTTGATTGATGCTGTTCTTGGATTTGGGGGCAAACTGGCTCATACAGTATTGGATTTGGGGGCAAACTGGCTCATACAGTATCAATATGCCTCTGGCTAGCTTGATAGGAACCAGAAGGAGCTGGATGGGAAGGAAAGAGAGAATCAACTCTGAATGAGCTGCCTGTCACTCAGAGAAGACCGGAAATTGTTGGCTACAAAGACTATCTCCTTTGGCTTAATATTAGCCCTGTTTGCTGGAGGAGATGGGAGATAGGAAGGTGAGATAGGACAATTCTAGATTTAGCTTTTATGTAGTTTAGAGCTTTAATTGTTCTGAGAAGTGCTTTTCCAGTTGTGGTTTCAAGCCTCTTTAAATATTTAATTCTGTCAACATTTCATTGTTTTGGGTGCCTTCTTTTTCCAAAGGGTGTTTGTTTTGGCCGTCTTTCTCCTGCATCATCTTTATGCCTTTTTATCAGATTTGCAGACTCCTTAATCTCTTTCTCCAACCCTATCTTTAAATAACCCTATTTATATAAACAACCCTATCTACACAAATTTATTTCACTGGTGGGAATCGTCCCTTTATTCTGTCTTTTTAAGGTATGTTACCGCGATTGGCAGCTAACAAGGACTCAATTAAAATGTGACACTAAAGGGAGAAAGAATTGGGAGGCAGGAATTAGACAAACTCAGACATACATTCATAGTTACAAACTTTTATGGGCGAACCAGCCAAACAGCACCAGTGGGCTGTCAAAAGACGTGATTATTTAGCAACATGAATAAATGAACACCAAATTCAGCATATTGTAAAGTCAGACTTTTCCTGATCCATGTTTTGCCTCTGCATCCTTCTTGTCACACCTGTCATTTGCATAGTTTTACTTTATCTCACGAAGAAAGCCATTCCAAAAAATAAAATTGGAGGAAGGAATTAGGGGTGGGAAAGAGAAAAAAAAATCTCTCTTCTGCAGCACAGAAAATGCTTATTGTTCCTTCTGAACATTGCCCTGTGCCTTTGAACTGAAAGACCTACTGTCTATTTATTTAGGTTATATTATGTTCGTTTAGAGTTGGCTTCCCTAAAGCTGCTACTTTAAGCCACAAGTCGTTTTGGCCCCTGGAGAAAATGTTGGTCTGCTGCATTCGTCACCAAGATGTCACTTTTCCATCTTCTCCTCCACCCATGTCAACAAGCAGACATACAGCCCATAATTTTGAGACTGAAATAGCAGAGAATAACAGAGACATTCATCAGTTTTTCTTCATGTGGATAAATGTCCCTACGTAGCCAAAGGGTGAATATAGGAGGAGGATGGAAAATGAGAAACAAAACCAGGATATTCTCACAACCAACTGAAGAAAAAAAATGTTGTGTATAGGAAACTTACACCGTGGCCGTAAGGCAAGGACTACCTGTATTTCCTCTGCCATGGTGGTCTGTGACACAGTTTTAGGGGTTCCCTATAAGCCTGTCCAAATTTAGCTTGTCGAGCAGATCACGAAGTTGTGGGAATGCAACCGCTCTTGTAAAAACGGGGTTTTGAAAAAATAATCCTGAGTAATTTTGTCTGTGAAGAAATACTGACCACGGTGTCAGGGTTGAGATTTATCTTCTACTTCTGACATACTGTAGCTCTTTAATGGCCCACAATGCTCTTTCTCAACCATCTCATTTGCTGTACCTGAAGGGGAACACGTCGTAATAACATGACACAACCTTGATGAAGTCACTTCTTCCTAACTGAGCAAGCCTCACGGCTAATTGAAGTTTTATAGAAGGTGGTTGAGTCAGCTGATGTCTCTCTTTCCTGGCCCGTCCTGGATAAATTGCTGCCTTTATTTTTAGGTGTGGTATTCTCAGGCCTTTTATGGTTTTGCTAACACAAACTCGCCCCAAGGTACGACACACCCACTGTGCAAAGCAGAGAAGCATTCAAAGACGGAAATGGGGGTATTTTCATGTAAAGGGAATCCTCTTAAGAATATTCATAGACAGTTCTGATGACAGAATCCATTGGGCAATCTTTGGCTGGACTTGAAGATGAGCAGTTAACCTACGCAGGCTTTTTTTTGTTTTAATATAATCTTGAACGGAGAGCGGGGCCTGTAAAAGTTGACACTTTCTTGGCTGGATAGAATTTGCTCACCTATTCACTAAGTCAAAGGAGAGTCCATCTGTGATGAAGAGGATGAGAAAGGAGGATAAGAAAGAGAAGGGAGGGAAAGAGAAAAAAAGAAAGAAAAAAAGAAAGAAAGAAAAGAGGAAAGAGGAAGAAGGAAGAGAAGAGAGGGAGGGAGGGATGAAAGAAAGAAAAGAGAAGGAAGGGAAAGAAAAATATAATACAATACAATACGGATTTCTATTTTCTGAGTTCAGATAGGATATCTCCTTGCCACAAATGTGGGCATTAAAATTAGGAATGGCATTAAAGACCTAATGAGATCTTCATTGGGGGAAATGCTACAAAAATCTGCCTTTGATGTTTTTACTATTTTTGGGGGTGGGGTGGGGAGACCTTGTCCTAAAAGAGACTGGACTGACTCTTGTCTGGAATGGTCTAAAAGGTCTCTCCGGCTTGAGTAAGGTTCAGACTAGAAGACCTCCAAGGTCCCTTCTAAGTCTGTTATTCTGTTATATCCACAAAGACTAGAAAGCTGCTTTTTTTTGAAAGAAGGAAGGCTGGAACAACAATGCAAAAACCCTTAGAAAGCTGCTCTCCAGCCAGATCCAGAGGATTTTTTCCACCTCAGCTGGTCTGAAAAATCCTTTTCCCCCCCCTCCCCGCCCCCTGCGAGGGCTGGTTGGGACTTGGTGCTGGTTGGCTTCCCACTGGGGCTGCAGTGCAGTTTTACTGGCTGTTCATTCATCTGTCTCGGTGTGGGTCTCTCTTCTAAGCAACCCAGTGTAAATAAATTAGCTCTCCAACTTCGACTGGATGCTTTCCAGAGCCCTGTCTGGTGCAAAGGAAAAAAAGTACAAAGTGGTCTGAAGTGTGTGTGTGTGTGTGTGTGTGTGTGTGTGTGTGTGTGTGTGAGAGAGAGAGAGAGAGAGAGAGAGAGAGAGAGAGAGAGAGAGAGAGAGAGACTTCTCCCTTCAGTCCAACTTTGATTTTATACATTTACCATGTCGTTTTCTTGCAACCACACGGAAGACATTTCCCATTGCCTTTCACTCCCCAGCCCATCCAGAATTCTGGCATCTTCTGGCAACCTGCCCTTCGAATTTTCGCACACTCCAGTCCTGTTTGATCAACTGATGGTGTTAGAATTGGGTTTTCCAACTTCAGCAATTTTAAGCTTTCTGGACTTCAACGCCCAGAAGTCCCCAGCCAGCATACTTTATTAGGTGTGGACTTCAATTCCCAGAGTTCCCCAGCCAGCATGGCTTAAGAAGCATGGACTTCAACTCCCTAGAGCCAGAGCATGCCTTAACACATGTGGGCTTCAACTCCCAGAATTCCACAGTCAGCATGCAGGCTACGGAATTCTGGGAGTTGAAGTCCACTCGACTGAAAATTCCCAAGGTTGAAAACCATAGCTTGAAGTCCTAACCAAGCCCAACTGTGCTTAACTCCCAAACCTGGGCACAGTTGGCAGGAAGTGGTTTTCGTCATGAGCCAGTCTGGAGAGGACAGGAGTAAAGGTGGATCTTTTCTGATTAAGCTTAACATTCCTTTTTAATTTCCAATTCCTTCCCTGCCCTGATTCCTTGCTAAATCTGCAACTGGCAGATGGGTGACCTCTTTGTTGCGTGCCAAGGGACCGGACTCAGCTCCCCACTCCCAGGAGCTTCCCATCCGATGCTAACCAAGAATCGGCTGGTCTTGGAGATGACCCTGCTCTGCAAATAGACAGCCATCTGCCAAATTCCTAAGCCCGCTGGATTTAAATCCCTTTTAAAGGATCTTTTTAATTTTGTTCTTTTATTACAGCGATGGCACCGGGGAAAATATCAGATTTATCCCTAGGAAGATTCTTCAAGCTCATTATTTAGAGCCAGATGCTGTCATGGGGTCTGCTTAGAACACAGAATAACAGGAAGGGACCTTGAGGGTCTTCTAGTCCAACTCTCTGCTCAACAAGGAGTCCTATACCATTTCAGACAAATGGTTGTCCAATCTCTTCCTAAAAACCTCCAGTGTTGGAGCACCCGCAACTTCTGGAGGCAAGTCGTTTTGCTGATTGATTGTCCTCACTGTCAGGAAATTTCTCTTTAATTCCAGGTTGCTTCTCTCCGTGATGAGTTTCCATCCTTCTTTGCTTCTTGTCCTGCCTTCTGGTGCTTTGGAGAATAGCTTGACCCCCCTCTTCTTTGTGGCAACCCCTGAGATATTGGAAGACTGCTATCATGTCACCCCTAGTCCTTCTTTTCATTAAAATAGAACTATCCAGTTCAGCCAGCCGTTCCTGTTCAACTGATTTTTGTAATGGCTTTCTTTGCGTCTTAGGGACGTGTATGAAACAGGAGGCAGGCAAGGAATCTGAGCAAGTGTTAGGATGGCTCACAGCAAAAAGTCTGAATTGAACAGAGCAGTACTTTTCAAACTTGGCAACTTCAAAATGGGGGCACTTCAACTCCCAGAATTCCCCAGCCAGCCAACCAAGATGATGAGAAAGGAAGTCCAAGTTGCCTTTCTGGAAAAAAGCTCTTTGGGGACAGACTGGGTCAAGCTAACTGAGGTTGGGTCTTGGCAGCGAAGAAGGAGTTGGAGAGAAGGGTCTTCTTGGGACCAGACAAATCAGACAACTTTTGTCTCTCCCTTCTCCCCCCCCCCGCCTCTTCTGCTCATAGACCGAAGGAGACGGCTTGTCGCGTGTCAGTGGGTGAATTGAAAGATTAATCCACTTTCCACCCAGCTGAGTTGTTTGGAAATGAATGCCTTAACATTTCTTTCTGGTTCGTAAGAGTCCGGCTGTCTGCCCAACACTTTGCTTTTATGGGCATGGGGCAAACTGAGCAGGAACTGGGAAACACCCTCACTCGCTTCCTTTCTCTTTCGGTGGGAAGAAACGATCTGTCACCCAGCCCTGCCAGGTGCTCTTTTCCCAGGGATTCTGCAGAGACAAATCGTTTTTCCATTGGGGATGCTGGACTCAATTAACGATGGTTGAAGCTGCCAGAAGAGCAAGAATCAGAGAAAAGAAGAAAGAAAGAAAGAAAGAAAGAAAGAAAGAAAGAAAGAAAGAAAGAAAGAAAGAAAGAAAAGGAGGACGAGGAAGAGGAGAAGAATTATTCCCAGAATTCCCCAGGCATCATGGGCGGACTTCATCTCCCAGAATTCCATGCTAGCTAGCTAGTCCACATATCATTAAGCTGCCAGGGTTTCAAAACAGGGATTTAGGGCGACATGGACTTTGAATTCTCCCTCCGCCCTAACTAAATATTGTTGGATCAGCCCTGCCAGATTTTTTTTCCTCTTGTTTTGGGCAACTACAGTGCACTAAATGTGGGAAAAAAAATGGGTTGCTTTCTTTCTCTCTTTCAAACGAACAGGAAAAAAAAATCTTTTTCTTTGCTTTCTGTTTCCTCTGCTAGCAAGAATCCTCCCAAACGGACTTGGAAAATTCCGCTGATCAATTTTGTTCCATCCAGGGACCAAAAAAAAAAAGGGGGGGGAAAGTGTTCCTTTTCCCACCAGGACCTTGCTTTCCTCGCTTGTGCCTGGTTTCAAAAACAATGACCTCATTTTCCCACGTCTCCAGGTAGCTTTAGAGAGGCAGACTAATAAAAACCCAATAATTGAATCCTGGAATTGGCAAAGAGGAGAGAATAATCTTGAGTCAACACTGGAGGTGGCTGATATCCACAGATTTGGGATCTGCAGCCCCAGGGCCTTTTGGAAAGAAACTTTAAAACAAGCACTCTTAATGAAGCAATAAATAATTGAGCGAGCAAGCATTTCTCAAGCGCTTTTATTGTTGCTGTGAGAGACCGAAGGTGACACCCTTGAAAAAAAACAATGAACCTGTGGTTTATGGGTTTGGAGATTAGACCAGCAGATAATGATAAAAAGGAAGTGAGAATGGATAACATATAAACGCTGTAAAAAACAAAAACAAATTAAAAGCCACTTTAATACCACTGTTGCCTTTTCTTTTTCTTCCTTTACATTTTTTTCTCTATATCTTTTTTTTTTTTGCTTGCTTGCTTATCTCCTTCTGGGCTTTTCAAAATTTGTATTGTTTTTATTCTGTTAAAAATTTAAAAAAGAAAAAAGATGACACCCATGGAAAATCTTGTATAGGCAGTCCCTGACTTACGACTACAATCGGGTCCCAATTTTTTTGTTGCTAAGCGAGACCGTTGCACTGTACCTGTAGCTGGATGGGTTATTTGCTGCCTGATTTAACCCTTGTGTTTTTCCTCTGTTTCTCCAACCCGGTTTGTTTTCTCTCCTTCCAGGTAAGGGAGATCCTGGGCCACTGTACCTGCCCATCCCAGTTCCCCATGGTCAAAGTCTCGGAGGGCAAATACAAAGTTGGAGACTCTAACGCGCTCATCTTCGTCCGAGTAAGAGCTTCTGCAACTACTCTCTCTCCCTTTGTGCCAGGAGAAAAGCCTGAGATATATTTTTTTTCCATGCTGCATCCTATATTTTTAGTGGAGGGGGGGGAATCATGGTATGGGGGGAGAGTGGAGGCAGCTGTGCTCATTTTCACATGCCCGCAGAGCAGCAGGAAACAGATGTTGGTAGCAGAGCATCTGCAGAAAGCTAATGACCCCCTTTGCAAGAGGCTCCTTCGTTGTGTCCCTGTTTGAGCCACCCAGCAATTCATATCCATGGCAATGGAGACTCGCTCCAGCTGTTTTAGGGGACGGCTCTGCATTTATGCCACTTTGCTGCCTCCCCCCCCCTTCCCCCAATCCTTCAGAAATAGGTTTTTCTTCAGAAAAAAAAATAACAGTCTTGGGGAAAGACAGAAGGCAGGGCCATGGAATGGGCAAAGCAGAGTGGGTGAAGGAGCTGAGCGGAGGGTCTGGAAAGCACCAGCAGCCACGTCAGATCCACGGATCATCTGGCACAGATTTATATAAGCCGGGGAGGGGTGGGGGAGGTAGGGAAGGGAACGGGGGGGGGTTGGCCCAGAGCAAGAGGGAGAAATCAGGCCAGGGCTAAAGATCCTTGGAGAGGCTTCAAAAGCTGTCTCAGGTCACCGTTCCCGATCTCTGTACAAAAATCCTTCCCTGCTTTCTGTCTTTGCACCCCAGCAGAGGCCAAAAGGGACGGAGGGGGGGGCTTCATCCCACCCACCCCCATATCTATTGCATGGTTCCAGCCACAGTTTTGATATTATGCACAGGTACATTCCCTGGACCCTCCTACAGCCCTGTTTTTTCACAACCTAAACCTGTGCATTTGCAGACAGATGTTACCTAGTAGGGTAATGAAACGTCTGCAAGAAAACCATCAAGCTCAAAGAACATCAAGACCCCCCCCCCAGTCCTTTTTCTCCTCCTCCTCCTCCCTCAGTTCCTTCTAGCACTGATGATGTTACCTAGTAGGTTAATGAAGCATCCGCAAGAAAACCACCAAGCTCAGAGAGCACCAAGGACCCCACAGTCCTCCTCCTCCCCCTTAAAACTTGGCATTGGGATGTTGCTGGGACGTTGTGTTTAATCACCATTTTGAAAGCAGGGTGTGCAAGATCCAGAAGGATTGGTTAATTGCTTCAACGGCCTGTTTTATCCCCTCTGTCTGCTTACCCAGGCTTTCAGATTAAATTTTCTAAGCCTGTAAGATCAAAGTGAAATCTGCATGGTGGATGGAAGGAAGACATTTCCCCGGTTTCGAACGACAAAATTCTCCTTCATTACGACGTGGTTCTTCTCTCTCTCTCTCTCTTTTTTTTTTTTTGCGGTTTTAAGTAAGGATGGCTGCAAAACAATCCCTGAAAGATTTCGGAGGCCTGCGCGAGAAAATAGCTCGGATAAAAATAAAAGTCATAACCGAAGATAATCTCCTGCCCTTTCATGTTATTCCAGGCGGGATTGTTATCCTGTTGTACGGTGCTTAATGACAGAGATGGCTTTTTAGGGATAAGTTTACACAACCAGCTGCTGCTGTTTGATAGCGTGTGCCCGCAAAGGGAGGACCATCTCTGAAATGGAGAGATTTGAGATGACTATTGTCTGTTTCAAGAAAAGCACTGAAATTGCAGCCTTTAAACTCTGGGTGTTTCAATGAAGCCTTTTTTTCCCCTTGGCAAGCAGTTCCAAAGTCAACAAGTGGCCTTTGAGAAAAGGTTCCACGCATAATCTCACAATGTACAGATGGTTCTCACTTACGGCCAAAGGAAGTGTTGTTAAGCAATAAGTCAGTTTTGCTCCATCTTACGACTGTCCTGGCCACAGCTGTTAAAGGAATTGCCGCAGTTATTAAGTCGGGGACACCTTTTTTTTCCGTATCGTCGTAACTTTGAACCATCCCTAAATGAACGGTTGTAAGTTGAGAATGACTATCTGGCAAAGCCAAAAATGCAGAAGTGTTATTTGCCTTCAGAAGATGACTCTACCAGCCTGGTCCAGTTCAAGCAACACCTAAAGTGGCATAACTGTCAGATGTTATTTTAATTTCTTCCTAGGTTCTCCGCAGCCACGTGATGGTCCGGGTAGGGGGGGGCTGGGACACGCTGGAGCATTACCTGGATAAGCATGACCCTTGCCGGTGCACTTCCGTCTGTAAGTACCTGGGGGGGAAGGGGGCTTGGTGTCGGGGAAAGGAATGCAAGTGTCATGTGTGAGGAATCAATAAGTTCCAGTTAAGATAATTTATTGCTTATGCATATACAGGTAAGCCCTCAAAATACAGCCACAAGGGAGCCCAGAATTTCTGTTGCTACGGTGGGCAGGACACGTTGCTAAGTGAACCTTGCCTCGTGTTACGCCTTTCCTTGCCGCGGTCGTTAAATGAATCACTGCTGGGGTTAAATTAGTCACGCGGTTGTTACGTGAATCTGGTTTCCCCGTTGACTCTGCTCGTCAGAAGATCGCAAAATGCGATCCCATGATCCCAAGGTTAAGGCGTCCTTGGCCAATAGCTCCCATGGCTAGTAGCTACTGCCTGTGAAGCACATCAGGCCGGGCCCTGAGTTCAAATGCTACCCTATGCATATCTGTCTCTGTGTGTGTGTTTGTGTGTGTGTGTGCCTGATGCTAGCTCAAACAAATAGGGGTGGGGTATCAAAGTCAGCAGCAAAAGAAAAAGTTGTTTTTAAAATTTCCTTCCACGTGCAAAGCGTGACGGTGCTTTGGACATGTGCTGAAATTTTAGGAGAATCCAGCGTTTTGGGAAGAGCCCAGTTCATGCTCTCATGTATCCCCAAGGGGTTAACTGGAAGCTCGCTGTGAGAAGAAGGCAACAGGAAGCAATATTCATCCCCAAAATGACATAATTAAAAGCTCTCTTCCAACTTGAAGGCTCAGGCAAGATGTTGGTTAGAGGCAGCATTGCAGGGGCGCCCCCTGGTGGCTTGTAGCCATCAGACATTCCTTGATATATTTTTTTCCTTTTTAAAAATATCCACAAGGCTTGCAGTTCCTCTTTTGACACTGCAGCTTTTTTCCCTAAACCAAAAGGCCTCTTTTTTAAAAAAAGAAAAGAAAAGAAAAGGAAGGAAGGAAGGAAGGAAGGAAGGAAGGAAGGAAGGAAGGAAGGAAGGAAGGAAGGAAGGAAGAAAGAAAGAAAGAAAGAAAGAAAGAAAGAAAGAAAGATAGATCTAGGCTCATATCAAAGACTATTTGATCCATCCTGCAGCTTTTTCTAATTAGCAGAAAATTCCTTTCCTATTCAGACATCCACTGCATTACTGTACTGCAGACAAGATTTAACTCCCAACAAAGAGGAATCTATCAAGTTTCAATATTCATTTTGAGAAAGGCACCTTCTCCACAACTCAGCCAAAAGATCACCAATGAGCCATCCCCACTCCATGAAAGCAAAAACCTACAAAGAACAGTTGCAGGAATTGGCTACGGCTAATCCAGAGAAAACAAAGAGTAGGGAATGACGTGACAGCAACATTCCAATATTTGAGGGGCTTCCCCAGAGAAGAGAGAGGTCAGCCTATATAATCATAATCTATTAGCCAGTAGAAAGGCTCAGCTCCTCCCCTAGTTTGGAAGCCAATCAAAGCATACAGATGAGTTGGGTTGGCCAACTTGGGGACTAAACACAACATGCTTTTTTTCCTCCTGTTCCTCTTTATGTCAAGTCCTCAAGGAAATAAGAACCAGTAAAGAGTTGTAAGAGAGCCAGCTTGTCCTCGTGGTGAAGGCACCAGGCTAGAAAGTGGGAGGCTGTGAGTTCTAGCCCCACATTAGGCGCAAAAGCCAATCATCACAAGACTGAGCCTTGTGGCTGACTTATTTGGACATTCTTTCTCACTTTTTGCAGCTCATCGTCTGACCCAGGGTCGAGGGCTCGGCTTCTCCCCCCAGAAGACCAGTGGCCTGGCCAGCCCCCAAGCAAACAGCCCCACCACTCAGCGTCGGGCTGAAGCGGTGGCTCACTTGGGGGAGAAACGGCTCTTGGCTGGAGGGGACCCGACTCAGCTCAAAGGAAACCGTCCTCCCACCAAGAGATCTGGGACCGCGACCCCACCCAGGCAGGGATCGCTGGTTCCGCCAAGTGGGAAATGCAGCGCGGCAGGACAGGGGGGTGCCAGCCCTCTACGGGGGTGCCCGTCCCAAGCCCACCAGGAGACGGGAGAGTCCCATCTCCCCGTCAGGTAAGACGTGCTGAAAGGGGCTGCCTCTTGAATGTCAGGATACAGTTCTTGTCGTACGTTTGAAGACAAGAACTTTATCCCAAGATGTCCCAAAGAAGCTTTTTCACGAGGCAGCTGGGCTTTCTTGTTTTTTCCTTTGAAGACGTTTCACTTCTCGCCCAAAGGAGCTTCTTCAGCTCTTCTTGGATGAGAAGCAAAACATCCTCAAAGAAAAAACAAGAACGTTCCGTTGCCTCGTGAAAAAGCACCTTTGGGACAACCATGACCTGGATAGACTGAGAATCTCCATAGACACAAGTTTGGGGACCCCTGGCTTAGACAGATAGCAGAAGAGAAGCTGTAGCCATCCCCAGCCAGGTGCTGGGAAAACAGAAAAGCCGCCAAGGGTGACTCACCCAAACCACAGAAGCAGGCTAAGGCAGAGAGCCTGCCTGATGTGATGACAGTTTTTTTCCAGACTGCTTTCTCAGCCAGAGCTATGAGCAAAGAGGAGGCTCTCTGCATATCTCTTCCACTAATTGCTCCGTAATGGGCTTTAAGTGGAAAGGGTGGGGTAAAACAGGAGTTTGAAAGAGAATAGGAGCCCCTTTTCAGACACCAACCTTAGGAAAAAGCAGACGCTTCTCCCTGGTGTATCGGCAAAGAAGCTTCCAGATTCCTCCTGTTTTTTGTTTTATATTTTGCTGCTGCTGTAGATTGTGGCTCTCTTCCTACCGTGTCTGCCAAAGGGCCTGGTTTCCCTGCAAAATTTGGCAATTGCCCAGTTTCAGCAGAATCTCTGTTTGCTAGACTTGCACGTCCAAAGTGTTAAATTTGGCACCTTCGTTAGACTTAGAAGGGACTTTGCCAAGCTTCTGCCTGAAGGCAGGACAAGAAGCAACGGATGGAAACTCATCAAGGAGAGAAGCAACCCAGAACTAAGGAGAAACTTCCTGACAGTTAGAACAATTAACCAGTGGAACAGCTTGCCTCCAGAAGTTGTGGGTGCTCCATCACGGCAGGTTTTCAAGAGGAAACTAGACAGATATTGTCTGGAATGGTGTAGAGTCTCCTGCTTGAACAGGGGCTCGTACTAGAAGACCTCCAAAGTCCCTAGGATTCTAGGATTCTTGAAGGGAGGGAGGGAGGGAGGGTGGGAGGAAGGAAGAAAGAAAGGAAGGAAGGAAGGAGAGAAAGGGAACAAGAAGGAAGGAAGAAGGAAACTTAAATGCAGAGAGCAAAACGTGACGTGTCTTAAAGGCTGCCGTTCTTTCTTGCAGGACCCCCAGAGCTAGGCGTCTTTCCGGAGACAGCGATTCCTCCTCCTCCTCCTCTATGCACAGTGCCAGCTTGGGAAGGAAGCGGAACGAGGAGCCCAGCCTGGAACTCAGGAAGGAGGCTGGGAAGCGTATCTCCGAGGGGCCAGCCTCCCAGCTCCACGCCAGTCCCAAACGGCAGCCAGCCAGCCGGAGTCAGTCCCGAGACCGTCTCAGCTTGCCAAAAACCGTTGCGGTGCCCAAGAGGATTGAGTCAGAAGAGCGTGGCCGTCCCCGCATGGCAAGCCGGCCGAGCAAGCCTGGACCGCAGAGCCCTCGTCCCCGGGCCCGCAGCCAGGGAAGGCCTGCAGGAGAGCCCATGCTGCTGATCAGCCGAGCAAAGGATGGACAGCACTCTTGGACACGGGCAGACGAGCCCAAGGAGAATGCCGGGGGCTCTGGAAGAGCCACCCCCAGGACCAAGAGCCCGGCAAGGGGTCACCTGACCCCGGTGGGTTCCCGAAGCCCTGCCCCCATCAAGCGCAGGGGTTCCCTGCCCGCCACAAAAATGGCCAATCCTTCCGCCCGAATCCCTCCGCCAGCCCCAGGAAGACAGCGACAGCCCTGCTTGCCCAAACAACGGGGGGCCGTGAGGCAGCTGCAGTCGGGGGAGAGTGGGCCCTCCAGACAGCCCAATGAGGACACTTTGGGGCAGGAGCTGGAGGCCATGGCGCAGGCTTTCCACACCCCGCTGCGCCTCGATCCGAGCCAGGAGCAGCAGCTCTACCGGCGCCTGGAGGAAGAATTCCTGGCCAACTCTCAGATGATGGGTTTGGAGATGGAGGAAGAGCTGGACCCAGGCAGCCAGGCCTGCGATGGTGCCCGGCTCTTGCCCCCCAATCCGGACCAAGGGACCGCTGACTCCGCGTACTGCTCCTCCAGCTCTTCCTCTTCCTCCCTCAACGTCTTCAGCAAACACGGTCTCCAAGTAGAGGAGTCCAAGCGGAAGGCAGCCCAACAGGTGACCGGAGGAGGGTCTGAGCTGGGGGATTTCCACAATGGCTCGCTCGAGGCTTCCGAGCTGTGGGATTCCTCTGGGTCTCGTGAGCGAAGGAGCCGCTGGAGGAAACCCGTCCTTTCCAGCTCGTCCGATGAAAGCAACTGCTACCTGGGTCTGAACGACGTCCAGGAAGTCCAGGAGGGTCTGGAGCTGGCCGAGCCTCTGGTGGATAGCCCCTGGGCTCCTGGGGAGCCGGCCCCTTCCCACACGGAGCTGGGACCCTCCCTGCAGGATGGCACATCTCCCTCGGCCCCTATCCTGGAAGAAGTCGCGCTCCCTCCCCAGCCGTCCCTGGGGAAACCCGACCGCGTGCCTTCCAGCTACCAGATGAAGCTGCGCCCGCAAATTAAGCCTCGTGCCGACTCCCAACCGGACAAGACCCCCTCAAAAATCCCCACCCCCCTCAGCTACAAGGCTTCAGGAGGACCCAAGGTTCCAACAGGAAGTGCCTCGTCCAGGGACAGCCCAGTCAAAGGCCTATCTGAGCGCCGGGGCTGGGCGGCCTTCCAACACCTCTTCTCCTCCTCCTTTGGGGAGTGTCCCGGGGGTTCGGTGGAGTCCAGTGTGACCGATGAGGGGGCTTGGGCCTAGGACAGCCCCGCCCACCCCTCCTATCCTCTGCACCTGCTTCTGTGGTCCAGCCCTCTCTTTCTCCAGCTGCTTCCTTGGACCTCTTCCCGCTGTGACTTTGTCGTATGCTGCTGTCCAGAAGAGCGTTTTCTTTTTCGGTGACGGGAGGAGAGAGGGACCAGGGGCGGGGTGGGGGAGAAAGCCTTGGATTGCAAGGGTCTGTCCTTCTATATTTTATTTTTGGAGTGAGGCTGGGAGATGGCAATGCTTAAAGTGCAGTGCTGCTGGGGCTTGGGTTGCATGTATGTTGTTGTTTGGGCTGCGTACGTGTGAAACGCTTGTATGGGGAAGTCCTTTAACACTGGATACTAAAGGGAGCATCAGGGTTAATATTCACTCCCTTGGTCTGTCACTGTCCAGCTTCTGCCATCTTGGTATTTCCGTAGCCGTCTAAGCTCAGAACAAGGAGTCCTTGACTTACGACCAGAACCTCTATCACTGTGAGGACTGTTAAGTGAATCACACCCAATTTGACTACCAGTTTTGCTACGGTCATTAAGCAAATCCATCCACCCCCTTAGAATCCCCCTGAAAGGGCCACAAACAGCAATCCCTTGAAACCCCCTCCGTCCCAGAGGCTGCAACCACAGTAAATATACTGGCTGTCAAACATCTGAATTTGGATCACATGACAGTCATAAGTGTGAGGATCAACGTGGAACCATTGTTTAAAAATGATCGTAAGCGGAGGACTTATTTGTAGCACGTCTGTCGGTTTGTCGCATTTCAGCAAAGCTCGTGTTTCTTTCAGACACCTCTGGAGAGAAAGCCCAGCACTAAAGCTGACCCCAAGGCTTAACCTGGTTAGCCATGAACCTCATCAGAGCTTCTTCCTTGTGGTCTGGCGCTGGCGTACTATTCGAGCGAGGTGGAAAGGCCACCATTTTCGGAAACAGGGTTTTAAAAAGCAGAAAGGAGGGTGACTTTGACCGCACAATTGCAGTTGCCATATTGATTTTGGGGGGACCTCTCCTCCCTCCCCACCCCCACGCCCCTGCCCCTATTTCTGGCCCTCCAGCCAGGGAGGCAGCATTGGCGGGTCTACGACAATTTGCTGCAGGGCAACTCGCTACGGGACAAGAGTGACACTAATATCAAAGAAACTGTGGGACAGAATCATTAAAGAAAGGATGCAAAAGGAGGGACGGAATGAAATGCGAAAGGCACCAATTAAAATATTTTTTTAATTTATTTATTTTAAATCATTACACAGAAGTGTTAAATTGTCCTGTAGTGAGTTGGCCGTGGCAAGTTCTGGCATTGGCATGGATTCAGCATTCAGCTACGTGAGGATTTGGAAAAGGACCGTTGTGCACTTGGCAGGGCGTTGTGTAATGGAGCGGCTGTCCCTTTCATTTTTTGCACACTCCCCTTGCTTCTGGGCAAGGCTGCACAGAGTCGGAAGAGTGCCTTATGGGGTAGGCTTGGTTGGGGTTGGGGGTGGGTGGGGAGGGAATGCCGAAGGACTGCCTGGAGAAAGTGGTTTGACTCCAGTTTTCTGGCTCCCGTTTGGAGTCAAACCTTTCTCCCTCTCCCCACAGGAGTGGCCGTAGTGGATTCACACAACAGACGCTTAGTGGCACCTGGCTAAGATTCTTGAAACCTCGGGAGAAGTTGGGGAGACGTTTGTGGGACTGGATAGAAGGGACGCCCCCCCCATTCTGCAAGGCAATCGTTGCACGTGGCAAAATGTCGGGCTTGGGCAAAGTGGCCGTGTGAGTGGAAAGAGGGGCAGGGAGGGAACGCTGAAGGCTTTGCACGTGAATTTCTTTTTGGCAGGGCCTCTCTCGGCCTTCGCGACCCTCACTGCCCCCTTGTCACTGGAGGTCTGTTGAATAATCTATGCATATTTATATGAGTAATAGGGAGCCTGGCTCTCCTCCCGTAGAGTGCCTGCTATCCACCCCCGTGAATGTAGCTGATTAAACTGACCTGCAGATTCCTGAATTCAAACAGTAAAGACTGACACATCGTCTGTTTTGCCCCGCCCCTTTTTTGTGTGCATGCGTGTAAATGGGTGTGTTAGTATGGAAGGAAGCTGTGCTTCAGATCAGAAAAGTGCACAGATTTTATTGGGGTGGTGCAGGTTTGGGCAGCTTTCCTTTGCTCTCCCTCCCTTCTCCCTCTCTCCCTTTCTCTCCCTCTCTCCCTCCCTGGAGACTACTCTGTACGACCATCACAATCGCTATAATTCTCTCCCAATGTTGACTTTGCAAGGTCTTAGATCAGGGGTCTTCAAACTTGGCCCTTTGATGACTTGTGGACTTCAACTCCCAGAATTCCTCAGCCAGGCACATTGAACTCCACAAGTCATCAAAGGGCCAAGTTTGAAGACCCCTGACTCAGATCAAAGCTCTCCAAAGTTGGCCACTTTAAGACTTGTGGACTTCAACTCCCAGAATTCTGACTTGGGAAATTCTGGAAGTCCACAAAACTTAAAACGGCCCTGTTTGGACACCCTTGTCTTAAGATGAATGTTCAGGACGTCCCCCACCTTCCAGCCCACTCCATCCTCCCCTCCCAGCTCACATGAGGCTGCACCTGTTTGTGTGCAGCGCCCCTTGGAGGCGCACCGCAGAGTGATAGCTCCGACAGCCCTGGGCCACGATGCTGCATAGCAGCTCTTTGAAGAGCAGGATGATGTGCCAGTTGTATCTGGCCGAGCACTCCATGTAGCCACACTTCCAGGCCTTCTTCACGAGCAAGGAGAGTGTCCGGCGGGGCGTGAAACGCTCTCTTTGCAGGTCCCGCTTGTTCCCCACTACGATGACGGGCGCTTCGCTGATGTTGCTTGTCCTAGAAAAGAGGGGACGCGAAGGAGATTCAGGTTTGGGGGGCTCAAGTTGTAAGAGCAGCAGTAGGGCTCATGAATGTAGCCGCTTCTAGCAAGTCCATTTCTAAGGAAGGAGAATGTGACTCAGGCTTGACATGAGGGGTCCTTGGCCTGTACAGTTAACCCTCAAAACCGATTGCTTAGCAACCGTTCAAAAGATGACGGACCAACCTTGGGGCATGCCTTATTCCAACAATTGCCCCCCCCCCATGGTCACATGACCGAACCTCCGGCATTCAGCAACACAGCCACAATTACAGCTATTTGAAGAGTCCCACCGTTTCAATAGTTTTGCCAAAAATTGGCACTTCCAGTTTTGGGCAAAGTTGCACCCATAGCATACTATCAGTTCACTTAGTGACCGGTGTTCACTTAACGACCATGATAGTTGCTTTATGACCATGCTTGCTTAACGACTGCAAAAAAAGACCCTAAAACTGGGTCACTTATGTGACTGACTCCTATTACGATCATCATGACTTGCAACCAGGATGGGCAGGTTCCATTACAGCCAGAAGTAGAGGACTAGCTTTCTGAGTTCATGCATTGCCATATTTTATCGGGGGGTCTCTCCTTTACCCCCTGCCCTTACCTGTTGTCCTGAATCTGCTGACGGAGCATTTTCACGTATTCAAAGCTTTCTGGACTGCAAATGTCGTACACCAGAACATAGGCGTCGGTGTTTCGTAGGCCCCAATACTTTAGGTCTGACCACTCCTGATGGACAAAAAAAAAAAAGACTTGGGACGGTAAGATGTGTCCTTGCGACCAAGGAAAAACCAGCTAGGGGTTGACTTAGCCGTTGCCAGGAACCCGACAGAAAGGACAGGAGGACTTGGCTGAATTTTTTAAAAATATTAAGTTCTATCTTCTACGTGATTTCATAGAATGGAGCTTCCTTGATTCCTATGCAAATACTACCCTTCATGTCTATGAAGATTCTCAGTCATCCTGATCAATTGTTGTCCCCAAAGTGCTTTTTCAGGAGGCAACTGGACTTTCCTGTTTTTTCTTTGAAGACGTTTCGCTTCTAATTCAAGAAGCTTCTTCAGTTCTGACTGGATGGTGGAGAAGGGAAGGATTTATATTCCTTGCAGACCGCTGGTCATTTGCCTTCTTTTAGAGAGTTGATGGACCCAGACAAACCTCCAAGTGGCCTCAATGACTCTCTAACAATGAAAATGACTAGCTGTCTGCAAGGACTATAAATCCTTCCATTCCCCACCATCCAATCAGAGCTGAAGAAGCTTCCTGAGTGCCAAATGATGGGGCACGGAGATGAGCAGCGGCCGCTAGAGCCAGCAATGAACAGTGGATTAAAATCCCCTCCTATCTGTCATTTTGACTTTTTGGACTACCCCTCACCCAAGATGCCTTTTCCTGCAGGAACCAATGATGCTGTCCTCTACCTAGCCTTGACGTACAATCGCAATTGCGACTGGAAATCCTGTCATCGGTCACTAAGGTTGCAAGTTGAGGCATCCATGTAACTGGGCTGTCTTCCACATTTGCCGCTCTGTGGTGCTTCACGGGCCGGGCCGTTGCTTGACCTGGCCATTTGGTCTGTTGAGGTTTCTGGCCCACATGCGATCAGCAGTGGGCTCCGCAAAGCCCTCCCTTCAGCGTTACTATTTAAGGAATTCTAAAAACTCAAGTGGGAAGACAAGCTGCTTCAAGAAACAGCGTGAGCGCTAGAGGAAAGTGCCTAAAACGGAGCCAGGTTAAAACACACACATTTTTTTTTTAATTTTGAGAACCAGCAGGTGTGAAGAAGGTGACAGCCATCTTTTACAGACAGCTGGTGCTACTATTTTCCTCCCTCCAGCTGCAGAAGGGGAGAGAGCCAAGGTGACATGGGCGGCCGATTAGTCCTTTCAACCTTGTTCAGAAACATCTTTCATGGATTCTCCATAGAATGTAGTTTAGAATATAGACTAATAGGGTTGGACGGGACCTTGGAGGTCATCTAGTCCAACCCCCTGCTCAAGCAGGAAACCCTATACCATTCTGGACAAATGGCTGTCCAGTCTCTTCTTGGAAGCCTCCAGTGATGGAGCACCCACCTCTTCTGAAGGCCAGCCGTTCCACTGGTTAATTGTCCTCACTGAAGGAAATGCTTGTTTTTGCTCTCTGCTAGTCCAAGAAGCCAATTAGATAGGAGCAAAATATTTAGGAGCCAAGGGCAGAAGAGGAGCTTCTAAATGTTTTATACTTTGCAGAACTGTGGTGGAAGAAATGGGTTAAATTGGTTAAATTTCTAAATTTCACACTCCCTAAAAGTATGACTCTATACCTATTTGTGGTACCATCAATACTTACATTTGGTTTAAAATCTTCATTGTAATATTGATTTAGAACTGGGATTTTTGTGGCTAAAGCTTTTTTTTTTTTTGCTTTTGTTTTTTGCTTTTTTCCTCTTCCACCCTCTTTTTTTTAACACCTCTCGAGAGGAGGTGTAGGTTGAAGAATTCAAAGCATGAATATGCTGTTTAGCTGGAGCTGGAGAAAACTAGTATCCATCTGTAGATTTTTGGATTAAAAAAAACCCTCAAGAGACTAAAAGTAATGAAAGTGGAGGCTAATGCAAGCAACTGAAAAATCGAGAAGCCATGTGTAACGTGAAAGCTAAATCATCATCAATCATCATTTTAACCATTGTCTACTCTATCCACTGTAGGATGAAGGCCTCTTCTGCATGTTTCCCACCAATATGGTCCTGGGCTTCCTTTTGCCAGTTGGGCCCATCATACATGCTGATGTGATCGATCCATCTTGGTTTTAGTCTCTTGGATGCTTTTGATCAAGTGGGATCCATTCTAGGACCTCCTTGGTCCACCTGCCCTCAGTTCTTCCGGCTACGTGACTAGCCCGTTTTCCATTTCATTTCTTTTACTCTCTTGATGATATCATATACTTTCGTTTGTTGCATGTGCAGATCTTTCTATTTTGTCCTGTAATGTTACGCATGTGTCTTTCCATGGCTCTTTACACCACTCGTAGCTTTTGTTAAGCTAAATATTGGGAGGAGAGTCCTCTGCTCCAGTCTGTCTTTTCCCCTGGATATATTTAATCTGAATTACAATTAATTTCAGCCACAACAGTAGTGGAGAATCAGAACTGCAACTAGCATATTCTGCTGACTTTTTTTTAATATGAGTCGGTTGCCAAACGTTTGGAAAAGAAAAACTTAAAAAGAGCCAGCCAACTCCAACTTAGCTTGACCCCTGCCAAACTACCACTCTGCTTCTCCCCAGATGTTGTTGGGTTGGGGTGATGGAAACTGCCAGGTGGGAAGGGATGGAGAAGAGGCGCTCACCTGAGAGCTGTTGGCAGGAAAAGCAGCCACGTAGGGGACGTCCATGATTTTCAGGTTGTAGGAATTCCCGTTCAGCATGACTGACGGCCGGTAGATGTAACGGTCCTCGGTGGGGCTGTACTTGTCTGTGAAATCATGGTACAAGAATTGGTGAATGATGGCCGTCTTGCCTACCCTGGGGGCCCCCAGGACGGCGATGGTCAGCGTCTCCACCATGGTCTGCCTTCAGGATCCTGGAGAGTTCCTCCCGCCAGCGTTGCTCCTCCGAAGGGCCGCCACACGCTTCCTCCGAGCCATCAAACCCCTTCCCTGCCCTTCCCGCGGTTCACACGACAAGCTTCTTCACCGGCCTTCTGAGTTAGCCTGTTTTGGGTTCACACGCTACACGGAAGGATTTAGGCTGGGTTGATGGCACCGGAGGCTGAGCCTCCACCAAGAAAAAAACCCAAGCCAAGCTGAATACGTTGGGCACGTCAAGGCTGGTGCCAGGTTTGTAACGGACTCCCAAAGTGCCTTATGTGGACTCACCCCCACTTTCTCCTCCCTCCAGGACCCCAGACTTCCGAGGATTGCTCCCCCTTAGTCCGACTCCTCCGTCTCCAAGCCAAGTTGCTCAACTTCGCAATTCTCTCCAAGTATCTCCTCCGCAGCAGCCTTTGTCTAGCCCAGGAGCTCAGACTTCATCCGAGTCCAGGACGGATTCCGACGGAGTGGCATGAACGGGAAGGGAGAGGGGAATTCAGCCAAGGCGCGGAAGCCAAACACCGGGGATGGAGGCGAAACGAGCAGGGAAGCGAATGGAGCCAAAGTCCTCCGAAGTGCAGTTGGGTTGGGGGCCAGCTCCCTTCTCGCAGCCTAAAGACTGCGCTGCGGTTTTGAGAGAGGTAGGAAGGAAAAGAAGTTGCTGAAGCGTGAGAAGGGGGAGGCAGAAGGAAAGAAAGAAAGAGAGAGAGAGAGACGGCGGAGGGGGGCTGCCGAGCGAGCGGAGGATGGGACCCTTCCAGTCGCCTTCCTCAGCTTTCTCCTGAGCGCAGAGGAAAGGCTGCTCAAGGCCGCTGCAAGGCCAAGGGGCGCCGGGTTGCCCGCCCTGCTCCTACTCAAGCTCCCGACCGGGCAGCCCGATCCAAGCGCCCCGCCGGAGCCAAGGCGGAGAGAATTGGGCGCCGCGCTTGAGTCGGCGCTCCTCTTCAGCACCCTGGACAGGGACACTGCGGCGCGCAAGCCCGCCGGGCTGTCCCCGCTGCGGCAAGAGAACCCGGGATTGCAGGACAAGCACGTGAGAAAGGCGGCGCGGCGGGCAGGGCAGGAAGAACGACTCTGCCTAGCAGCAGGCAGGGGTAGCCTGGGCGGCTGGGCGCGCGGCGGAGGAGCCGCGCATCCCCCGCAGACACGGAGCGCGTCTTCCCCGCCTTTCCGGAGATGCGGAGAAATATTACTTCATACTTTTCTGCCACGGCGAGGGGGGAGGAGCAGTTTTCACGCTCCGTCTGCCGGCACGGTTGGACGACCACCAGCACCCGCAACTCCCCCCCCCCGACCCGGGAGAATGTCCATCAAAGGGAGGGTCAGCTGAGTTGGTCATCTGCTCAGAGGCTAAGGCAGGTTCCTGCCTGAAGACCAGATCAATAAATCAGGATCCAAGACAAAGCTAAGAAGGTCTCTAGGCCCCGGACAGAGAGTGGGGCTGCTCCAGCCTGGGATCTTGGGGAGTTAATTAAAAAAAAAAACTTCCTTGAAGTGTTTCGGTTCTTTTGATTTGTGGGCTGATACTTCCCTCTTTTCTAAAAAAATACTGTAGAGATTTTGTCCCCTAAAATTTAACCCACCCGAAGTGATTCTTGTGGGAACGGTGTCTCTTGCGGAAATCTACGAAGAGAAGTTTGCTCAAGGAGAGTAGGAGCCCCCCCCTGTGGGTTTGTATGGACCCAAATGGGCAATGAAGAAAGAATGGACATTTTTAAGTTTCACATTTTAAACTTAAATTGTCAGTTAAATTTTAAGTTCTGTGTCCTATGGGACTTGATAGAATGGAGTTGCCTTGATCCCTATGCAAACGCTGCCTTTCTTGGTTGGTTTGCATCTTTTTTTGCTTTGAGGTAATCACATTGGCTGCTGGGAAAGTTATTTTTTGTTTGCCAAATCCTCTACAGCGGCCTTGGAAAGGAATATTGAAATTATGACGCATATTAAAGAAAACTTTAATCCAGTGTATAGCTGCGATGAAAGAAGTCCATTACAAAGTGAAGGTCAATAGGACAGTCTTTGTCTTATATAAAGCTATGATGTGACCACGATAGCAATACTGAATATATAACCTGCTTCAAAACGTTAGTGAGAAGAGAAATCAATGTGAGCGAACAGCTGCTGTATTTGGAAAGGTTATAACATTGGGGAGGTTTGACAAAAAGATGGTGAGCAAGAAAAACTAGCGAAATACAATATAATAGCAGTGTGAAAGTGGAGTTTCCAAACTTTTCCAGGCCTTGTTCCCCCCCCCCACCAAAATATCCTGGAATTATCAAGAGGCAAAGCTTTAGTGTTCAAGAAAACTGTCCCTCCCCTTATTCCTTTATGGAACCCCATCAAATATTATTTATTGCTTATTAAGAAAATATATATGGCTGCCCGAGTCTCACAATGACTTACAGAAATCAAACCCCCAACTTTAAGAGGCTTGGACTTCAACTCCCATGGCCGGGGAATTCTGTGAGTTGAAGTCCACAACCTCTTCAGGTTGCCAAGATGGAGAAACACTGCTTTGTGGCGGTGATTCAGACAGCCGGCTGGCATTCTCGGGGGACGTTCAGCACCCTAGCCGGGCCCGGCTGCTGCTGTCGACAATCACAACTTGATTCTAGCCAGCGATGTCTGCTCCGGAGACCCCAGCTTGGCAGAGTGCTGAAGAGAGCAGCTTGGTGCTTTCAGTCGGTGGTTAATGAAATGATTTAATTATCATAGCTATAAAAAGAAAAAACAGCCTCGCACTTGAAACGGCCTGCTCTCTGCCAGGGAGCCAAGCCACCAGGCTGGCAGAAAGGAAGGAAAATAATCAAGGAAGCCTTCAGAATGTGGCTTCGCTCTCTTAAGCCTTACTGCTGAACAAACACAACAGCATCAAAAAGCCCCTGATCACTCAACCCAATACAACACAACCAACACAAACCCTAAAAAGAATTATGCTGCTATACATCAAGAATATGGAATCAGCGTAGTGTACAAGCTGACTAAAGGCCTTCAAAACATCCTAAGCAGACCCAAAGACCTAATTATTTCTATTCTATTGTTCTATTCTTTGTTATTCTATTCTATTCTTTTTTATTCCATTCTATTATTATAATTCTTTCTGTTCTGTTCTATTGTTATTCTATTCTATTCTGTTCCATTCCATTCCATTCTTATATTCTATTCTCATTTCTAATCCTTCTTGTCCTGCCCTAAATAAAAACATAAAAATAAAAAGCAGAATTTTGTCTGCAATGGGCTAGTGATATAAACAGAGACAGGCAGACTATTTTGGGTAGCCGGCAAGAGAAAATGATTAAAGAGTGTTGGGGGGGGGAGAGAGAGAGAGAGAGAACAGAGAGCTATAAGTTGGTCACAGCCAGCCAGAGGTTTAGGTTGGATTTGGCATATTTATCCATCTATTGAGACCTTCCCAAGGACCTGGGATGGGTAGATATTGAGGGTGTTAAAAGTATGGTTGCAGGATGGAAGTTGTTCCAAGTGCTCCAACTAGCCCAGCCAGTTTTCATGCCTAAAGTGGGACTAGAACTCACAATCTCCTGGTGATTGGCCCAAAGTCACCCAGCTGGCTTTCATTCCTATGGTGAGACTAGAACTCACTGTCTCCTGGTAACTGGCCCAAAGTCATCTAGCCATCTTTCATGCCTAAAGTGGGATTAGAACTCACCGTCTCTCACCATTTCAAGCCTGAGGCAGGACTAGAACTCACAGTCTCTCACTTTCTAGCCTACTGCCTTAATCACTAGACCAAAATGATGCAAAAAAACCTAAACAAACAAACAAACAAACAAGACCATCTGGAGGCCTTCCAGCTTTCAAAATGAATCAGTTGCCAAGCATCTGAATTCTGATCATGGATGTTTGGCTAACAGACTAAGCTGGCTGGTGTCCAACTTTTATTTAATAATAATAAAGTTGGAAGGGACCTTGGAAGTCATCTAGTCCCTCTGCTCAGGCAGGAAACCCTGTATCATTTCAGACAAATGGTTGTCCAGTCTCTTTTTAAAAACACCCAGTGTTGGAGCATTCACTCCTTCTGGAGGCAGGTTGTTCCACTGGTTAATTGTTCTGTCAGGAAGTTTCTCCTTAGTTCCAGGTTGCTTCTCTCTTTGGTTAGTTTTCATCTGTTGCTTCTTGTCCTGCCTTCAGGCGTTTTGGAGAATAGCTTGACTCCCTCTTCTTTGGGGCAGCCCCTGACATATTGGAAGACTGCTATCATGTCCCCCCTCGTCCTTCTCTTCATTAAACTAGACATCCCCAATTCCAATTCCATTTCTACCCTTATACCTTCATCCACACCCAAGAAGTCTTCCCCGCTCAGGAGTAAAACAGAAACGGGTTTCCTGTTCTGGAAGTGGTCACCATTGATTTCTTTATTGAGGTGGAAGAATAGCAAGATCACAAGGAGATGCTGCAGGGGACATTCGCAGCTGCAGCTGCAGCACGGCACTCGTGCAGCCAGTGTGACTTCAACACACAAAGCGCCTCAAGGACACGGGCGATCTCAGCAGAGGAACACGGCAGGCTTTGATGCACACGCACGCAGGCACATACACACACACACACAAAAATAGGGAGCCGGGTCTCCTTCACCCCGCCCCTGCTTCGTTCTCCGACTTCCGCAGGGGACTCCGTTCCAACCACTCGGGAAAGCCTGCCCAGATCCCCGCAATCATCTGATCTCTGCCCAAAAAATGACATCTTTCGAACCGGGGCGGGGGAATGGAGGGTGGTGGGTTTGGTTTTTTGGGTTTTTTTGATTCGGTGTTTTTGTTTTTCACGACTTGGTCCCCATTGGTCTCTGTCACTCTGGGGGAAGGAGGAACGGGTGACATCAGTTTTTCAGGATGGTTTCGTAGGCTTGGAAAATGTGCTGAGCAACTTCCGGGGCGCGACACTTCAGGGAGAGCTGCAAGGAAAGAAAAGAGTGGAGTGAGGAGGAGCAGCTGCAGGAATCCTCGGCAGAGGTGATGGGGTTAGTAAATCAGAAGTGGGATCCAAATGCAGAGGGGGAGGGGGGATAGAAAAAGTTCAAAGATTAGTCGTTCAGAGCGGAGACCGAAAAGCTGGCAGCTGCTGTGAACCGACAGAAGAGAATATCGCAGATAGTCCTCGATCTTACGACTACAACCGAGCCCAGAATTTATGTGGCTAAGTGAGAAATCTTTTTAAGTGAGCTTTGTCCCATTTTATGACCTTTCTTGGCACGGTTGTTAAGTGAGTGAAATGGGTGTTCAGTGAATCTGGCTTCCCCATGGAATTGGCTTGTCAGAAGGTCGCAAAAGGGGATCGTGTGATCCCGGGGATGCTGCAACCGTCGTAAATGCAGGATAGTGGCCAAGTGTCCGAATTTGGATCATGTGACCACGGGGATGCTGCAATAGTTGTTAAGTGTGAAAAATTGGGGTAACGCAACAATGGTTGTAAAAATGGGGCAAAACGTCTCGCTTAGCAATGGAAAGTTTGGGTTCTTTCGTGGTCATAAGCTGAGGACTACCTGCAATTCCATTGAGGACTACCCGGGAGGGTGTGGTTGGTCAGTAACCAGACAGACTTAACCGTTGCAGCCAACGGTTGCTGGTATCGCCAGATCTGCTGCCTTCGGCTTGGTGTCTCACTGGCGTCCTGCCCTCAATCAGGAAAGGAAGGGGGGGAAGCAAACAGGCAATAAAGCCGTATACCTTTTTGATGGGAGATTGGAAAATTGGGAGGGGGGGAAACTGACAGTTGAGGAAGAACAGAGCCGTTTGTAATCTGGTTTGCGTTGGCACGCTGGCATTTTCAAGGCTGTTTGCCCTGAGAGTGGAACTTCACCAGCCTGAACACCTTAGCGTTTCCCAATATCTCAGCGGTAACGGATTGGTTACACACAGATGAGATTATGGGGGGAGAGCTGGGGTAACCAAGGGGTTACTTTTGTGTTGTTGCATGGGAACTTCAGATTCTGTGCGACACTGCTGCAATCTGCATCTCTTAGTAAGAGGGTCTTTAAACCAAATGGAGCCAAGAGTTTTACTTTCCTAAGAGATCGGAGGTGGGGCAGATCTGACAGGTATCCTCTAAATTTCTGCAGTCTGCAACTGCCCACCCCTTCCCACCTCCCAATGGCAACCTCCCCCCAAAAAACCCACAACCAGCCATTTCCTAACTTGCATCGAGCAGAAGAAATGCATGTTTTGCAATCAGGAGTGTTAAAAGCCAGGCTGGAATGGAACGCTACCAAGTGGCCCTTGTGAGAACAGAGTGGCTGGCTGGCTGGCGAAAACAGGGAAAAGAGAGAAGCAAAAGGTATTGAGCTAACCTCCAGATCCTGTAAGTTGAGGGGGGGCAGGCCCAAGGGAGTGGGCCGGTGGCCAGGCAGCGACGGAGGAATGGAAGGAAGCAACACAAAAACAAAAGGGAAAGGGAAAAAAAATAAGATTACATTGCCATCCCAAGGAAAGGAAAGGCAGGGAGGAAACGAAAGGCAGTCCTCGCTTACAACAATCCATTGAAGTTACAAAAAAGGGGCCGATGCCTTACGACTGTTGCAGCATCCCTGGGATCACGTGATCAAAACTG